GGCATTGGAAAGGTACATGTACATGATAAATCATCATTTTTGCCTATTTTTGCATTGTTTTCGTTGGCTGCTATTTGGTCCTTCACACAGTGTTGTTGTATTAGTGTTCAGAAATATATTTGTAAAGATAGTTTTCTTCTACTCATGGAGCTATATAGTTTTGCTTTCCACTTCTGTTCGGAAACATGAGAGAATTTTTCCAAGGTGTACATTGGCCAAAAACTTGTAATTTGTTTTGTTATAGGTACATCCCTGTGTTAATGTCTCAAGCTAAGATCTACTGGGATCGTGATAATTATGCACAAGTCGAAAAGGTAAGAGTGAATTATGGCCCAACAAGTACAGTTGTTGAGTGACAAGCGTCACGTGTAGGTCACATGGCATGGCGGATAGGGCCGTGGTCTAGTGATCTTTGACTCTACTCCTCCACCATTTTACTCATCGGATTTGTCCTCCATTGCCTGATTCAACTTCCTGCTTTAGCTTTGTCAGTAGCCACTTGATCTCCCTCTTTGCCAATTGGAAGTACAAATTGATCTATGCTTACTTGGAATTTTTATGCTGTTGAACTGGTTCACATTGCTTTCAAAAAGCCCCTTCAGGGGTGTGGAAAATAAACTTACTCTTACATGTAGGTGCCATATTTTATGGGGAGCTAGGTATGATGTGATCATTTGGATACTGTGTTAAATGTTATATAATACCAAGGCATAATTTAAAGGAGATTCATCACCATATCAGCATCTTGACAGAGTTTAGCTTAACCCTTTAACCCCTAAGAGTGACTGGCATCTAATTTCTCCTTACAATATCACCACTGAATCACACATTAATGTCATGAGAATAAAGGAAATGATCACCAACAGAACAAACTCTTGATTGTTAGACAAATTCTCCTTGTCAGCACCTTAGTAAATATACAGAGAGCAGTATGGAGAATATGTATACTGATGCAAGGCTGTAAAGGGGTTAAGTCTACCAAGTCTGTAATTTCCAATTTGTTTTAATCTTCTCCATCCTTAGCCATCCCCTTTTTATTACCTCTTTGGTGATTTCCGTTTGATCAAACTATCTTTAATGGTCCCTCTCTAGTTTAAAGTTTAGTCTTGTAAGTTGATTAAAACGTCTCATACATCGTGATTTCCAGCTGTAGCCCCTTAAGGTAAGGTGAAAACCCAAATCAGAAGCAAAGTCGTTCGGATAGGACTGTATGTTGTCACTGAAAAGATTAGTAAAAGAGACTTAATTGATTAAATTTTGATTATCTTTGCTTCATCTGCAGATATTTAGGAAGTCTGTGGAGTTTTGTAATGAGCACGAAGTTTGGAAACTAAACGTTGCTCACGTGCTATTCATGCAGGTAAAGTACTTTAGGTTCCACATGCAGAATTAAGAATTTCATAAAGAGTAGAACTCTACAAAAGTCTATTAGATATTCCAACTGATAGGAGGCCGACATACACTGAAATTTGAAAATTAAGGTAGAGATGTTTTTTTCTCTCGTCGACAGGAAAATAAATACAAGGAAGCCGTGGGATTTTATGAACCGATTGTGAAGAAACATTACGATAATGTAAGTATTGTTATTAAAAAACTGCCAGTGATAAACAATGCTGATTAAAATTCCCCAAAACTTAATAAATAATTTTGGAGGTGAACATTTCTGGAGTCTTATTGACCTCATTCTCTGTTCCTACGACAGGCCTTCGCTTGATTTTGAGAGAGTTTTAGTCTCTGTCAGCTTAACGCCTTATTATTATTATTTTTAGCATTTTTTTACTTTCAGATTCTGAGTGTGAGCGCCATAGTGCTGGCAAATCTTTGCGTGTCATACATTATGACCAGTGCGAATGAAGAGGTTTGTTTTTGTTTTTTCCATCGTCGTCTTTGTTGTTGTTGTTGTTGTTGTTGTTGTATTTTGCTCCAAGCGTCAGTCAAATTACAATTGCGTAAGTTGTTCTTTTTTGTTCTCTTACAGGCAGAGGAACTAATGAGAAAGATTGAGAAGGAAGAGGTAAGATTTGAAAATGAGTAGTCTTGTTTGAGCTGATATTCGAAAGAACTTTCATTTAGAGTGTCTTCATTCACTTTTCTCTTTTTCAGGAACAAGTGGCTTATGATGATCCAGAGAAGAAGATTTATCATCTCTGTATAGTTAATCTTGTTATTGGGTGAGTTCAAGGCAATTTTTGTTTGATTGTCTTAAATAACCCCGGGTAACGGTGCTTTGGTCCAAATAGCACCCGCTATCGTTTCAACCCGTCAGATATAAAACGGTGTCCAAACGGGTATTCGTCATGGATATTTATCTGCGCCGGCGCATGTTTTAATGAGGATTACTTGTAAGTTCGTGATGATATTTCGTTCGTTCGTATAAGTCATTGTAATTACTTTGCTCCGGTTTTAAGACGCCAAATCGACTCTCCCCTCCCACTTTTTTGAGTAAAACTGGGTTTTGTTTTTGCCTGATTAGACTACGAGCAGTCCTTCTTTTCGGCGAAGTCCATCGCGCATTATTTAAAAAAAAATCAGTCAAAAAAAAAAATGTTGTTAGCGCGCCGCGGTGAGCTCTTGGAGTGAGGCGCTCGATAATTAGGCTTTTTGAGTCGACTCACGCGACGGACTTTGCCGAAAAGGAGGGACTGCTCGTAGTCTTTGCCAGATTGGCTGAGAAGATAACATCGTTGGTGTAACTGGTCTGTTGCGCCTGTGTGTAGACTCGCTAAAAAGAGCTAATGTAGGCTTGGAAGCTAGTGGAAAATGTTAAGTTAGACTATCCCCTCCAATGAGCTTCCCTTGTTTCTTTATCAGAACCTTATACTGTGCCAAGGGAAACTATGAGTTTGGGATTTCCAGGATAATGAAGAGTTTGGAGCCATATAATAAAAAGGTATATTACTATTTCACAAAAGTATTGATTTGCCGGTGTACCCAGGGTATTGTTGTTGTTGCTGTTATTATTATTATTATTATTATTATTATTATTATTATTATTATTATTTTACTTATATTGGTTCTTTCAGGTGTGAAGTTTTCTTGTGTTTCTTTTTCACAGCTGGGAACAGATACTTGGTTTTACGCTAAGAGATGTTTCCTGTCGCTTCTGGAAAACTTGGTGAGAAAACTGGTGCTTTTATATGTTGAATCTGCAGGTTTTCGATGCTTCAATACAAAAGAAGTCTCTCAAGAGCTCTCCATATCGTCTTGATTGTGCACTTTCTTTATTTCATGTCTTTTTTGTTTCTTCACAGGCCAAACATATGATCATGCTACGGGATAGCGTGATTCAGGATATTATTCAGTTTCTGGAACACTGCGAAAGTAAGTTTCACTTCTGCATGAGTTGAGTGTTGCGAACTGAAGTTCTTCAGTTGGAACCGACATTGGACTGGACCTGGTTTTACAAGAACTACAATGTGATTTTTATGTTTTTTTTGTCACAGATAAAGTAGTTTTCAATTGACTGTCGTAAGTAATCTGGGATCGCTTTGGTTTTCTTTACTTCGCTCTGTGATTGATCTAGAAAACTCGCGTCACTCTATCAATCAGTTGGGCCGGCAATGTTAGCTGCTCTTTCTTACATAGTTTCTGTACTTTTGGTATCCATATGGAAAGAATATTTATGTTTTCCTATGTTTCTCGTCACAGCTTATGGCAAAAATGTACCTGCAGTGGTCGAACAACCATTAGAGGAAGAAAAAATGCATCCAGGAAAAAACACTGTTACATTTGAGGCCAGAGAATTAAAGAGCTTGTTCTTGCGTTTGATTTAAAATACTACAATAGAATGGTACCGTCGCAACATTTTTAAAAATGAATCCAGAAGGAGAATCTACGAACACCGCAGGAATGCACACACGATTTGGAAAGACTGACCCATGCAGCAGCTACCAAGCGCAGGAAAGGATTTTTTTCCCCGACCAAAGGTCAAAACAATTTCTATGTAAAAATGATATATAAAAATATTCATCTATCAGTGTAAATAACTATGCAGTTTCGGTGCACTCAAAGTTTTCTGCCCTGTGGAGTTCCCACTTGAGAAGTTAATGGAAAAATAGCCCAACAAACAAGTAGTCTTAAAACAACTAGTAATCACAAACTTACGTTTAAATAAAGTCTTCGAACTATTGTATACTCTTGTGTGATGTTACGAATATTTAATTTTGCATATAACGCAGATGAAAGACGCGGTTGAGAATTTTCTAATTGTTTTAAACCTATGGTTTGTTGTGCATAGTAACCGTGCACAGACTTCGTGAGATATAACGTGTATAGCGGGCTCAAAACCCCCTAAAGCTCCATGGATAACCTCCTACCCGGCCCGCTGCTTTATCTTATCACGCAACACACTTTCACCATATAACTCGTAGTGCGACGCGATCATAGAACTAGCGGAAGAAGGATTCAGACTTCTTCTAAATTAGTGACGTAGAAGGCCTTTTGCAACCCACCTGAAAGTTCGTGCGCTTTAATTACGTAGAGATGCATTTACAAATTTAAATTGGCATTGAAACACGGAAGAGTTATTCAAATGAAGAAAGTACCTCCTTGCCTTCGTATTAACCAGCGCAAACTCCTTGTGCTCAAGGGCAATATGAACCAAGGCAGACAGGAAAGCTCGTATTTGAGCCACTTGCTTCTTTATCTTGCTACTTTCACCTTTAACTTCTTCCTCTAAAGTGTGCATAGGGTACCCTCCGAAAAAATATAGGAAAGGGTAGGGGGCAGTTGTACACACTAGAACTATGAAAAGGTTCTCTTTTCAATCTTGCCGTATAGGAAGAGGCCCCTTTGATGGTTACAATGTGCCGGAAATTAATTAAACGCTTTATATAGTTGTGCCGCCAGGTCACCGCCCCTTTCAAAGCCCTCTACTGAAGTCTACTGAGCCGGTCTATAAGCAAGCGCCCTTTTGCCGCTATTGTTGTCTTTGAGCGAGTTTCTCGCCGCCACAAATCCACTTGGAAACGAGGCGGCAATTGCAATCCCATAATTTCAACGCGTCGCTTGCGCTTACACGAGGACAGCTCAGCAAAATGGCCGCGAAGATGGACAAAGTCGACATGTCTTTGGACGATATCATCAAACAGAACAAGAAAACTACAAGAGGAGGAAGGAGAGGACGTGGAGGAAGAGGTAGAGGGAGGGGTGGACCAGTAAGAAGTGGTAGAGGTCGCGGAATTACCAAGAATAGACCGACACCGTATTCAAGAGTGAGTGACAAAATATTTCTTCGAATTTCTATGTCGTTTCGACATTTTTGATATCACCGTTGCTAACTTGTTTTCTCTCTCTAGCCCAAACAATTACCAGACCGATGGCAGCATGATCTTTTTGATGGCGATAGTGGTTTCAGAGGAGGAAGGAACCGTAGCGGTGGTATTTCCACCGGCTGCAAACTTCACATTTCAAACTTGGATTTTGGTGTTTCAGATTCGGACATTCAGGTATTTGACGGTTTTTGTATTTCACTCTTTATACCACAGATAGATCAGGCGATGTTTACTTGAGCGATAAACTTAGTTGAGAATGATACTTTCAAAATTGGCGTGAAGGAAGGGAGATAAAACATCAATATGCAAAATTTGAATTCGTACCACGACCTTTTTTCAACACATCACTTCATACAGCTCAAATAAAGCGTCAAAGGAAAAAAAATCGTCAGGACACTATTATCCCAAACCCTTTGGTCCAGACTACTGGAAAGTTTTGCGAACTGATGAAATAACTAAAGAATTTTTGTACGAAACTCAAGGTTCGCTTCTGGTAATTTTTGTAAACTTGAAAATGTGCTTTGTTATTCTTGTTAAAATCTCTTTCTTGGCCCCTTTGATTGTTATGTCAGCAATCTTACAAATTTTACATCCGAAAAAATTATTTGTGCGACTGATTGTCAATGAAATATTGGTGAATGACTATTGTTAAAGAAACAGACTCAAATAACATTACTTTATTAAACATAAATTTGTGTACGTTTGACTTGTAGGAATTGTTCAGTGAGTTTGGAGATTTGAAGAAGGCCACAGTCCATTACGATGTTTCTGGTCGATCTCTAGGCACAGCTGAGGTTATTTTTCAACGACGTGAAGATGCGCAGCGTGCCATGAAACAGTATAATGGAGTTCCTCTTGATGGTAAAATATTTTTAATTTTTATTCATTGAGGCTGGTCAGCAAATCCTGGCTGGTAAGACCTCATCGTGCAGCCTTCAGTGACGACTTGGCCATTGAATGGGTTTGGTTACTGTTAAGGCTCATTCTTTCCAACACATGAAAAGCTGCCCTACTTCAGATGTTCCTCAGCATGCCTCTCCAGGTGTCAAAACATGGCCTTGGGTTCATTGTTTCATTCAGGAGCCATCTTGACCCCGCTACAGCTGTAGCTTGCAATGGAGCCATTCTGAGTTTTTCTGGTAATACTGAAAATGATGTCTTCCTAGCTGCTTTGTTTGTTGCTGAATATTTTAACCCTGTAACTCCTTTAGGTGACCAGGACAGAATTTCTCCTTACATTATCAATACTATGTTAAGCAGCAAGTTCTCAGAATCAAGAAGAATATCAATTAGGGGATTTATTAGATCCACTGCCAAATTTTCCAATCTAAAATTGTAAGAATTTTATAGCAAACTGTAAGGAGAATTACTACTGAGATCTTGGGAGTGTTAAGGGTTAACTTACAGGTAATCTTGTGAGGAGCCATACATCTCCTGTTGTCAAACATTCTGAATGTAGTAGAGTTATGTCATAATTTCAATTTATTTGAAAGTGTAAGGTTTATTGCTATCATTTTTGTTTTTTGGTAATGACTGCTAATCATGGTGTTAAACAAGAGATGTGTGGCTTTTTCTGCTTCTTTTTGCAAAGTGAAACATTGCTTGCTTGTTATTTTGTTTTCATAAAAATATTGCTCATAAGTATGATTTATATTGCAAAGTGTTACCCCTTTGAGTGAGCAGAAAGGTGTTTACTGAAATGAAAAAGGCCTGTTCAACACTAAAACTCAATAATTCCTTATTTCTTATACTTCAGTAGAAATTGCATGGAGTCTCTGCAATGAAAGCTGATGCACTCCTTTAACTTATTTTCATAGTGTATCAAATTGTGAAGTGCTCTTAAATATTTTTGTCTTTGTTGTAAAAATACAACATACAACTGGTGAAATATTTTAATTGCATGCGAAGGAATGGAGTGGCAGGTAGTAATCAGGAAGGCCAGGTTGTGCTTTTCCTGCAGCTTAATCATCTGATGTTATTAGATAAATAATTGGTATGAATTTATAACACATATTTTACACTTTTGGTTGTGCATTGTAAGTCTTGTATTGCTTTTGTATTGTAGGAAGGGAAATGATTATTGAGTTGGTGACTGGTTCGTCAAATATTGGTAGTGGTGGTGGTGGTTTCCAAGGACAAGGGCAAAGGTACTGAATCATGAAATAGTGACCCATTTTTAGTTAATGCGTATAAGAATTCTGAAGGATGTTGCCAAAAGCTAAATTGATTATATGTATAATTGCATTCATCTATAGAAGGCGCCAACAATTTAATCAAAGCAGAGGTGGTAACAGTAGAAGAGGCAGAGGACGTGGTAGAGGAAGGGGAGGAAGAGGAGGTGGCTCTCAAAAGGCTAATGTTACAGCAGAAGATCTTGATGCTGAACTGGATGCTTATCATGAAGAGGTTTGATTATCTCCCTTGAATTTCCTTGCTTGTGTTTATTTATTCTAGATATCATTGTATTGTGAAATGTGTTAAGGCAACATGTGAGGCTAGATTTTGTTTCCTTTTTTAAGCTCTTAAATATTTACGTTGTGATCTGTCTTGCTTTAATACTTTGGTGAAATGAAGTATTTTTGAGGGAAAACTTAAATACTTTTGTTCTTTGATATGCAGGGAGATGTAGACATGGATGATGAATAAGCAAACTTTCATCTCTCTCAAGCATGGATACATACTTAAGAAACCAGACCTAAAACACGGACATTGGAGATTAAGCTCTTGAATATTTGCCAGTAAACATCTTGTTAACATATATGACACTATCAAATTGCTTTTTCAATTAATAAATTGTCAAAGCAATGTCTGAATTTTCCAAAATTAATATTCTTCATGTCTTTCAGCCCAGGTTTTACTTTTTTTTATGTCACTTATCTGCAATGTAATGTTTGGATAATTCAGGTAGTGAAGCCTAATCTCAGTGCTATTGTCTTGTTGTTAAAGGAGAAACTTTTAAGAAAGTGTTATTTTGATGAAGACTTTGTGATAAATTTGTTTGATGCTACTTTGTTCACAAGAACTTTAATGAACAAAAGTTATTGTGTATTGAAAAGTCACAAGTATTTTTAGAAAGTTTGGTCAGGATTTGTTTCAGTCATATAGTTCAATTTCTCATGAATATCAAATCCATACTTCAATAATTAGTGTCCTCCAAGAAAAGAGTTGAACAGTGCCTTTGAAGTTTCCTTAATTTCTGTTTAGACTCCACATTTATAAGGATGTTAATGTTGTTAAGGGAAACACTTGTCAAAACAATTTTTTAACCTTGTTAAATAAATGTAGATATTTGCTTGTGCAAATTTTGTCTGATTGCTTTTCAACTGTGATTTGTCACACCTGTAGAACATTGTAAAAGTTTGTCCAATGTACATGACTTGGAAAAGAGAGTTGATAAGTGCAGCACTGAAGTGAATACAAGGAAACTTTTATTCAACTTGACCATGTCATGGATTTATTCAGACTTTAGGGGCTCTGAAGATACAATGTATAGGTGGTCAAGTTTCTAATGCAGCTGTTTAGAACTTGTCGTACTTATGAATTAACATCCTGTTCATTGTAAGCTTATTCTAGTCAACATTTCAAGTTTAAGTAGTTGCCTTAAGTTATAGATCATTTTTATTTTTCAATCAGTGACCTATTGAAGTGGAATATTTTAATAATCTGATTTTTGAAGTTCCATTAGATCAAATTTGTTGTGATGTGTTAGATAAAAGTAATGTAATTCATGTACTTTCTCAGAGGATGGGAATTTTTAGTGTGAAATAAAGTGTTGTTTGTAGAAAATTTTCTCAGCATTTGAGTCACTGTGCTCATTTGGATGCTCTTGTGGGAAGGTTTAATTAACCCAGTATGCCTGAGGAGGTTGATAAACCTCTGGCTCTTGGACTCTTAGCCCAATGTCCTTGCATTTAATAGGTAACAATTGAATTGATTTGAACTGTCACAATGTCTGAGCTAGAGAAAATTAATTGCTGTAATTGATAATTCAAAATCAGTAGTCCATGCGCTGAGATTTGCTTGCAGCAGCAGTCAGTTTTTCACATGGTGCTACTTGTGTACCAGCTTTGTCATTAATGCAGGAAATAATTTTGTCAGCCTGAATTTGTAGTTTATGCACTAGTAAATCTTGAGGCCTCCACACCCTTACTTCAGTATGGATATCCTCCATACTGTTTTCTACACATTTCCCAAGGTGCTAGCAGGGCAAATTTGGATAACAATCAAGCGCTTCTTTAGTTGGTGATCATTACCTCTGTTCTTGTACGCTTAAAGTGATTTAGGGGTGATAGTATTCAGGGAGAAATTAGATGCTAGTTATTTTTGGGGATATCATGTTATGTTCCTCTACGACAAAGAGGTAAATGTTCGAGAAGACCCTGGAGTTGAGTTTGCCTGTGAACAGCAATGACCAGCGGTATTCCATATTAGAGATGTAACTAATTATTACCTCGTTCAAAATGGCTCCAAAATATAAAAGTTATGATTACTGGAAACACGCTCTTAAATCGCCTAAATATATTGTGGCTCCAATGGTTGATCAGTCTGAACTACCATGGCGACTGCTGAGCCGTAGACATGGCGCACAACTGTGCTACACTCCAATGATTCACGCCGGTCTATTTGTGAAGGACGCGTTTTACAGAAGGGAATCTTTTCAGACATGTGAGGAAGACAGGCCTTTAATTGTTCAGGTAAAATTCTCAATGCTGACTTATTTCACTGGCTTTTAGTTCTGTAGTTGAAGCTATTTGCAAATCCATGCATTATTATGTTCCTTAACAAGCAACAAATGCGATGTAGTTGTTTGCATATTGGAATCAGCTGTTTTATTGACATGAAACCTACTAGATTGGTATTGTTTAAAGTACCGATCAGACCCAAATTCTAAAACATTCCCAAGACCTCATCTGGTATTTTGTTCGTATATTTCACGTAAAATGCAATGATATACGATATACGCGGAAATTTCAAACGTGATTCAGCTTAAGTTTACAATGCCTTTTGTAATGGTTACTCGTTACTTTTCATTATCTTGTGAGTTTAAAATTCTGTTATATTTTATTGCAGTTTTGTGCGAATGATCCAGAAATTTTCCTTCAAGCTGCAAAGTTAGTAGAACCTTATTGTGATGGAGTTGACCTGAACCTTGGCTGTCCACAGATAATAGCAAGAAGAGGTATACATATGCAGGAACTGGCTGTACACTGCTGATACAGTGGACAGATCAGAAGTGGAAAGTCAATTTTAAACTGATTGTTGGTTGTCTTGCTACCATAATTCTGGGAACTTTTCAAAGAAGTCTTGAATGTTGTGAAAGTTTGACTCAAACAACTTATAAAAATAAAATTAACTTTTCTATGTTTGTTTAAATTTTTTAGGTTGCTATGGTGCATTTTTACAAGATAAATGGGAATTGATAGCATCCATGGGTAAGATTTCACCAGTATGTCTGTGTGTCTGTTGAAATTTAATTTTTTCTTCCTTTGTGCATATTTGGCTTTGTTGTCTTTGCAGCTGTTGTAGTTGTGATAAAAGTTAATTTTGTGTCAGAGTTAAAAAAGGGGATAACAGGAATTGAGTGTGTTTTATTAAGCAATTATACACCATATTATAGGGATCTCATTGCCTTAGAGAGTCCAAATACATATTACATATCAGAGTCTCTTCTTTGAAACAAGTAGTATATGCATGTATCTAATGGCTCTGTTTTCAGTTGAGAATATTCCTTACTTTTATTTTTTGATTTTAGATCTAGTGCATCTGTCTCACATATTTTATATTTATTTTCATATTTAAGAGTGCATGTTTAATGTTTGAGTTGTACTTTCCTTTTCAGTGAGCCTACTCAATGAGAAGCTTTCAATTCCAATAAGTTGCAAAATCCGTGTGTTTGATGATTTGGATAAAACTTTGGAATATGCAAAAATGTTAGAGAAAGCAGGCTGTCAGGTAATGCTTCAACTTTGTTCTCAAAATCTTTAATGCAAGCGGTACTTGCCCATCAAGAGATATTCCCCTGGGCTAGGTTGTTCAAAACATATTTAACTTAAGCTGGGGTTGGCGTAAATTTTTAATTTACTTTTATAGCTCTGCAAAGGGATTTCTTTTTTCTTTTTCCTGTCAGTTTTAAGTCATATTGAGATAAAAACCAACAAACCTTTGCCCTTATACACACTTTCTACATGAAAAATTAAAATTAAAGGTTGACTTTTGTTACTTCAACATTAACCCCCTTCAAACAACCTGGCCCACAACTAAAAGGTCCTGCAGGTTTTGAATTATCTTCATCAACCACTAGCATGCATTCTCTAAAAGAAGAAAGAACCCACCTGACCTAATGACCAGTCTTCTTTCCCAACTCAGATTAAAATAAACACATTTTATCATAATTGTGATATTCTATATTCCACTCAGGCCTTTAAAAGTCTGCTGCAATTTTGTTAGATTACCTAGAGTAATAACTATTCCATGTAATTCTGGGTATATTTTGGACTGCAGATTACAGATTGATTGGTTTAGAATTAATTTCTTCAGGCTACAAAATACAAAAAGAAGATTGTCAATCTTGTACTAACAAATTTTACACTTCAGGCTGACCCCTGTCTATTTTTGTAGAACTCAATTTGTAAATTGTGCAACCTGCTGATTGTAGGTAACAAATTGTAGACTTTGTAAGGTGCAGTCAAGTGCAGTAGCACACTGTGACTTTATGCAAAGTTGAATAAATTATATCAAATATTTAATTTTTACTTGACTTTGACTTGTAGCTGTTGACAGTTCATGGTCGCACAAGGGAACAGAAAGGGCCCAATACTGGTCTTGCCAACTGGGATGTTATTAAAGCAGTAAAGTTAGTGGAAATTAATTTAAATGTGTTTTTGTCTTTGATACTTGCAACACTCTAGTGTTCCATTTGAGGCTCTCAGAAGTGACAAAGAGGCTAAATTCAAAATTGATTCTAGAAGACAAACTTTCTCCCAAAACTTTGCACACATAATTCTTATCTCTCATTTAACAAAAATTATGATTTTGATTGATAGAGAAACTGTCTCAATCCCTGTGTTTGCCAATGGAAATATTCGCTATTTGCAAGATGTGGAGAAGTGCATGGAATGTACAGGAGTAGATGGTGTAATGACAGCAGGTTGGATTATTTTGTTGTGGCTCAGTAAAATAGATTTTAAAAATGTTAGTTTACTTTTTAGTTACAAAACAAAGTGATGACTTATGACTGTACATAGTCTCTCATTCCAATGGGCAAAACCTGACTTGACTCATTTGGATCAATGATAAATTGTAGTTGTGTCTGGTGATGATGCTCTAATTTTTGATGATCTACTTTGTGAAAGGTGATACAGAGGTTCAGTTTGTGTGGTTCTGCATTTTATGTCGTACTGAAGAAATGTAAAATGGTTTCCATGTTTACATAGCCTGATGTAAACATGCAGTAGGTTGGGAGAACACGAGATAAGCGTAGGAAACCATGCGCGAAGTGGAGTGGTTTCCAGTTTATTGAGTTTTACATTTCTTTTATAAAATAACTAATGAAAGAGGAACGAAAACTGTGTTTACATATGCTCATGTAAAATGGTTTTATGGCCAATCAGAGCGCGCATACTATTTGAATTATTTTATAGATGGTGGATGTTACTTTGAATGTATCTTAAACTAAGAACTCTTCAGTTTAAACCCTCTTTATATAAGGAACTGTTGTGTCATGTTTTTTTTTCCTTTTTTGTTGTAATTATTTGAAGTATGTTGAATGGATTCAAAGGGTAAGTATGCTTTAATGATTTTGATTCCAGAGGGTAATCTCAGCAATCCAGCACTCTTTAATGGTGAACACCCCCCAGTATGGGACATAACTGATGAGTACCTAGCACTGGTAAATGAACACCCTTGTCTGTTGTCTTACATCAGAGGTCATCTTTTTAGGATGTGGCGGATCATGTAAGTACAAGTTGTTCAATGAAAATGTGAGGAATGTTTTAAATAAATTTTATGTTTCTCTTGTTATAATGTTGAATATTGAGCCTGGGAAAAACTAGAGTTTACCTCAACCTTAGTGTCTTAACCAATGCGCAACAGGCTTTAGTTCAATGCTCAAGAGTCACTCACATATAGTTTCTCCTTACACTATTGCCCCTGAATCACACCTCAAGGTAATGACAATAAACAAATTGATCACTTACTAAAGAAGCTTTTGTGTCAGCATCTGGGGAAAAGCATGGAAATATGCCTATTGATGTTAGGATGGAAAGGACTAAGAAACACCACTTAAAAAGCTGAAGAATTTTTACATTTGGGTTAGGGTACATACATTTTTCCCAAAATCCCTCCAACTTTACAGACCCCTTGTAACCAGTTGCAGTGTTGTTAAGAAGTCTTTTTGATGTTTATTGAAGAAGCTTTGAAATACAATTGAATTAAATATTAATAATAATCATTGTTGTTCAAAATTATTCTACCAATGAAATATTATATTAGAAATGTACATATATTATCAATGTTAAACAGTCTATCTTTTAAATAGGTTTGTAAATATGTAAAATGGTATAAATTTAAAGTGGCTTCCCCCTCATTTCTACTCCTTGCTGGCCATAAATGTTACTTCTATATACACAGTATACCATGATTAGGCTAAAATCCTTACACAAGTGAACTGTACCACAACTTCAACCAACTAATGGCTACTATGCACTAGGTTCTTGATAAAGTGTAGTTTTTCAATTTTCTTTTAGTAGTTTCTCAAACAGTTTATTCTTCTCAATATATTCACTAATTCATGTGCATGTTATGATAAGAAGCAGAGAGTGAACAATATTCTGGTGTTGAATACACAGGTACATGTGATAACACCAGCATCTAGAGAAAATGGGTTCTTCACAAAAAGTTGTAAAACATCACCTGCAGTGTGACTTCTGCTTCTAATTGTGTTCTCAGTTAAGAGAACTTAGGATTTGCAGTACTCAAAACATCACTTGCTTATCAAAGGGGAAAGATTCTCCCCAATTAAATATTTCAAAGAAACTTCAGATGTTTCAGTAAAAAGGATTTTAAGACAGCTGAAGATATTTGATTTCAGGGAAGCTTTGATCCAATGAAACTACTCCAATTTTGCGCTAACTTTTTAAACTAATCAAGATATCTAGCAAACAAGGCAATGCATGAACGTCAAGTTTTCCTGTCTTGAAAAGTAATTTCTCATAGATCAAGTTTTGAGATAATTTAAAGAGTTATTTTTTATTTAATGAATTATTGTCTGTAGGCAAAATATTGCAACTACCAGCATCAAGTTAGCCCAGGTGGTAGGGCCTGTATTGCATCGATCCGCGTGACAACAATCTATTTTGCAAGCCCAGCCATGAATTTTGCATTCTTTGTCGCTGCAATAACTTGCAATTGCACAGTGCCTTGAGTACTGCATAAAAAGAGTTCCATTTATGCATCCTCTGTTAACTTCCACTTTGGCGCAAACATCGTCACCCTCTTCGCAAACTTGTAGAGTTTTATACTTATCACAGTCTTCCCACGAAGTTTCGGCATAACAGGTGTAGCATTGTAGACTTGATACTGCAGTTGGACCTGTTTAAAAAAGTCGTTATTATTTCTATGTCTTCAAAGTGTTGTTAAGCAAAGTCTACTGAACGACTGTTAGCCCATTTGCTTTCCGAACCCTTTTGCAAGAAGGATTTTAATAGACGCGTAAAACGATCTCATATATTTACGGTGAATTAACAGGATCGAGTCGCCCTGAAATGTAAGATGAATTCAACCAGAAATGCAGTCAATTACAACTGTTCTGCTATCAGGGAACCTTCTCTGGATACTGAATCTTGAAACCCTGAACTTAACTGAACCCTCTTCCCATCAGTCAGAACGAAAAAAATATCCAGGACTGGTAGAGTTAACAAGCAGTTTAGACAATCATTCACGAGGGTCATTTGTTTCCTCAGCTGCAAAGTCATTTGTTTTCTCAGCTGCCTCTGTCATGCCGTGAATTTCAATCAATCTATCTAAAATTAATTTGTTTCGTATGGCTATCAAGTTCTAAGTTGGTAGGAAATAGGCTTCAGATGTAAGAAAGTCAGAAAAATTATAGCACTTTGGTATAAGTTTATATTTAGAAGTATTAGTTTACCAAGAACGCCGCGAATATGTCTATTGAGTAAAACACTTTTTGTTAATTCGAGAATTCACTTCAACAAACTCATTTGACATATTTTATGAGAATTGACAGAAAACTCAATTAACTCAAACTTGTTGTCTATACTCAGAAAAACAACAGCTTTTAAGACACGCTAAAACTCGAAAATGGCTTCATTTACAATGTCTCCTCTATTTGATTTCCAAAGAACACCTTATTTGTCCTTAAGTCTTTTTCACAAAATATAACTGATCGCTAAATATCTCTTATTTAAGCGATTAAAATCGGTAATCACTTGTGATGTAGACAGGGATATTCTTCGTGAAACGGATGGATAATTGAGCTTGTGTGTGACCTTGTGGACGTCACACAATCGCCTGTTTACTCGTAGATTTCCAGTAACTTTTCACTCTAACAACCTTCCTTGAAGTGGTTTTCCATCTCTGCCACGCGAAGTTTTTCTCTTAAACAAAGTTTACATTTTACTTTTAAGTTTTTACTCCATGGGCGGAAAAGTCAGTTTCGCTCTCGAAAATGAGATTTAAAAGCCGGTTTTGTTAATATTCATGTACCTTGCTTGGCAGAGTAACGTAATATGCTAATACAAAATTGCAACAAAACCATCTTGAAATTAGCGATAGTTTCGTGTGAGGTGGCAAAGGACTATCGGAAATAAAACACAATCAACCATATCAGGAATCGACATTGTAGACTCTTAATTTGATTCAATTCAATCGGTAATTAAGTGTTATTGATCTCAGCTTTCTCTACTTCGTCGAACATGCTTACCGGAACTTTTCAGCTGTTAAATTTAGCGAGGCGAAATGATGTTGTTAGTCTAAATCACAGTTATATTTGTGTGAAACACGTTTAATAGCGAAAAAAAAGTAGAAGTTCTTGGCACACCTACCTGCGATACTTTCATTCTTGAGAAAAGATGAGAGGATGAAAACGGCGAGAAATAGCTTTATCCCTCTCCACGTTTCCATTTCCACTCGTTTGAGTTCTATTCCTACTTAGGGTAAAATATCTGACTTGCTGATACAAGAACCTCAATTCCTGGCCTCGCTGTCCTCTGAACTAGTTCAGTTCTGAGCGTGAATGTGCAAGTTCTTAATTCCAGTGAAATATGAGCCTCTTCTGAGCTCGTAATTAGTTTTAACGGGTTGCGTGATTATAACTGTAACTTGAGATGTTTCAAAAACTCTGCGCCATTTGCAGATTTCAAGCGCTTTTCAGTTGAAATCGCGAAGATTAACTACGGCAACGCGATTGTGAGCAGTAGATGAACATGTCACTTTCTTTCATCCAAGGCAGTGTATTTTCAATTTCAGTGATCCATCACATGTGACAGCTGTTGCCAAGTTTTAATTTTATCTGCCGTGATGAAACTTCATGTTTCCGGTGTGTTCACATTTTTTTCCTGTTGGTGCACAAATCTACCTCATGCTGTTGAAGCGCGTGAGTTTGAAGGGTGCTCGATCAGCATGACTAGAAACATTTCAACTGTGGGAGGAAAATTACATGTATTAAAGTGGCTCATCCAACTAATCTGAACAATGGTCTCCTGTCAGGTTGTGCGCTTTTATTGCGGTTTCTTTTATCTCTCAGTGTTCGCTTGACTTCTCTTATGGCACAGTTCGAATCATATGTTTTTAGAAATTTTTGAAAAGTTTGTATATTTCTCGTCTTTTTTCCTCCTTACTTCGTAAGTCGATATTTTTGGCAAGGTTAATTCACGCCTTCTTGTGCTATCCTCAGTTAAGCCAATCGTTTAATTATGATTAGGTTTCCTTTTTTACTTATAATAATAGTGACGCGGAAACTACTGAAAATGAAAATTCGGTTTCTCGATGGATTGAACCTCTCAGAAAATCGCGGTTTTTTAGCGTAATGATGCAAATGAGCCATGTGTCTTTGAAAAAAACAAGAAAAAACATAAAAGGAATCAATGATTTTGGTTTAAGCGAGGGGTTTTCACCATGGCAGACTAGGTTAAGAGAGGAACGGGGAAAGGCCTAATTTCTGTTTCTATCACCCGCTAGGCTACCTCTTACCCAGTCCTAGCAGAGTCTAGAGCATGTGTTGTCTAGTGTCATTGTTTATTCATACTAGTTTTCTTGTTTGTATTGGGTACGTCAAATTTTTTGGTGGAGTGTAAAACTGTGGTTTGAAATTTTAAACAGGTTTTTGGAATTTCTTCTGCCCAGGTCCAAAGACTGCTTTAATCATCAGTGCAAGAAATATGAGTTCGGGTTATTAGATTGGTTGACGATTTGGTGTATGTGGCGTGTCAAAATACTTTCGATGCATTCATCAAAGGACGAATGCTTTTAACATCAATAAAAGACAACCGATAATAGTAGATTTTATCCCGATAATCTGTACGATTTGCGAGGAAGCCATTTTACTGCTATATCGATGTGTCTTGTTGAATGTGAATTACTGATAAGGTCTCTGTTGCTTTAGTTGTAGCGTAGTCGACTGCAAAATAATATCTGGCTCTAGATCTCAAAATCTGTGATGTCTCACGCTTGTTATAAGTCTTTTTAAAACATCTTTTTCTCCTCGACAAGTGAGATCAAAATTCTAGCAAAACGCTTTCGATATTGCTCACCTAAGCGACACACACGACCCTTATCACATAAATCCAGTGTACAGTCTCACAAATGAGCTCTGTCGGTTAGAGGGGATTCCAAACGCCTCATCAAACCTGGCTAAATTCGAAAATTTTCGGGAACTCGCATTTTCCTTTGTTTCTCGCTTGTGACAGTATTTAATGTTTCTTTGGTGATTAAAACCACTTCTGTCTTCGAGAGCGCTAATCTGGCTTTTAATCATGTGTAGCTGCTGGTAAATGTATTTGCACCTGCAGGGCTCTCATTTCATAAAGAAAATTAATAAGAAATAAAGTAGAACGAGGATGGAAGATGGAAATCTTTGCTGGTTCTGTCAAAATTCCGGGAAAATTTGAAAAGACAGCGTGTTTGACTCAATCTTTTACATCCGGCAGAGGGATATATTCAAATATATTGTTCCTTAAAGCTGCATTAAACGGTCGTAACACTCAGTATTATTATTAAAATTGTTTGTGCCAAATGTCAAAACGTGGCATCTTCAGCCAATTCCATTAAGAGAGAGACATTAGTATTTGCTTACCAAGCCACCACTAATTGAAATTTCAATTACACCTTCGAACGTTATTTCGCGACGCTCCTATCTGTCTGTCTGTGTTCTGTAAGTCGGAAAATATCCTAAAAACGAGACTCACATTTTATTTAAAAAAAATCAGGAAAAATCTTTTACTTCCTACCTTTCAAAGCAATGTTGGTAATTATTTTGTACCAGAGCATTTAAAGGTAGTTACAGCTTCCATATTTCCCATATTTGAAGAGAACACTAAAAGGACGCCATAAATAATGAAATGTTTATTTTAATTTGTTTTTACAACCGCCATTTTGCTTCAATTTTTCCGACGAAATATAATAGATGTGAATTTCTATGTTTTAATAAACTGGCATTTCTCATTAGGGAACGAGTGGTTTGCGTGCTTGTTTTCCGAAAAAAATTGTTTTTGCAAATTTATGATAATGTACAGAATCATCTTCTATTAAAAAACTTCAGGCTGATAAGAAATGCGATAGTAGTCGTTATGAATTTGTACATCTTTATCAGCCAATACAAACTGGGTTCTGTTATCTTAAAATTATCTTTATCATTTCCTTCATTCTTTTTACCCATGAGAAAAATCTCTTGCATCTTCCCTAACATGACATGCATTAGTATTGACTGTCGTCTCTAAAAAAAAACTCGCTCAAACAAACCTAACATGTTTGTTATCAAGCGAATGCATGCTAAAATGGGTTTATTAAGGATTGATTGTTCTCAATGCCTTTGAGTAATGTTAATCTAAACTTTGCCGGTCATTTTCCACGAGATCAGCTTTCAGTCGTTTTTCATAATATTTATAGTTTAGTCTTTCCCATTAATGAACAGAGAAATTGGCGTAAATGGTTTTGCTTTCGTTGCTTTTTTTCTCCACACCCCTCCCCACTCCCCGCTGCTCGCTTCACTCGAATCCAGTTCCTCCTCGGCCTTTTTCACCGGAGTCTGTCCACTGATTGCTCGCAGGAAAACAATCTTTTCTTGGAAGGGTTGCCATCGGCACTAAACGCTCTGTCCCATCCCCTCTGGGGCCTAAAAAGCCAATCTTGATCGAAGTCTTAGCCACGAGTAAAATCCCAACTTTTGAAAAGAATGGCTAACTATTTTTTGATAGTTGTTTATTTACATGGTAATATATAGATTTAGGCAAGCCTATAAGCGGAGCTCGCATCTTTTTTTCCCGCACGTCTCTTCAACAAAACTAAAGCCCCTACTATGGATAAAGTGCGGGGTAATATTAATGTATTTTCATTCGCAACTTCTCCGTGTCCGCGTAGAGGACTGATTATAAGATAGTGCCCGTGGTACAGTTGGCTGCGCATGCAAAAAGTAGCGCCTTGTACGGTCGGTCGTACGGTCGTACAGTCGTACATCTTAATTTTTTCGGTTTGATGGGTTACTACTTTTTTGTATAATAATGGGGCTACGCTCCGCGAGCTCCGCTATAACGGTTGTAGGTTAACAAAAGCGTAAAGCAATTAAAAAACCTCAAGGAAAGTACACATGACGTGACTAAGCACGTGACTAAGCACGTGATAAGCACGGAATGCGTTCATGATCAAGTCGTGATTAGTTTGTATTTCGCGTCTCACGGTTGAACGCTTTAATTTTGAAACAAGGGTTGAAACCAATCCGTGATTGCTTTGTGTTTGCACCATACGTTCAGAAATCGGTTCAGAAAACTGGCGCACCCCTTCCCACCACAAATCAGATGTAAAAAAAATCAGGAGTCACATTTTCCAACACTTTGGAGGGTTTGACTGTTTCGCCTTGAGTTCTTATCGGCTCTCTTTGATATTTTCATGACTTATGATGATATTCAATCGAAATACGCTCTAATACCCGTTTTAAACCAGTTTACCCAAGACACTGAATTTTAAATTGTCAATCTAAAAATAAATTATGAATTCGAATGAGAAACGCAAGGATGCGATGATAAAAAACAAGGTTCCTGGCATTCGGACAGTTCCGTTACAGAAGTCTGTGTTACAACAAGAGAGGTCACAGTGCCATTCTTGTTCTTTGCATTCCTCGCCTGAACATGTTTCAGGAACATTGCAACCCATGGCGTAACTCACTTCCAGTTTTTCTGTTTCGGATCTAACCCACCTTGTTCGCTTAATCTTATAACAAATGTCTCCTTGGCGAGTGCACTCAACTGCTGTTAGATTTTCTCGGCAGTTACTCCATGATTCTGGTGAATAACATTTGTAACAGCGGAGCTTTTGTCCTTGTGTTTGTGACGACCTTTCTGTCAAGGAAGACGAGTAAAAGTTTTCAGATTGCTTCTGTCGTCATCTTTATTTAGAAAAAGTCGATTGAACAATGGACCCGAGCGCGGGAAAGTCATGAGCTGAGAAGTCATATTTGTCTTAATTTCCTCATTTTGAAAGTAATAATTTTCCAAGACAGACATCATATAGATGGTGTTAAATTTACGAACGTATGGGGTTTTGTTTCTGTTTTCTGTCATCCTGTACTCTTCTTTAACCACAGCAGATTAGTAGACGAACGTACTGTTATTATGAATTATTACTCTCTCGGCCAGTTGAGAGGCAAAATTTCATTTACGATATGCTGTCAATGACAAACGGCTGTTCGCCATGGCAACTGCAAAACCCCCTGCTTAGTCCGACCCCACAGAAGAGCATAATGAGTTTGTTTACTTCGTTCATAATCTTTCACTGAATCAATCAAAGTCGTTTTCAAACAGTGTTCTCACACGGGTTGTTATCAGTGAAATTCGGTGCATTTGCAGTTTGGGTTCAAAAAGCATGCGTGTGCTCCTGTAAATCACGTGAACACCAGCAGGAGAAAGGACGGGCTTAATGCGATTTCTTTGCAAACAAAGCAGCTCCAAATTTTGGTACTTTCCTTCAGGGGCTTTTCGCATCCCACGTAATTTAAAGGATATGCAGTTTTATGGGGAAATCAGACTTGCTCATCAGCTACCATATAGCATCAGTCTGACAAGTCTTCCTTTCTCTTTAATCCCCGGGTATCAGACAGCAACAGCAACTGTTAAAATTTTGTTTTGATGAAAAAATAAAATGAAAAAAGTATGGAAAATATAAAATTAATTTTCGTTCTTCTAGGCGGAAGCACTTAAGCTAATGAAAAAATTAATGAAAGAAAATCAACGACTGAAGTAAACATGCCCTTACGTACCGATCGCCGACATGAGAGGAAGCAAGCGCATAACATTACATAACTTTTTCAAAAAAACAAGCTTGATCTTCGTTCGATGGTGAAATTTTGTAGAGGCGAATTGTTTTTTTGAACTTGATTTTCCTTGCTGACAGCTTTATTACGTTCAATATGCGTCTTAGTTCTTCATAACAAGTTAAAAACCTGTAAGAGACAGGTGGCAAGTTTTTTGAACTTGATTTGCCTTGCTGACAGCTTTATTACGTTCAATATGCATCTTAGTTCTTCACAACAAGTTAAAAACCTGTAAGAGACAGGTGGCGGTTAAGTCACTAATTTATTCAATGACAAGAAATTTGAAGTGTTCGAGTATTTTCCGAGTCAGCCATCGAGGGTGAACCACCTGCAGCATTGTTAATCTTTACGAATCACGCAAAATGAAGAAAAGGTATACCAAAAAATAAGCAATAAACAAAACGAAGGTCTAGAAAACCGTGCAAAAAAGACAATACAAAAGTACTTCTGAGCTTTTAAGAAGAGACCACTGGAAACAGTTAAAAGACTTCTCATTGGGAACCGGAATTAATAACGAAATGATTATTTTAAAAGGCAATTGGTAAGTTCTTTATACCTCACAAGGAAATTAAAAGCATTTTTGTGGATGAAACTTTATTTACAGTCTTAGTAAGGATAAAGTATGATATGCGACGCATCAAGTGCGAGTTGTCTTTATAGAAGGGAGTTAGTCATGTTCAAGGCGGAAAACAAAAGGTATTTATTGACGTTCTAACATTTATTTACTCTTCCTTCCTTTTAAAAGGGGGTCATTAAACCGAACATCGCTCTGTTGTTTAAATGAGAAATAAGATTTGAGTTCCCTTCTGTTTATTTAAAGCGTGTAGTCGAGGTTGTATGGAAACGAAAAAATGTCTTTTTTGGAACTTATGTGATGGTCAAAAGACACGTTTTTTTGTGTTTGGACAGTTTCTTATCGGACCTTCCAATAAGCCAATCTCATCCAAAGTTTTAGTTTTTATCAACCAAACACATTTGAAGTTGTAGTTTAAATCAACCGATCGGACTTTGTCAGTCTTTGAATGCAAATTTTCCTTTCTTTCTTTCATAACTTGGCTATTCTTCCTCTCTCGGAAATTGTAATTTTTATGATTAACTGGTAATAAGACTTCCTGTCGTCCAATTCGGTCTGTAATCATACTCGTGATAAGCAAATCGGACTCCCGCTGCACGGTCGTCCGATTTTGTTATCAATCGTATTATTAAAGAATAATTGGACACCACTCAGCCATGTTACTATTACTAAAAATTCGTAGGAAACTTTAAACGGATGCTTCCGGTTTAGTGACGAATTGATTCCAAATTTCTGGGACTGTGTTGATTATTTTACCTCCGTAGACGTAACTAAAAGTATTTGTGCTTTTTTTTCCTTTTTCCAAAGGAGCGGGGACTGAAGTTATAAATTTTCATCGTTGTAAGCTCGTTTTTTCTTTCGAAAATGTAGTTTATTTTTTATTTCTTTTAATTCTATCAAAATAGTCAAAGCCGTACTTGGCCTATCTCCCTTTTTATTGCTTAAACATGAAAAACAATCGCCGTTATCTTCGTAATTTTTATCTTAAGTCAATAAAGGCTTTTCTAATCGTTATAGTCAGTGGGTCAGTGACTTTGACATGTTTGATCTGTTTTCTGCCGATGAAAACGACCAAAAAAAGAGATGACTGGCAACTGAGTCACTGCAGCAGAGTCCCTTATATCAAATCTTCAAGATGTTGACATTTGTCGTGAACATTTCACGTGAACTCGGTCCTAGGAAATTTCGCGAACCGAAAGACCATCAACTGTGCTCGAAAAACTCGTTGATGGTATGTACAAGCTTCACTGATGTAAGCTTTCGGTGTCGGAAAGTTGATTTGCATATAGTTTTGCGTACACGGTGTCATTTATTTTCAACCGGATCAGGTGCTTAACGATCATTGAATTGATGTTTTATCTTGACATTAAAGCTAAAACTTTCGAAACAAGGACTTGTCTAATTTCATCTTTGTCGGTCTAGTAACTGTTAGTACGGAAACATCATGCTAAGTATTTTCAATAACGGCGAAAATTTTGTCAGTAATCAAGATGAAATTGCTATGACTACGAATCAAATTCCAAGTTGGTCTGTCGCGTTTCTGTTTGTTTCACGTCTCTTGAATGTAAATATTAGCCTGGCGGCTCCGATTCACTCTCAGCTGTTTCCAATTTTTATTTTCCGAGTGAACCTTTTAACTCCCAGAAGTGATTAACTAGTATCTTCCCCCTATAATACACATGCACTATCCAGCAAACAGGTAATGAGAAAACTCAAATGTGTCGGGCAGAATTTGTTACCTTGATCTAACACCAAATTCTCGTCACTAATTTACAAGGAAATGTGTAGCAGCTAGAGGGGAGAATTAACAAGCAGATCTTGGGAATGAAAGGGTTGAAGAGAAAAAGACATCTTTTAAAATACTGCGTCGCAATCCGCGATATTTTCGCTGATTGTTCAATTCAGTTGGATTGCCGAATTGGTCATTGCAAAAATCCACCTTTGATAACGTTTTGGGAAAGTTGGCAGAGATGACAATGTTTATTTTATCAAAATAGCAGGGAAATTGCGGGGATGTCAGTGTCGCCTCAAACGTCAAGAGATAATTTCTTCTTGAGAGCTACCGCAGTTGTTTTAAGCTTCTGTGTTTGGATATGATTGTGTCAAATATCGCAAAGCGGGGTTTCTTGAATTTCATTAAAATCTAGAAAAAAGACTTTTCATATGCATTTCTATATCAAGTATAATGCCGTCATTTCAGATCGTTTTAATTAAAAAGATTAGTGCGATAAAGTTTTTACATATAAGTTTTCAGGTGTTGTATTTCACCTTTCTCGTGATGATTTCCATCGACAGGAAAACTTAGCGTAGTTGGTATATTATGTTAGAAAGTGAAAGGTAATCCTGGACACTGATCATTTTTAGTGATCGTGCCTTTTAATTTATGAATAAAAATTTGAGCCTTAAGGCAAGTACGATTTGGATTTTTTTAAAAGAGGAAACCGGAAAACTCGACTCCGAAGACAATTGCTTGAAACAGAAATTAACAACTGAAAGGTTTCAGTCAGTTAGAAATGACTTGAACGCATCATATTTTTTTTAAACATTTGTCCCGATAACCAGTTGATCAGTTAAAGTTTCCGAGGTAGATTATGTGTCAAACTCCAGTGTGATATATAGGTTTTGTGAACGAGGATCTGAATCTTGAGATAAGTTTCTATATTGAGGCCACAACATTATATAGATAATGAAAATGAATTAAATAAATGGAAATAAAGTAATACCTTGCTTCGATGTACAGTTTGCAAGCAGGAAAGCAAGGAGAAGCGTTCTCCTCCACAACTTCATCACAGACCCATGCATGTCTCTTGTTTCGTTGATGTATACCGTGAAATTGTTAAGGCGCCGTCTTTGTCACTTGATCTGCGTCACCGTGTTACTTAATGGTGTTACTGTGTTATATTGCTTTGTAAGACCCTTTTTGTCCGCACAGCTTTTATTTGTTTTAGTATTATTGACAGACAGAATTAAGCATGGACCACAGGCATACCACCCAATGGCACGTCGGAGAGACTCCTGAGCCGGTTAAACGAAATGTGTATGTGTTCTGATTGTGGCAGAGAATGATAAAATTTGCAATGCCTATAGGTGTGAAAATCTCACTTAGTGGAATGAATTATTAAGATACTGACGTGTGGGGTTTTTTTTTTGCCTCTTTCAACGTCCTCTTACGGGATCACTCTATCGCTGAATTCATAAGTCAATGTGCAGGTTGAGAGCGCTTCAGAAGAAACTGTTTAAAAAGGAGAAGATGGCAAATCAGTACATGTCTGCGTGTTATCATTTTAGGCCACTTTTCCAAGACCTCGTGAAAAAGAATTTTCATAGCTTTTAATTCAAAACCGTCTTTCATATCTTCATATCCTTGTAAGTTGTCTTACATGTCAACACAATTCGAAGGTTGGTAAGCCTGTGCTTGGACAATTGCCGCTTAAAAACTTCTTTATTCTCAAATAGCCAACAGCATTTAGAGACTTATTTTCAGGCCAAGGCTCCGTTGGATGAATTTACTGCTCTCTAGATGATGATGAAAAATCCAGTGAAATTCAAATTTTCAGTTTCAATAGTTAATCATTTCTTGACGTGTGTTTCATTTTCATAATTGAAATGGAATAGCTGACGCCATGTTAGACCTGTTAGCTATTTAATTTCGGCGGAAATACGAACGTCAATGTATGTGTTTCTTTATTTATTTAATACTGAAAAACAGATGTCTATTTTGTTGGGCTCATACTTGAACGTGCGTGCGCTGGACTGACACATGACCAAAAAATGGGAAAACTACGCCTCTTCTTTTGTTATTTTCAGTTATTTGGGAAACTCTTACACTGATTTCTTTTTCAGGTTCTATTTATAAAAACAAAATAAGCTTCCAATTTAGACTTGTTTTTTTAATCTCTGGATTATTTGCTTTCTTGAATGACACCCAAGCAGAAAGTGAAGTATCGATGAATATGTATATGTATATAATATTATTTGTATATGTGTAGACCATTTGTAATTAACCGGTCAACTTGAAATGAATTTAGCTGTAGACTAATTGCGCTGCCTTTCTCTTAATTCGGTACAAATTAAACCGTCGATTTGTTTTATTTTATTGCTCATGAAAAGGCATTTTGGCCATGTTAAGTTTCCCTCAATGTCTATTGTACAAAAATGTTTTATTTTGAGGTATACAGTTTCCCTTTATTGAATAAAAATTTCACAAAAGATAAGAAATGTAAAGATATCTCTTCACAAAAAATTTAGCCACTCAGTCGAAAAATGAGATGGATGATTTTGATTCGAGTCAATGAAGCTTATGTAATCAGATGAATTGCTGTTGAAAATGTACAATTTTTTCTAAAGTTTTAAATGACATTTTCCCAGCCAATCCACAGAGTTGCTGGCATAGTTATCCGTGAAGTATATCAGTTCCGGTTACGCATGATCACTGTAAGTGTTGTTTGGAGCACATGCATGGCAATTCGGGACTTATCCCGTATCATTTCAGGTCACAAACCCGTTTTGTTACTAAGTAATTCGGGACTTATCCCGTGTCGTTCCAGGTCACAGACCCGTTTTGGCACAAGTCAATCGGGAATAAACCCGTCTCATTGCGGGTCATAGTTCCGTTTTGTTGCAAGTCAATTGGGACTCATCCCGTATCATCGTGGGTCGCAGACCCGTTTTGGTACAAATCCATTGGGACTTATCTCTTAGGCAGTGCGGGTCAAACGCGGTGATACCCGTGTAAGTGAAAATCAAATTGAACTTTTTTTCCTAGTATTGCGGACTGGTTGTGTTTGTTCGTGTTTAAAAATCTTCTATTTTTTTTAAAGGTGCTTGAAAACGCCTAGCACTTAGAGAACACAATTCAACTGTAGAAGACAAATCAAAATTACCAGCACACCTCCCAGCAATGTGTTCGTCATATCAGCCGCTCGTTTTGTTGCGGTGTTACAGCCGTCGCGATGACAACAGTCAATTTGGCAACTTGTACTACGCTTCTCGCAATCTTTGACAGCGCACAGTCTTGCTTGACCGCACATTTTTATAAAAGCTTCTTTGTATCCTTTGTTTGAGCTGTCATCCTTTGTCACTTTATGTTGCGTAATGCAGACTTCATCGTGACCAGGTGTACAATCGACAAGGTTTTCAGTCTTTTTACAGTCCTCCCAAGATTTATACGATAAACAAAGGTAGCATTTGAGATCCGCACCAACACAGGGAACTGAAAATGATAATTAACAAAGAAATGAAGTTATGCGGAACTCAAACAAAGGGGTACGTAGACAAAGAACACAAATTATTTTAACCGCATTTCGGTTGAGGGACCTACAATAGTTTTCGAAAGTAGTAACAATGTTTGTAGTGTTTTCGTTTTTAAGAAAACTCCTTTTAATTTGACGAGCAGCCTTTTCAGCCCGGTCTACACTTTTAACAATAGCGTTCTTATTAATTATTCGAGTGAAAGTTCCACTAAGAGGTTGTCTCGATATGACTCCACTCAACAGTGCCAGCTCAGTTTCTATTGTCTTCACAACTCTTTCATAAGTATAATACTGATATGTTCACGAGAGATTCAAGGCTCGTGTGCTCCTCGAGATCTCAAATCGCAAATAGCGAGGCTGGATATTTCCCTGATTTACCGGGAGGAAACTGGTAAGGTCGTTGGCGGCTAGTCATGAATCAGATGAGTCTTAAATTTCTCAAACTGTGTCCATATGACGACAATCTCAGACCAGTTTCATAGATTTGTTTTAGTTAATCATTGTACAGTAAGGAGTTTTAGAGAAATTGCACTGAGAATCATAGAACAAATTACGTCCGGTTGCGTGTCATGGAATTCGAGAACATCACTAAATTACTTCCGTGCCACTTTTTTCGGAAATCCGATTCTCTTCGAAATTATCTTGAAAAGCAAACATAACCTGATGGTAATACCGTGAAACAGCATCTGTCTTAATCATCACGTACTAGGTTTTCAATGGCAAGTTTAGGTTGCTTCAGTGTGAGACGGTTCTTTATGGGCCCCTTCCCTGAGGCATGGTCTAATTTCGTGCAGGCGTTATTAAACAAGTATGAAAGCGGAAGAAGATCCAACTCAGATTATGTCGACGTTTTTCGAATTCTTTGAGTAAAAATATGAGTCGATAGGTGTCAAATTGCTAAAACCGACGTTCATCAAGATTGCAACAATTAACTAAGAAAGCTTTGCCATACAACAAACGAAAGTGTTCAAGGTTCCTAACCCCAGGCGGGACTTCCTGTATATTTCCTAATATCTTATTTGTAACATTTATTAAAACAGTCGATCTTTGCATTTGGTCTGAAACTTCATATCGAGTTCATTTCTAGTTTTTAGTAACTGCAGGAAGTAGATATAAGGAATTATTTCTCAGTCGTGCAATACGGAGTATAGAATTGTATAAAGGAAATTTTTATGTAGAAATTTCTTCTTGTATCAATTTTTTTTTTCTGAGCAGATTTCTTCACCCAACATTACTTTTCCTTTCAAGAGAGCAGAGCTTGAGAACGTGGCGGTTTGAAATTTCATTTCTGAAATGAATATATGAATTGTATACGAATTTATATATTAGATTTCCTTCAAATCATTCGTCATCTGAGAACGATAAACCTACACAAATCCATCCAAGTTCTTGTTTAAGAGATTATTGCATTGATTTTGTGGTAACCTTTGAGGCCGTTTAAACTGGTTTTCTAATTCTTACTCTGAAACAAATTTCCTTGAAAGTAGAATTGCTTATTAAAGCGCAAGTTGTTGTTGATGTAAGAATTATCAGCCTTTTAATGATGTGGTCTAGCGACTATTATTGTTTGGTAACTACTACATTCGCAACAAGTTACTAACTGACTGCAGTAAATTATACTTTGAGGAACAGCGAGCAAGAAATAGGAGTGACTCGTTGGTTTCATCTTTTACACTCTTCAGTTTTATCTACGAGGAATTAAACCGGAACTGTTGAATTCCGTTGATTTTTTCCGCCATTAGAATTTATTTGAAGCGATTCAGTTGAATTATTGCAGATAATATTTTCTTCTCTCGACCATTCCTCAAATAAGTAGAATAGATTGAGAAAAAAGATAAAAATTGAGTCATCACTAGAGCTTTCATAAATCTGCACGTTAAATCAAAAAAGAGCTTGTCGCTTACCCACAAACATCAGTAGCAATATTGACAACGAAGATGAGTATATCTTCTCAAGCTTCATTTTCGCAAACAGCCAAGTTATCCCCGGTCGACAACTTAAATGCCAGCCTCCAGAATACAATTGCCTCGAAATTTCCATCTGCGAAGATATTTAAACCGGTTTCGAGCCCTGACAGGCACTGATGTGATAGCCACATTTCCGCGAAGCTCAGTGCACAACGTAGCGATTGACATATCTTGTTTGAAGTCTTACATGACTGACAGTCTTCAAGGTCACGTGCCCGTATGGTTGGATAAACATCCTAATTATTATAAAATTAGCATTTTATAACGAGGGTTTCATTTCTTAAGCCAAGTTTTTAACAAACTTCACCGATGTGTTGTACATAATTGTGGGGTCTTGCTGGATGACTAATGGCGTACAAAGCACGCTTTTTATGCCTCAGTAACTTTGCTTTTGGTAACTTATACTTGCTTTTAGTAACCTATACTTGAGCCAACGTACCTCAAGTTGAAAGCCTATTACCATTTCCTAACGTCACATAGTAGACAACATGGTGATCAGTGTGCATACTCACGTTCCTCTGTGCACCATTCTTGAGCAGCACCAACGGTGGACCAAAGAAGGGTTTACTCGGTTTTTGCAAAAGAGTGTGGTTTTCCGTTTTTAGTGAACAATGGTACGAAAAGGTGCCCAGCACAGACGATAGATAACGAAACTGTGAGGGATAACTGCACGATACTTATTCGTGCTCTTGGTTCCCAAAAAACTTTCCTTATGTCAATTATGTTGAGTTTTGATCCATGTATTTTGACGTCAGTTGGATCCGGACCAACTAGGGATTGTTTTGGAAGCTTTTATCTGTTCCGTAAACTATTTTCTTTCTAAATATTTCTTTTAATTTATGTTAGTAAATAATCACTTTCCTCGTTGATTTCTTCTGTCCATCTGGATTCCTGTGTTCACATCTTGTTTAAATAAAGCTATTGCATATGGGTTAAGAACAGATTAACTAGGTTATATCCATTTTATTGATAGTTTGTTGGTTTATGGTAAAGTTTCGTTCACTTTCGGTGGGTTTTATCATTAGGACAGAACGTAAGCTGGACTATTTCCGGGTTCTTTTGACGAGAGACTATTTGCATGCATGATTCAAATTAATTGTTGTTAAATTTGGAGGCTAAAACAATCTTCATATGAAAAGTTTCTCTCAGAAATTAAAAACAAAGGAAATGACCTTCAACCTGTGGCTTTCCGGACATAGTTTTCTTCCTGTTGGAAACCTGTCTTTGAATTTTTTTTATTGCCTTGGCACTTTTCCTCATCCAGATCACCACTTTTGCTTCTAATCTGAGTGACAGCATTTACTGCACCGCTACTGGGTATGATAATGTCAATGACAGGCATTTTGAATCATCGTTGTGCACTCTTTCCAGTTTCTTCGTTGAGGTAATCAACTGGGGAGTTTTTCTTCTTTTCATGTTCCCCTCTACTTTGCTGAATAGGTCAACAATGATACTTAATTTTGAAAAGTACTGGGAATCAAGTTAAAAACGCATGGGAGTTGAGGCGCTTTCAGCAAACCTGTGACCGTTTCTCTCTGGAAACGGTGTATTGCGTTAACAGCTTAGGACTTTCGTTGACATAGAAACGGAGTCTCTTGAAAAAGATGACTTAAACGTTGGAGGTGGTAAGATACTTCTCGCGGACCTGATAAAGAATACTTAGCGGTATATGTTTTGTCGGTGATTAAAGCCTGACAGGTCTTAAGAAGTGGCAATATGCAGTGACATTAGTACAGAATTGCGAGTCGTTTTAAAACTTTACACCTACGTCTTTAAGTTGAGTGATCCGCGACGTACCCGCTATGACCATTTACAAATGAAAATTTATTCCCTACGGGTAAAATGCCCCAGTCTCCTTTAAAGGATTAAATAGGTGATATATTCGTTGGAGTGGTTTCATGAAAGAAATATGGCGATTAAATTCACGAACATCAGTCTCGTCACCAACATTGTTCGAGTTGATAGTTCCGTGCTAGCTGTATTGCATAGATCCTCATGACAGCATTTAGGGTCGCACCGCACTCCATATTTTTCGCAGTTTTTGTTTGTGCACAAATCTGCCGTACCACAAGTTCTGGAAAAAAGTTCCTCGTATTCATCTCCAGTGAGTTCCTTGTAACGCACTAGATGTTCTTTGATGCAAACTTCGTCGTGCCCATCAGGACAGTCTATGAGTTCCATTTTCGCATTGCATTCCTCCCAAGATATGTTAGATACACACGCATAACATCTGAGGGCCTCACTGCAACGAGGCACTGAAAAAGGAATAAGGAAACGCTGATAAATTTCCTACCGGAGCAATCTCGTTTTCAGGGTTTTCGAAGGGATAAGTCCTTGGAACGAGTTTGCAACTGTTGTCACGCAATCCGTTATTTTTACTAACTAAAAATAAAGTGATTGTCATCGATATTCTCACTGGATTAGACTGTCGTGTCATGCGGTTCTTGTCTGACGTCTGCAACAAAAGCTTAGTTTAGTAAGAACATATCTTCTCGTCTTTGTGAAAGAGGAGATCTGTCTGGGCTTTTAAAATCCCAGTCAGACTGACATTTTTCCTTTTTTTCGTTTGGTCCGAATCTTTTACTTCTGGTTGCCTCTCAGCTGGAAGTTAGAGTGCATCAGCTCCTTTAAACCATAGGCCATACAGCTTTTCTTTGTGCAGTATGAAAAACCTCGAGTACCAGGTGTACAGTTTTGTTGTTCTCGTAATTTTGTAAAGTTTTAGGTTTTGCTTCTTACGGATATTTTATAGTACAATTGATTGATGGAATGCAAATACAACATGAATGTTTTTTCTTTTTGCCAAGTTTTTTGTGTTTCTCTTAAGAGAAAAAAGAAGAGGAGCGGAAAATGAATGCATCAGAATGGGCAGACAATATGTGTATTTGCACTTTGTTTCTTGGCGTTTCTGATGCTTCACAGAATAGAACCTATCCTGTCGGGTGACACAAAAACCATTTGTGAAGGTCTTTGTGTGACTCTGTGAAAAAAATACCACAAACAAAGCCGCATTTGTAAAGCAGCATATGTATTGTGCTCCCGCTGGCACAAATTTCACCGCTGTGAATGTTAAGTTACAAATGAAAATATTTTGAAATATAAACTAACTGTGGAAAACAGGTTTTTATAGTGTACATGTTTCGCTGTGCACCTTTCCTTCAATCTCCATTAGCGTAAAATCACTTGTGATATTGAATCACATCTGTGTCGCAATTTCAAAGGTCATTCTCAGTGATTTGCATAACTTGTGACACAGTACAACTAATTAAACGAATCTCCAGAGGAACCTTCGGGTAACTTTCCTAAATCGGAAGTTTTTTTAAAAAAGAAAAGAAAAGTAAATTGAAGGACAATAATGATATTATTTTGGTCGGAGAGTAAACTAAAGCTCCCTTACTCTATTGTGTTAATTAGACCAATTTGAATTGTTCAGTTGACTACACTGAATGTTGCGAAATATTTTAGCAATTAAATGGTGGAAACTTCTCTTATTTCGTTGCTTTCACACAGAATAGACCGAGAAGCTCCCAAACCAATTAATATATCATTGTGGTGACTTTTTTCAAAGTCTCTCATATAATTTGAGTTTGAATGGTGGCCTTTCAAAGCGATTGCATTCAAAGTGATTGTTTGCAATCCTTAAATCTGCGAAGGAAATATCTGCCCATTGGCGCTGATTTGTAACGCAGAGGTTTTGCACAGATTGTTCGTATATTTCGCATGTTTTCATTTCATTTGATACCGTGTGCTCGAAAGCAAGAACTAATTTATTTGTTTGCATCGATTGTTTGCCAGGGTTTTTATTAGCTGTTAGCAGATTTCAATGTCAGCTTAGAGTGTAACAAAGAAATTTAAAAGAAATTGGCCTCGGATACAAAGACAATTGACTATTCTGCAACTGCTTAAAAGAAAACTTTCGTCTTTGCATCAAATTAAATACGGACATTTCGTGACTTGGACGTCTTCACTGTGGCGTCTTCACTGTGGCCTCTACACCATTTTCATGTAAACAAAACAAAACATCTTACTTACCCTTTGTCAGTAGAACTAAGACAAACGACGCGTAGCGAAGAAAATTCGAGCGCATTCTTCCGCTCTCAAGATTGAAGAGCTAGCAGCTTTCTTCGTCAGATCCTTTTGTATTGTTGGCTTTTTGTATTCCAGTCGAAATGTGACTCGTACTGTTAGAACGATCTATTAGTAGCAAGATCTCGTGACACGAACTGCGTGCGCGAGAATTAAAGCGTGACTGTGTCGTGTATTAGGTTTACTTTCGGGAACAAGAGATCATCGCGACGTGTGTTCGAAAATGACGGCTGAAAATTACAAAGTGTAATGGGGAGTTTGTTTAGTAATCTTAAATTTCTTATTTTGTGAAGTTTTTTTTCTAAAAGAGGATTTTTCAGTCAAGTCGTTCTTTTTTCCTCTGATATTGATTTTGTAAAATTTAAATTCGGTCGCCAAGTAAGAGTGCATATTTGCATGTCATTGTTATTGTCTGAGGGGAAGGCAGGGAATGTTTGCCTCAAAGGATTAACTTTTGCAAGAGGGCAAATGTTTGTTTTTTGTATTAGGTCGTTTTTGTTCGTCTCCAGCTCATGCACGCACTTAAAAAAAGGTGTATAAAAAGTTTCAAGGGATTTTGCTAATCCAAGAAAGTCTGCTGGTGCCCTCTGCTCTAAGGTGACCGCTAAAACCATTCGTAGTTGTTCTGGTTGTTTAGCAAGTCGTTGGGTGTCTGACAGATACACCCACACATTTTTCATTTAATATTTTTTTGCTCAGCAAATACACGGAAAAGACATTCATTTCACCAAGTGTTGCACTTTATTCACAGCAGTGTATCCGCTTTGTGTATTTTAGGAACACAGCTTGTATCAAAGAATTGATCTTAAAATGTATTCAAGTAGCTGCAAAGATTAAAGTCAATATTATTTACCCTTAACTTTACATAAAATTTGAAACATCAAAAATTATCAAACGTGTTTCACGCGAGCGTTCCTCTGACAAGTTAAACCGTCTGTTTTTACGTTTGGTCACTACTTATTTTGGTGTACAATTTTTTGCGCAGCTTTTCGCATTTTTATTACACAATTGTGCTTTATTGTCGGGTTTCAAATCAAAATGTAAAGTTTACCCTTGGCTTATGAAGTGAGGCGATTCATAGCTATTGGTAAAATAATTCAAGAACCTTCATTGTTACTAAGAGTGCAATGTGATCCAGAAAAATGTGCAAATGACTTGAATCTCATGATAATAGCTTAGGAGGATTTTATCTTGATTATTGTAAGAGTGAAAAAGTAACAAGTTTGAAACGAATCATTTTCTTTTTACCAACGTCTTCCTGAAAAGTGTAAACATTTGACGTGGTACTTTCTGTGATTTCCTAATTTCCCGATTTCCTAAATTTACGAGGATGTCACGTAATGTTTGCGCGCCTGATACTGAAGGGAATTTTTTCTCAATTGTTAAATTAAACCCACTGTGGCCACAGAGTAGTATCTGTATTCTCGAATCAAGTTGTTGAGGAAAAGAGATGTCAAAAAAAATCTATAATTATGAATTTTAGTCACAACATAAAGTTTATTAATCATTGGTGACAAATTTAGGAGGAGCGTTTTGCATTACGGTTGTGAAAATGTTGTTTTTTGACTAGCCTGGACAGAAATCATGACATGCGCGACATTCTGGGAACAGCCAAGTCAATTGAGGTCATGAAGGAAGTTTGTCAGACGTTAAAAGAGAGGGTACAGGTTTGTAATTGTACTTTGTTTTGTCAACAATTTTTGAACCTCTCGATGTTACTGCAGAAATTAGACTCTATTTCCGGTTAATTGAGCAGTTTTGAAATCAATTAGAAAGAAAGACGAAACGCAGGATGAAGAAACCCAATATCGTTGGGCGAAATTTTAGATTATGAATTTATGGCTGATCGATTGAATGTCGCTATAAAGCTGTAACGACACGTTTTGTCCCATTGTTTTGATCCATCTCGAATAAAACTTCTTTAAGTAATTAAAAGTCACAATCCCTCTGCTAAATAGGCTTGGTATTGATAAAAGCTACAGTGATGCTTGTTATCACTGGTTTCAGAGAGACATTGAAGAAAATGGCGAGCCAGATTCCTCAGAGATTCCCTATTGGCGGTGTCAACCATATATCAGGTAAGAACCTAGTTCAAGCGGACGTTTTCCAGTGGAGCGATCTTAGGCTTGAAGTCAAAGGTGGTTCAGTCTCCGAAAAGAGTGTAAAATCCGGTCACTGTATTTCACATGCAGTCTCATGGAGCCAAAAAGTTACTCAATGAGCGCACTCATTTATCTCACAATTGCAGATCAAATACCTCAGTCAAACGAACACTCGACCAGGTGAAAGAAGAAGAGGAAAGAAGCAAAGAGGTGGCAAAGCTGCGGGAGATGAGAAAAGCGTTGAAGAAACAGAAAGTGAAAGTGCGAAGAGGTAATTTGACTTTGCTTTATTTGTTTTTTTTTTTTTTGGTGTTTTTTTTGTTTCTTTTTTAACTGGTTTTAATGCATAGTCTCTGTATCTTAAATGTATAATTTTATTGTTGGAATTCTTAATTGATATACCATTTGTCAACAGAACGAACGTGGGATATCTGTGCAAAGTGTGAAGTAAATCCAAAGGTAGGTGTCACAGTGGCTTAACTGTGAGTCTTGCCTTTCGTTGATTAGCCGGAAACTGGTTAGCCACGTTGTTGAGAAGTTAGCCCAATAAGTACCCTAAACACGCGAATAACACTGCATTATTGACCCATCATTGGTAAAATGCACCCCGCTTCACTTGTAAAGTTGGACTAAGTGTAAAAATTCAGCCTGCATGGTTAACGTCAGAAGGTAGTCTCTTTCGCAGCCAATGTTAAGTCCTGTTTTGCAACATAGTTTTCTTATTTCCTTACGTGCGTGACCACGTGACCAAAATAAGTCTTTAGGAGAGACGAAAAGAGGAGGGGGAGAGGGGGTGTGTTCCTATTGTGCCACTCCCTCCTCTCCCTTCACATTCTGCATCAGCTAAAATTTTATTAGTATTTTATAGTTCCCTGAAATGACATGTGCGCCGCTAAATCAGTAAATTTTGAAGCCCGTGAGCTTTGTGAAGTTCGTGGCTGTAACGATGTATAGCGCTTAAAACCTGAAACTGAGTCTTTTTCATTTCAGGGATTGAAATGTGTATTCGATTTGTGTCGGACTTGTTGTCACGTCAAAGTAAATGAAGGAGTCACGGACTGTCGAGGTAATTACCAATGATCAGTGTTAAAATTTTATCGGATCGGCAAAATAAAAGTACACGACTCGTTCCGTCATTTCTGTTTCAGGACACCGAAAACGTTTAAAGAGACACGACGCTACCACTGTGAAAGAAGCTGTCAATGACCTCTCTACGAAAACCGATATTGAAACAGGAAGGGTACAGCAAACGCAGATTGTGAGCTAACATACATTTTATTGCACTTGCAAATATACTCTCCGAGTCATATGCTGGCAGACTGATGATAGAGGTTTCTTACTGCGATATACTTTCGTTGAGAATGATCTCATTGACAACTATACACGCGAGAATGACTATAGAAATTTGTATTAGTATGTAACCACCACAATGTGTTGAAATATGCTCTGTTCGCGTAAATTTGTTTCATCAATATTTCTTGGGGAGGACATTCGTGTCCAGTCCAAAATTGTAACACGGGACTTTGGTCAGCTGTTGTAGGGTTCCATAACTGTAAATGCACCGAGGTATTTGCACGCGACGGAAGATAGCTGTGATTTATAGTAACTACCTTGAAAGACATTCCCATCACTCAGAGTTCTTTTTATCCTGCGCTCCAAGTTTACTTTGCAGCTTTTGTGCCAACCGTTACTCGTCAATGCCTTCTATTTCTTCTAGTTACGTATTAACCGATTTAAAATTCTCAGAAAATCTTACATTTGCTCTTGAATTACATTTTGAAAATGTGATCGAATTGTTGTTGACCTGCTTTTTGTTGTTATTTCGAATGATGAATAAATAAAGTTGTGCGGCAGATTTAAATATTAAAGTAAGCGATACTATTATCACGATACTATTTTATTTAAGAGATAATTAAATTGTAGATTATCATCAGGATCTTGTGGATAATTGTGATAATTGGAAAGTGAACCTTTAAGGAACATGAGCTTATTCTTACATTTGCTCTTGAATTACATTTTGAAAATGTGATCGAATTGTTGTTGACCTACTTTTTGTTGTTATTTCGAATGATGAATAAATAAAGTTGTGCGGCAGATATAAATATTAAAGTAAGCGATACTATTATCACGATACTATTTTATTTAAGAGATAATTATATTGCAGATTATCATCAGGATCTTTTGGATAATTGTGATAATTGGAAAGTGAACCTTTAAGGAACATGAGCTCATTCTGTTTGATACCGGCCCTTAACAGAGATAATTTTGGATTTTCGGAAAGTGTCGTTGTCTTCTGAAAACCCGCATTCAAAGGAACGAGTAGTATTTATAGATCAAAGAGTTCGACGGCCTCGGCCTGACCCTTTTACTTCTTTTAGTTGCCAAAGTTGATCGGAGTTGTTCACGAAGCTCCATACCCCTCAAGTGATACGGCAACGGACGCGAAAATTCTCTTCTTCGAAGAAGGTCTAACGTTTCATCGTTAGAGGTATCTACCGGTTCACCTCTTGTCTTGTCGATCCCGGATATTGGCGAAGATAACGGTGTTGTCAATGAAGAAATGGCAATGTCATCGAGTGAAGAAGTGTCATCTGGACCACGTATACTAGAACAGTCGTCGTAGTTCATATTCATTAGAAGTAAAAACCGGATTATAAAAAGAAGCTCTTCATCTCGTTGCACTTCGTCCATTGCAAGTTTCTCGATTAAATCAGACATTCTCCCCAACATCCTCTCTTGCGCTAAGGACTTCATGATAAACAAGCTTGATGTGACACATTTTAGTTTTTGAATTGTTCTTTTTCGTGTCTCTACATCAGCCATTGTTGCCGGTCTCTCGCACTCAAATCGAACCACGTTCGCTCTTCTTTCAGCATCGTTCTCCTCTTTTAATTTGGAAATTCGCAGTTGTTTGCGTCTCGCCATATGACGAAGTCTTTGAGAGTAGACGACTACAGATGTAAATGTTAGTTTTCCATGTGGGACATTTTCCTGAGGTACTGGATGTTCATTGTCATTTTCTCGTTCAGTTTCTTTATTAAACCCTAAAAGTTCACGTAGTCTTTCCAATATAAAGTCGTGCATTTCAAAGTCTTTCGACTGTTTGTCCGTATTTTCTCTGATGTCCTCATAAGAATCATTTAGAATGGCAACAAAAAAGTTGACGAAAATGAACGACATAAGAGTAAGGAAAGAAAATCCAAACAGGGGACCTAGAACTCGATTCGCTCGTCGCAGTTCTTCCAAGTCCATTTTTCCGCCGAGGCACATGACAAATTCGGAAAACACCGTTCTTTGAAACGATGAATAACGCAGCATGTACTCACCAAAAGCTAGTCTACCAAACTGAGCATATGAGAAGATAATAATGGCAAATATCACAGAGTATGACATGAGTAATCCTCTTGATAAACGAAGTGATGACATCATTATGCTGACGTGTGGATTAAACCGGATCATGCGCAGAAGTTTCACAGTTGTTGTGAAAACCGTCAGAGCTAAAACGGAATTCTCTGCGTGGTTCCAGTCAACGGCCTCCCCGAAACTTACAGAAGCAAAAGGGTTTTTCTTTACTTTTACGACACTTTTCAGAACCATTTGTGATTTTAAAACATAGAAAACTACCACCAGAAAAGAAAAAATGATTTGCAAAATCTGCACCCAATTCCATGCATTTCGGAAATAAGAACATTTCTGCTTAAAGATATTATAAACCTCTTTTAGCACAAAGAAGATTACCATGAGGATGAACAGTAACTGACAAATCAGGTAGAACCGGTGGAAACCAGTTTCCGTGCTCGTCACTAGAAGCGTGTCGATCTTTGCGAAAGGATTACCGTACCCAGTGGGGAGTACTTCGTAATGATATGTCGATATGCTGATGTATCCTGTGTTTGGATTGTAAATGGAGAATTCAAGTAACACTGCGCGGGTCTGGCGGTCGACCCAATCGTATTGTCTCAAGTTAGTAATAATTCTGTCAGCAGTGAGTTTACTATAACCTAAATCTGCTATGTATCCACCTCCATCATAAACGTGAAAGAAACCCCAGCTTGGCGAGTTCTGGATCTTTTCTTTTTTTACGTAACGCCATGGGGCCGGGCAAAGATCTGAAAAGTTAGCCCACGAAACCGAGCCTGTAAATGGCATCCATCCAGGTAGATGAAAATGAGTTCTGTCCTCTTCGTTGATGTTGTAGAAGTCATTGCAGTGCTTTACTACCTCTTGTAACTCATCCGGAATCAAACAAGAATCTAAAACAGCAACACCAGGAAATATAAGCGACGTTGGTTGTAGTTCAACGATGGCTTCTAAAACGTTTTCTTCGAGAACATTGTCTTCATTGGACAGTACTAGTTAATTTGAAATATGCAAGCGACATAAAAACCAGAAAATGCAAATTTCTATTTTTATTTTACTGAGAGAGCGATTTTTACTATACACTCTTACATACTTGACATACCTTTCTGTACTCTCAGCTGCCTTAAACGGGGCACTCCCAGGAGAATGGACATCTTGTCACCAATGTACTCTTGCTCTTTGACTCTCTCATCATTGTACCACTTACCAGCATAAATGCCATTCACAAACTGACCATTCAGCCAAGTCCAAAAGATCCTGGGGTCTTTGGCCTGAAGAAGAACCGAAAGAGCTCACATAATGATTTACTTCTCTTCACTTTATTCGAATGACCGTCGGTGCAGTTTGTTGCATTTGTGAGATCCAGTATGTAGGGAACCGAGAGTCCGATTGCTGACACGTGGCAATCAACCGAGGCATAAAAGGCTACTATACTTCATTAATTTTGAAACTCCGCTTAAACACTTCATGCAAAGGAGCACCGGAATTACTCCGGTGATCTTCGTATCGAAATGTTGATGTCCTAACATAATTATGCTTAATTTAGGTTATTTTTTTATAGGAATGAGGAGAAATCCGCGAAGAGACTCAGGACTAAGCAAAGTTCGTTAAATTCCTCTTTGTTTTAGCTTTGTTGAATACTTACCAATGAATAACTGCTGAAGGTGTCTTTTAGATTCTTAGTCATGAGATATCCATGGTAACTTCTGTTACCGTAACAAACGATTGTTAGTAGCAGTAAGAACAGTAGATACACCACAAGTTCTCTACCAAAGGAATACATCTTTGCCTCCTTTACTCTGTATTCTCTGGCTTGTTCAAGCGCAGCTTCCTCCGGGATTTCAGCTGTTCTACCTTGAGTGTCACATGCAACTTCTGTTTCCAAAGAAGATAATTGTGCAGTTGTCTCGTGGTTTTTAACATGACGAAAGTCAGCGTCATTACGGTTGCTAAGGAAACATGCAGCTAGAACCATGAGAAGAACTATTTTGATTGGCTGAAGAACGAACAGATCCTCAGTGAAAGAAACTAACATAGAGGACAACCACTGGTTTGCAATGTCTTTTCCCCACATTAAGCTGAAGAAAAAAGTAAAGCACGCAGATACAGACACAGTAGCAAGGCTTAGAAACCAAGCAATGTAGATACAGAAATGAGGACAAATGAAGTCCTTTTTGGTTTTGCCCCACGTTCGTTCTCGTGTTCTTGTCCAGAAGGAAGTATTACTTTTCGATGCAGCTTTTACGCCGCTTGTGTCCTCTTCGCAGCCTAAGGAAGAATAACTGTTGCGTCGCACAGGCTCAGGCGTATCTTCCCGCTTGGTCACAACTGTATTAGAAGGTTTTTTCGCACTATTTTTGAATAATGACGTGATGAGCAAGTTCACAGGAGTAACTATCAGAGCACTCTCAATGCCCACCACAATCTGCCTCCAGCTGAACTTCAATGGACCAATCTGTATGGTAGGATCTTCTGTCTTTTCAGTCCTGTAGAAAAGAGCATTTGCAAGCATGGCAGACAGAAGTAGACACAAACAACATGTAGCTCGTTGCACGCGTGTGAATTTGTTCCCCGGTGGCTTGGTTACAACAGAGAGCCACAAATGTCCCTCAGAAAAACTCTCTGAGCCTCGTGAGTTAAGAAAGTGTTTAAAAGTTTTCATCTCTCGACGAGAGAGAGGTGTTAAAATCCTGTCAATTTTACCGTCTCCTTTTTCTAAAGCCAGCCAACTGTTGCTTATAAATGTCCATTTCTTCCCTGTTTGGCGGTCCTTCACAACAGCATGGCTGAAATACCAAGAAGGACTCTTTCCTGAGTTGTCATGCCAAACACGGATGTATTGCACAATGCCTAGTGACATTGGTAAATGAATAACAAATCTATCGTCGTTTCCGCGGGCCAAAATTTTCCTGGAGTTGATCATGTCCTTTTGTAATATTATGGGTTGACTCTCCGCCTCGCTTCCATGAATGACAATGGCGACATTAGCATCCGTCCCAGACTCTCTCCAGACTCCCGTTACCACGGTCAAATCGTAACCGTAAGAGGCCTCCTGGGTCAAAGTTAAATGGAACGCCGGGCCTCCCTGTGGAAAAGCATAAATAATAACGATAATTGAAAAAAAATAACTTCAGGGAGTCAAAGAGAAATTCGCCTTTTCGTATGAAAGCACAAAATGTAAGTTGGAAGTATGAAAAGATGATTTCATAAAGGTGAGGAGGCGTATCGTCATAATATTGCTAGGTGTTACTTCATAGATCAAATGACCCTTGCATATCGAGTAAATATTGAAGACGTAATTTAGCACAAAAAAATATTTCGTGAGAATTAATATTTGAGACTTTGAATTCAGTTTACAAAAACAAGGAGCTACCTTAGCTTGATCTCGTTTATCGGCTTTCCTTGCGAATATGACCACAAGCAAATACAACAAGAGCACAATGATTATCGCACAAAGGACAGCAATGTTTCCAGTTTGGTCGAGTCGTCCGAGTTCTGTAAACACGACATCAAAATCCAACGTGTTAGGCATCACCAGGACACCTCCTCCAAATGACGTTAAGTGGTTACACAGGCAGTGTAAGGATCCTAAATCAGATTTTGGTCCTACCTTAAATAAAAGACAAATAAACTGTAAAGATTTAAGTCAACTGCTCTTGTCCGTTATTCAAGTAGAGAAGATTACTATTCACAGCTAGGAAGATAACTTAATCAAATCTACGAAAGTGGTAACGTATTTTTAAAGACATTTGATCAGTTAAGAACACTAATCAATGAACTTCTCGAGTTCATTTAGCTCCTTCGACGAAATGTTATTAGGTACGTAAATTGCCTAAGAGATTACCAAACGTCAACCAAATGGAAAAAAGATTGTCGTATGAGAGGAAAGAAAAATGTCTGCAGCTGAATTTTTTTCTAAAACTCTTACTCTACATCCTGTCGACAACCAGTGTTCTTCTCTGCTGTCCCAAAAGACGCAACTCTCCTCCAAAATGTTCATCGAGTAATTCATGTCTGTTCTTGAGTTGTAAACAGGCTTTATTGTCTTGTTCTCGGGTCTTGGAGGATCCTTAACTTCCACACACGACCTCTTCTGCCGACCACTTCCGAAGCATGATCGTTTCTTTCGTCCCTGAGGTCTAACGCTGCCTCCTTCGTATAATATACCGATGTAGTATTTACCCGCCTCACCGATTAATTCATGGTACAAGACAACATCGTAAGCGTCCTCGCTGCAACCACGCTGAGAAGCCTGAGGAGATATGGAACACGACTCATCGGGGATTCTCTTGGTTAGGTCGTATTCTGTGACAGTTGGCCGCCGACCTTGTCGCACAAACACCCTAAAGATGGTGGGTCTTTCTGGTGTGATCTGAAAACAGATTTTACTACTGATTACCCTGGCAGAATGATTTTGCTATGTGAACTTTTTATCGAAATTTCCAAGAGATGGATCAGCTTAATGCAAGTCATACTTACACGTAGCTCACTGGTTAGGGTGTTGCATTATTGATCAAAATTTGTGAACAATTTTGTGCTTTTTGCTACGTTTTAAGTATTTTATTTCTTTTTTTATGAATTTTTCTAAGGTTCTATCAGACTTTTCCAGCTTGGTTCATCTTTAATTTCAGAGCCTACTGTTTTTTTTTATCTTTTGATCCCACCGAATTTATTTTTAATTCGCGTGTTCAGTCGTCATATGCATCAATTTGTCCAAAGCTCAAATAAGACCAGGACTGTGGCCAGCCAACCAACCATGCAACCGACCAATCAAGCGGCTTACGTACGTGTGTCCGAAAGATTCTGAATAAACGTTTTAGACAACATTACTTACTCGAAGCCGTAGAGCATTCCCCCCTACACCTGGTGAGTTTATTTCATGGTATTGCATTTTCCCCTCACTGCTGGGCTTCACAAAGAACGAAACTCTTTTCTCCGGAGTAAATCTCACTTTCCGTGGAATCTTGATCTCTATATCCTCTCTGCTGTCTTTGACTGTTAAAGGTTCTCCTTCGTCATCTTTAAGGTTCAAACTAAGGACATGAGAATCCCTGACAACAGCTGAACTGTTATCCCAAGTGAAAGGATTAAAAGCACTCATCGTCAACTGTAAAAAGACACGACTATTGTGAATACATATTATTCAGCATTTACACTATGCAGTTCTGGTGCGAGATGGCGTTTACGAAAGCATTCTGAGTATGTGTAAACCCAGAGAAAATATTAAAGTAAAGTTTAAAGTTCTAGAGACGCCCCGCTTTTTGTCTTATACAGGACTAACTACATTCAAGGAAACCAATGCAAGCTTACCACGCTATCTATATATTTAGGAGTTGTCGCTATGTCATCAATTATGGCAGCAAGAGGAAATTTAAATCCTGCCTTATCATCGTCTGTGAAGTCTGCACTGGTTCCCCTTGATCTGGAGCTCATTCGGCTTAGTTCCATGTTGATGGACTTAGTATCAATACGGCGAGGTTCTTGATCCACCGTCATCTTTGACAACAGAGCTGTTGCAACGTCATCAATGAGTTTCTCCGTATCTCTGGAGATGTTTTCACTCTGCAATATTAGATTTAAAAAATGCTTGCAGGTGCCAAGATATTACCTTAAATGGTTTAACTTGTTCCAAAATGATCTATTTGACCTTCTGATCAGGTTCTCAAGAAAACATTGTTTTCATGATGTCAGTCACATTTTTCTGGGATAGAACGCATACAGATTCGGTAAGTTCGAAACTAACCTTAGATCGTACGTCCGCTGGCTCCTTTGTTTGACTGACAACATTAGCTTTCTGGGCAGTGGAATGGAGAAGATTTCCGAGGCTCAGTACCAGGTTCTCTCCTCCTTCCTTAACTAAGACATATTCTGAAGCATAATCCTCTGTCGTCTTACTCGAAAGTAGTGACGTCATAGAGGTGAGTGTTTTCAGTGCAAGTTTCTGGTGAAAAGCAAAATGCGTTTTTTTGTCAAAAGTTTCGAATTATGCCCTTGAAAGTTTGATCGTCAGTTGAGGAATAGCACTGAAACGGGACCGCGTGTTTAGAATAAAAAATTGAAATGTTATTACATCGATGTACTAAAGAATATATCGCGTGTAGTAAGTAAGTGGTCATCTTCATCCAAACGATACATACTGTTAGAAAAAATTGTCTAAATTAAGTCCTAGAACATTCTAGAACAGTTCTATATAGAACTGTCTAGAACCCGAAGTCATCCAGCCGTGACCTTCTTGTGTAAGAACATTCTGGAACGTTCTCTTTCGAATGTAATTACTCAGGTTTACTCGGGTTCTTAATTTTGTTCTTTAGAGAAGTTTCTAGATCCTTGAACTTTAGTCTAGGAACAACCCTGCTCTACATTGACACTCGTAACACATACCTGAGTGTCGAATGTCACCTCGCTGGGTTCCAGTGTTGCTCGTGCAATAACTGACGTCACCTGAGTCAAAGACTGTAAATTGCCAACTTGTATCTCTGACACAGTCTTCACAACAGAATCTTTAATCTGTAGGAATAAGTCAAATGGCTCTTTTAACATACTTTTGATCCTTTTTACAGATTGCTCTGACTGTTACATAATGTTACATCATGGTTTTATCGGAGATTTTCATTCTCACCAATACGTGTGATCAAGCAAATACAAGGTTCAAGCAGGATCATTTAACAAAAAAGAGGGAACGGGTTGAGGTCAGAAAGCAAAACCTTCGGTGCAAAGAAGAACTTAGAACTCCAAATAAGATTTTTTTATCCTTCAGTATTTCACAGTATTTCACCGCTAATGATTATTCGCCAGTTCGTAAGGGAAGTTAATGAATGAAGGGAGTAAGTTTCTAGAGAAACTGTGGTGGTAAGTCGGTGAGAGAGTATAAGGCCTAGTTCAAACGTCGATCTTTACATGTACCGAACCTAATTACAATTTGGGTCGACTCGAATAATTAAGAGCGGCAGTTGATTCAAACGTCGATCCGAATTTAGTTGATCCTAATTGCAAAACCGAACATAACTCCATAGTAGTCAGCGGTTAATGCCTACCAAAATGGCGGAAAAAACAAGAGGAGCACGAGCACGAGCCTTCCTCCTTTCCCGCCATATTGTTTGAATGGTTCGAAGGCTTTCGCGCATGGCACGTAAGCGAACTTTCTTGAATTGTGGGTAAAACATAATTATTTTAACGTATGTATAATGTATGCATTAAGTTCGGTACATGTAAAGTACGACGTATGAATCAATGCCGATCTTTTACCGTTCTATCCGACTAGCCGAGTCGGATAGAACGGCACTGTCGATCCGAATACAAATCTGCCGATCCTAATTGATTCAAACGTCGATCTTTACATGTACTTAATAGAAACGTTAGGTTCGGTACATGTAAAGATCGACGTTTGAACTAGGCCTAAGTATTATCAACTGAGTTGAAAACCTAAATTGGCCACCGTAAAGAGTTTAAAAGCTGGCGTTTCGAGTGTTAGCCCTTCGTCAGCTCTTCGTTAGTCCTTCGTTAGCCCCTCGTCAACCCTTCGTTAGCCCTTCGCTCTGACGAAAGGCTAACGCTCAAAACGTCAACTTTTGAACTCTTTACGGTAGCTGATTTACGTTATCAACTCAGTTGATAATACTAAATTACACCGTAGGGGAGGTGATCCCCTTCTCCCATGAATTTATGAATCGTCGGTGATCAAATGTGTGGGTGTTAATGTATAACCTACAGCAATCTTTTCCTGGGCAGTAGTTGACTTTCTCTGTTCAGCGCTCTCTAGCACGGCATTTGCTAGTTGTGTGGCGCCACGGACATCTCCTAATTGGACTAGTTTCTTGAACTCACTGTTGTTGCCGACGGTTAGTTCGCTGAGACTCTCACCAGCGGGCGCAGGTTTAACCTGGGTAACGTTAAAGACGGTGAAGAATGAAATCTATAGCACTATCACTGAGTACTTCTTGAATTTTTTTTGAGGCCAAATTGTAGGAATTTATGACGCGTAGTAATAGGAACTTAAAGCGCTAATCCCATTGACGCATTAAAATTTCAAGACACTTACAGGATACTATAAAAGTTAAAAGATAACATCAATCAGAGGCTAATTTCTCATTTTCTACAATGGGTGAAAAATGGTACGCAATTCTTGACTTTGTTTTAGTCTGTCCTTCGTTGTCTGTGGCGTACCAAAAAACAAATTTTCCAAAATATCAGAGCATTTACCTCTATTTCAAGAAGGGTGGTATTTGCAGCAGAAAAACTGTCAGACACCATTACTTCAAAATATATCGTATAATTATCTTGTTTCTTCCCCGGAGGTAGCACTGTCCTGACAAGACTTTCTGAGCCGTATGAAATTACTGTGTACAGGCCATTCTCGGTTTTGTAATGGTATTGGTACGTAATTGGTTTATCTCGGTCCTACACAGAAAAAGATATGGAGAAAGAAGAATAATAAGTTCACTTTCCTCGCCTTGAAAACCGAACAGATTTAAAATTTAGGCGAAACAAAGCTTGACTTGAAATGGTCAAATTCTTGCATACATAATTAATTAGACAAATGTCATCTACTACTGTTGGAAGGTGACTCCTTTTCCTCGAACGTTCTGATCATTTCGCTTTATTTCCAATATTCTCACCTGCCAATTTCTGCATTCAAAGATAAACTGCGTTTTCAAAGCCTCTCCTTTTGTTGGTGTCACGCTGCAAGATCCATGTTGAGGTGGGGCGTTAATTCTGAACTGGTAAGTGGCATATCCTGGGGGTTCACCCTGTTGTGAAACTTCGACTTTCAATTGATAAAAGTGGCCTGGCGGTAGCTCTCCTAGTTGGTTCTTCTTTATGACGATGCCAGTGGAATTTAGATTAGTTTCTGCTTTGTCAGTCAGTTGCTTGTCATTGACCTCAACGCCACTGGAATTAACAACGTTTAATTGCCAGTGGTATTTTGCACTCTTACAAGGATCCCCACTGCACTCGGTGGTCAAACTGATTCGCGTCGACTCACTTGCAATCTTATCACAGTTGATGAGGCACCTGCAGTGGAAGAAGAGATATGGAAGCTCAGTTTGAAATTCCTTACCTTGAAACAAGACGGGTTGTTTAATTATGTACCCTGTGTCTGATGAGGTGAATGGATCTATGATAATTAAGGGGTTGTTCAGTAAGGTCACGTACAGGTGACAAGGTAAATGGTATGTTAAAGCCCATAGATGCTCACTTAGCGAAAAGAGGACTAATGTTTGGTCAAGAATAGCAAAAATAGGTGAAATAAGTTATTAAGTTAGCAGACGTGTATATCTGTTTGGTCTTTTTAAGGCCTCTTCTCATTAGCATGGCACAGTTAACATGATAACATTTGCTCTACACACACAGAGAGAGATGCACAGATTCAATCGTGCGCTAATCCCTCCACGTGGTTGCTGTCGCCATGATTATTCAGCCGACCTGTTAGTCAGTCACATACCTCTCTTGAGTTTGTGAGAGGAGCGTTTACACTCTCCCCGAAGAGCAGATTGATATCAAACCAATAACCTCTAGGCCTATGGTTCAGTGCTTTAAATTTCCTTTTGGCTGATTACTTTTAACTACCATTAATTACCTAATTATAACGTTCGGCGGGCTACCGCTGACAATCTTGATTTCTTGCACAAAGTCGTCCTCTCGGTCATCCTTCGTTACCACAAGTTTGACGTCATAGGACATATCTACAGTCATTTGAAATGTTTCTAATGTCACCACCGTTAAATTAGAAATTAGTTTCCCAACACCCGTCCCAAAACAACCGCCTCCTCCTGGGCCCGAGGAAGCTGTAATCACTGGAACCAAAGCCAGAGGGCCGGTGGGAAAAGTTTCTTCTCGTCTTTTACATAGCCACGTGAACTGCATGGAGGAGTAGTTACCAGGCTCCACGTCTGGGTCCCTAGTTGCTGAAGCATCCAAAGTGATGACACTTCCCTTTCCCCGAGTGACTTTGTTTCCTCCTAATATATCGGCTATTATTGGAGATTTCGTGATGCTAAAAAATCCTAAAGTACTGCTTACTGCCGGTGGGTTACTTTCAAGGGCTGCTTTAAAACCCACAAAATAAAGGCCATAACCAAGCTGTCGCTTTTGCAAGTTCCATTCTGTAGTTTTTGAGTTCAACGTGGTTGTCGTTTCGATGATAGTGTCATTTGATTGGTCCACACTATACTTGGATAAACGCCACTCAAACAGCAGCTTTTGTGGTGGATTACAGTTTGTTTTATTCACAAATGTTTGCACGATGAAATCTTTGGAGCGAAGAATTTGAACCATCTCGTTCTCTTTCCATCTTGGAAGATTCAGTATACTAACATCAGGAAGCTGACAGGTTTCATCTTAGCATAGAAGGCAAAAGTAAGTCATGACATCGACAACAAAACTTATTGCAGTATCAATTATGAAAATAACAACAGCAGCAATAATGATATTCAATCGGTATTGACAAATTTTCAATGATTAAATCATTAAATGCAAAACAAGAACTAAACTTAATTACTTTGGCATTGGAGGTGAGAAATGAAGGATTAAAATCTACGTTAGTTAGTGCATAAGGGTAGTTGAGAATAGCGAGTGAGTTGTTTTGAAGGCCCCAACCGGCCTCCTTTTCCGAAGAAAAGCTGGGCTTTCCTTGGAAATTTTTTGGGTTTAAAACAGTGCAGTTGCCTTTTCCTGCATTTTGAGGTCTATTCCAATTTGTAATGTCGTCAATTTGAACCCACATATTTCTTTTTCTTACAAATAAAGCTCCCTTTTCTCACCTTCAGCCCTCCAGAAAATTCCAATCAACTTTATGCTTCCGATTCTGCCAGTTTGGTTAAAGTTGTGCAATGCTCTTTCGACATTTGTGATGTTATTTCTGTCGTTTACAGTCAAAACAGTGGTAACTTCCACACTTCCCGGTCTTTCAAAGAAAGCGGAAAAAATAGTATTGATCAGAAGAAAAAAATTCTCGTTTTGTCAACGTGTCGGTTGATGTCTTTCATAAACTCTTTTCATTTTGAAAAAATTCAAATTTTTAGGAAATGGTTAGAAATGTTTTTATCACTGAAAGGTTTTTTAAAATTGAAGTGTTTTGATTTCTTAAGGACACTAGTAATTCTGGGAAATGGACAAAAACAATGAATTAATGAGATAAACCGAGTCCTATGGTTAGTAAGTTAGAGACTCAGGTAGGTAATGACAATATACACAAGAAACTATAATAAATCCTAAAACTGATACTTTTATCGTCACATATCACGTTAATTAATCATTGATAAAAAAACGTGTTTCCATAAGTGCGGTGCTCGTCATCAGTAACACCATGATAATCATAAAGTATCTTGAAGTCATCCTTAGATCCGTTCTCGGTAATATTTTTAGGTAAAATATTGCGAAGATGTTGCTATATTCAATTGAGCGCATATAGGCCATGTGAAAGGGAGTAGATGCTTACCTTATAAATAATAGAGTTACATCTGTGACACTATATTGTCCGAGTTTCGCAGTGAACTGCAAAGAAGAAAGAAAAGCTGGTTATCCTGCTGTCAATCATACCAAAAACATTACAATAAATGTATTCAAGTCTGTCCACAAGTGAACCGGGAAGGCATGACACGTGCCATCTCACTGATTTCTTTCAAACTTTCACAGTTTATGATGGTCACTAAGTTTTTCGAGAATTCAGAGTGGTTCGGGCTCCCGGCCCATCCCTGGGTTATAAGAGCCCCTGCATCAAATCCCGGGGGTAAAAGGCCGTTGTGTTCTGGCCTTGATCCCGAAATCGGGGGTACTTGCAACACTTCCTTCCAAAAATTGCAAACTCCTCAACGCATTACAGCCAAAGTCCCTCGCAAACTGATTTAACTAACTTAGAATAGCCTCCTTGGAGGAAAGTTACGATAGACTTCTCTACTCTACCCTTCACGGTTAAATGTAACAGGAACAACTGTCCTGTAATGTACCCAAAATTCGATGGATTCCTTTTCAAAGTTTCTCACAGAAAAAAAATTATGCTGCATTAAGTAAAATTATGAAAGGCATATAAAGCGTTTCATTTGTGTCATAAACATTTGGCAAACGTCGCTGTCAACTGACGACGTCCATTACTCAATTTGACATCTGTGAGGGAAATAATAAAACAAAAGTGAAGCGAGGAATCCCAGCGTGAAACCCTATTGATATGTTTTTACTTTACATCACGTTACATGATGAACCATTGAGGGGTTGCCTTACCTCGGTAATAAGCTCCATCTCGAAGTTTTTATACACTTCCGAGTCTTTGTTCAGGAGATTGAGGTCGAAATTGTACTGTTCCCTCCGAAAGGCAAATCGCACGCCTGCTGTGGAGCGGAGATAAACCAGCAATTTTCATATGCGCGTGTTTCACCGATAATGGCTCATGAGATACGGTTGAAATCAGTGCATTGAAATTCGAAACGCGAACGTGCCCGCTTCTTATCATGATATCAGTTTATCACACCCGTGAAACTTTCTCCTAAGTTTTAAATGCTATGATGTTATCATTTGTCCCTTTTGGAAGCCTTCGCTAGTCTACTTTATAAATAGAAACGTTACCATAGGGGGACTTCCGCGCGACATTTTGTTAGGAAAAGTGTTTCCCTTGCCCTGGATCTTTCTTTCTGTAAAACCGGACAGAAACGTAAGTACTGATAACTTTCTGAAGGAGACACCTCTCTCAATACGGTCCTAGTAGTTGCCAACTTCGCAAAAAAGGTCATAAGCCGTTTTACAAAGCTATTTAATGGTGCTCCTAAAATCTTAATGACCACTGTCTCAGCACGATAGAATCTGCAAGTAAAAAAGCATGACTTCATCATCGGCTGTGTAGTAAGACCTTGAATCAGTTTAATTATGAGAGTATTATCGGCTGCGAGAATGAATTGATTTTTAAGTCACTCGGATACCTAGCTGAATAGCAAATAAATATGAAACAAATCATAGGTCGATACCTGTGTCTGATGGAGAAGAGTTAGTCATCGGTTGTGGTGCCAAAGTTGGTATCGGCGTTGAGGTCACTTGAGGTGTTGCACTTGCAATTAGTTTTGTTTGTTCTTCTGAGGGTTTTTGTACCACTTGAGTTATAGCTGTGGGTTGAACGGTTAAATTTTGTTGAAGACGTAATGTCGTCGGTTGCACAGATGAATTACCCTGTGGATTCAAAGTTGGTATCGGCGATGAAGTCACTTGAGTTGTTGCATTTGTAGTTAGTTTTGTTTGTTCTTTTGAGGGTTTTTGAACCACTTCACTTGTAGCTGTGGGTTGAACGGTTACATTGTGTTGAAGACGTTGTGTTGTCACTTGTTCGGATGAATTTGCCTGTGGATATAAAGTTGGTATCGGCGATAAATTCACTCTAGTTGTTGCTCTTGCAGTTAGTTTTGTTTGTTCTTCTGAGGGTTTTTGAACCACTTCACTTGTAGCTGTGGGTTGAACGGTTACATTGTGTTGAAGACGTTGTGTTGTCACTTGTTCGGATGAATTTGCCTGTGGATCTAAAGTTGGTATCGGAGATGAAGTCACTTGAGGTGTTGCACTTGCAGTTAGTTTTGTTTGTTCTTCTGAGGGACTTTGTACCACTTGAGTTGTAGCTGTGGGTTCAACGGTTAAATTATGTTGAAGACGTAATGTCGTCGGTTGTACAGATAAATTTGCTTGTGGGTCCAAAGTTGGTATCGGCCATGAAGTCACTTGAGTTGTTGTGTTTGCACTTAGTTTTGTTTGTTCTTCTGAGGGTTTTTGAACCACTTCACTTGTAGCTGTGGGTTGAACGGTTACATTGTGTTGAAGACGTTGTGTTGTCACTTGTTCGGATGAATTTGCCTGTGGATCTAAAGTTGGTATCGGAGATGAAGTCACTTGTGGTGTTGCGCTTGCAGTTAATTTTGTTTGTTCTTCTGAGGGTTTTTGTACCACTTGAGTTGTAGCTGTGGGTTCAACGGTTAAATTGTGTTGAAGACGTAATGTCGTCGGTTGTACAGATAAATTTGCTTGTGGGTCCAAACTTGGTATCGGCCATGAAGTCACTTGAGTTGTTGTGTTTGCACTTAGTTTTGTTTGTTCTTCTGAGGGTTTTTGAACCACTTCACTTGTAGCTGTGGGTTGAACGGTTACATTGTGTTGAAGACGTTGTGTTGTCACTTGTTCGGATGAATTTGCCTGTGGATCTAAAGTTGGTATCGGAGATGAAGTCACTTGTGGTGTTGCGCTTGCAGTTAATTTTGTTTGTTCTTCTGAGGGTTTTTGTACCACTTGAGTTGTAGCTGTGGGTTCAACGGTTAAATTGTGTTGAAGACGTAATGTCGTCGGTTGTACAGATAAATTTGCTTGTGGGTCCAAACTTGGTATCGGCCATGAAGTCACTTGAGTTGTTGTGTTTTCACTTAGTTTTGTTTGTTCTTCTAAGAGGTTTTGAACCACTTGAGTTGTAGCTGTGGGTTCAACGGTTAAATTGTGTTCAAGACGTAATGTCATCGGTTGTACAGATGAATTTGCCTGTGGATTCAAACTTGGTACTGGCGATAAATTCACTCTAGTTGTTGCTCTTGCAGTTAGTTTTGTTTGTTCTTCTGAGGGTTTTTGTATCACTTGAGGTGTAGCTGTGGGTATAAAGGTTACATTGTGTTGAAGACGTTGTGTTATCACTTGTACGGATGAATTTGCCTGTGGATCCAAACTTGGTATCGGCGATGAAGTCACTTGAGGTGTTGCATTTGCAGTTAGTTTTGTTTGTTCTTTTGAGGGTTTTTGAACCACTTCACTTGTAGCTGTGGGTTCAACGGTTAAATAGTGTTCAAGACGTAATGTCGTCGGTTGTACAGATAAATTTGCTTGTGGGTCCAAAGTTGGTATCGGCGATGAAGTCACTTGAGTTGTTGTGTTTGCAGTTAGTTTTGTTTGTTCTTCTGAGGGTTTTTGAACCACTTCACTTGTAGCTGTGGGTTGAACGGTTACATTGTGTTGAAGACGTTGTGTTGTCACTTGTTCGGATGAATTTGCCTGTGGATCTAAAGTTGGTATCGGAGATGAAGTCACTTGAGGTGTTGTACTTGCAGTTAGTTTTGTTTGTTCTTCTGAGGGACTTTGTACCACTTGAGTTGTAGCTGTGGGTTCAACGGTTAAATAGTGTTCAAGACGTAATGTCGTCGGTTGTACAGATAAATTTGCTTGTGGGTCCAAAGTTGGTATCGGCCATGAAGTCACTTGAGTTGTTGTGTTTGCACTTAGTTTTGTTTGTTCTTCTGAGGGTTTTTGAACCACTTCACTTGTAGCTGTGGGTTGAACGGTTACATTGTGTTGAAGACGTTGTGTTGTCACTTGTTCGGATGAATTTGCCTGTGGATCTAAAGTTGGTATCGGAGATGAAGTCACTTGAGGTGTTGCGCTTGCAGTTAATTTTGTTTGTTCTTCTGAGGGTTTTTGTACCACTTGAGTTGTAGCTGTGGGTTCAACGGTTAAATTGTGTTGAAGACGTAATGTCGTCGGTTGTACAGATAAATTTGCTTGTGGGTCCAAAGTTGGTATCGGCCATGAAGTCACTTGAGTTGTTGTGTTTGCACTTAGTTTTGTTTGTTCTTCTAAGAGGTTTTGAACCACTTGAGTTGTAGCTGTGGGTTCAACGGTTAAATTGTGTTCAAGACGTAATGTCATCGGTTGTACAGATGAATTTGCCTGTGGATTCAAACTTGGTACTGGCAATAAATTCACTCTAGTTGTTGCTCTTGCAGTTAGTTTTGTTTGTTCTTCTGAGGGTTTTTGTATCACTTGAGGTGTAGCTGTGGGTATAAAGGTTACATTGTGTTGAAGACGTTGTGTTATCACTTGTACGGATGAATTTGCCTGTGGATCCAAACTTGGTATCGGCGATGAAGTCACTTGAGTTGTTGCATTTGCAGTTAGTTTTGTTTGTTCTTTTGAGGGTTTTTGAACCACTTCACTTGTAGCTGTGGGTTCAACGGTTAAATAGTGTTCAAGACGTAATGTCGTCGGTTGTACAGATAAATTTGCTTGTGGGTCCAAAGGTGGTATCGGCGATGAAGTCACTTGAGTTGTTGTGTTTGCAGTTAGTTTTGTTTGTTCTTCTGAGGGTTTTTGAACCACTTCACTTGTAGCTGTGGGTTGAACGGTTACATTGTGTTGAAGACGTTGTGTTGTCACTTGTTCGGATGAATTTGCCTGTGGATCTAAAATTGGTATCGGAGATGAAGTCACTTGAGGTGTTGCACTTGCAGTTAGTTTTGTTTGTTCTTCTGAGGGACTTTGTACCACTTGAGTTGTAGCTGTGGGTTCAACGGTTAAATTGTGTTGAAGACGTAATGTCGTCGGTTGTACAGATAAATTTGCTTGTGGGTCCAAAGTTAATATCGGCCATGAAGTCACTTGAGTTGTTATGTTTGCACTTAGTTTTGTTTGTTCTTCTAAGAGGTTTTGAACCACTTGAGTTGTAGCTGTGGGTTCAACGGTTAAATTGTGTTCAAGACGTAATGTCATCGGTTGTACAGATGAATTTGCCTGTGGATTCAAACTTGGTACTGGCGATAAATTCACTCTAGTTGTTGCTCTTGCAGTTAGTTTTGTTTGTTCTTCTGAGGGTTTTTGTATCACTTGAGGTGTAGCTGTGGGTATAAAGGTTACATTGTGTTGAAGACGTTGTGTTATCACTTGTACGGATGAATTTGCCTGTGGATCCAAACTTGGTATCGGCGATGAAGTCACTTGAGGTGTTGCGCTTGCAGTTAGTTTTGTTTGTTCTTCTGAGGGTTCTTGAACCACTTCACTTGTAGCTGTGGGTTCAACGGTTAAATAGTGTTCAAGACGTAATGTCGTCGGTTGTACAGATAAATTTGCTTGTGGGTCCAAAGTTGGTATCGGCCATGAAGTCACTTGAGTTGTTGTGTTTGCACTTAGTTTTGTTTGTTCTTCTGAGGGTTTTTGAACCACTTCACTTGTAGCTGTGGGTTGAACGGTTACATTGTGTTGAAGACGTTGTGTTGTCACTTGTTCGGATGAATTTGCCTGTGGATCTAAAGTTGGTATCGGAGATGAAGTCACTTGAGGTGTTGCGCTTGCAGTTAATTTTGTTTGTTCTTCTGAGGGTTTTTGTACCCCTTGAGTTGTAGCTGTGGGTTCAACGGTTAAATTGTGTTGAAGACGTAATGTTGTCGGTTGTACGAATGAATTTGCTAGTGGATCCAAAGTTGGTATCGACGATGAAGTCACTTGAGGTGTTGCACTTGCAGTGAGTTTTGTTTGCTCTTCTGAGGGACTTTGTACCACTTCAGTTGAAGCTGTGGGTTGAACGGTTAAATTGTGTTGAAGACGTAATGTCGTTGGTTGTACGAATGAATTTGACTGTGGATCCAAAGTTGGCATTTGCGTTGAATTCACTTGGAGCATTGGCTCCTGGTTGGATTTAGACGACGAAACTGATTTAGATTCAGTCTCATTCTGAGGGGAAGTCTGATGAAATTCCTTCGATAAGAAAATTACAAAGATGATAACATATTGGACTGATTTGATTTTAGGAACCATTATTTCTTTATGCTGAAGGTGACCAGTACACTGAGCTTGAACTCTCTGAAACGCAAAATACGTAAATTAGAGTTAAAAAGAAAGTTTTTATTACCCACGCAATGACATCATAAATAAATAATGAGAATAGAAGGCATTTGCACTAAAGGTTATTGTGGACCTTCAAATGTGTGTTACGGAGAATGGATAATACGCACTCCGCTTTTGATAGAACCCTGAAAAGCACGTTAACCGTGAAACGGCCAAATACTTTATCGTTAATAGCAAATTAGTGGACAAAAGGGAACTTGCAAATTTTTGTATTATTTACCCTGCTGGTGAATGAGAGAATTATTGGTAAACACAATGTGAATTCTAAGTTATGGGCTTAATAATTTAACTCACTTATCTGTAAAAAACTGCTCTGACACGTTTTAAAAACACAGAACGCCTCGTTCAAAGAAACCACTTTTCAAAGACAGAAAGCCTTCCGTTTATCTTATTTCCCTCTACAATTAATTGTTTTGAATAATGACGATAAAATCTCTAACTTAATGGCAGATCTCGCCCCGAGTTTGCAGTGTCAACCAATAACTCACCCGCTATTACGTCTTTTCACCAAATTAGGGCATCGGAACGCGCCAAAACTCTTCCGCTTAGACTATCGAATAAGTTGTATTTGCTATTCATTAACATTTCAGCGTCTTTACTTCGCTGCTTGACAACATCAGAAAAGAAAACGTTTTCAAACAGTCTTACTATATAGGGTCATGTAGAGATTTGTCTTAAAAGACACGAGAAAGGAAGAAATAGGATCATGACATTTTTCAAAATACTATACGAAGCAGTTGTCACGTTACATGATGAATACTTTTCTAATTCTGTTGTTTTACCGGCTTTTATTTTCCCAGCTTCGTGTAATTAAGGACGGTCAAATTGAAAATTACAGACATTCTATTTGGCGTTTACTCAGAGGAAAGGCATCACAACAGTTTTGCAAGGGAAGTAATGTTAATGAACACCGCCTTACTGTCAGTCTTATCACTTGTTTGCTAAGTTGGTGGAGTAAACTGACTTTAGGCAGCGCCCCTTTTCCAAGAGAGTCAATTTTCGTTGATTCATCAAAACAGCATGCGTGTGCGCAAAAAAGCAATTATCGATTTTATTGAAGCCTAAAAACCTGATGTTGCCGGATTGATAAAACATACCACTGTGCAACTTAATTTTTCGATTACCAACGGAGTCGATCGACGTCAGAAAGTCCGATAGACTTGAATTTTTCGCTGACGCTAAATCATCCGCGTAAAGTGAGAACATATTAGAATTATTGGCAAGGAAGTTTGCTAACGGATGATGTCTTAACTTGGGCGGTTTAAGACATTTAGAAAAATTGTAGAATCAACAAGCTTTCTTTTTCTGGCAAATAATGCCATAATTTTACTGACTATAAAGATTGTATTCCTTGAGACAGAAGTAGATTACAATAAAAAATGTTACGTATTGTGCCTGTTGTGTTACTACATCTCATGCTGCTGGAGGAAAAACAGTCTGAAATGTGTTTGTATTGTTATAATTACCTAAGGTAATGGAAAGTTCGCTGACTGGCGCATCTCAGCGAATAAATTTCACCTGCCATTACTCACCTCAATTTCAAAGAGGAGTGAAACAGTCAGGTAAGGAGACACACTGAGATCGCTTACTTGCATAAGAATTAAAAAAGAGAAGATTTCTAGCCGTGTGTCTGCGGTGCTTTACAACACTCTGAATTTCTTTCTATCATGTTTCCATTCTGTTTTTAGATGAAGAAGCCAAAAGTATTTTGTTAACATCATTGTGAGGCTATAACGAATTTCTCAGTATCAATTTTTGTCGTTAGTTTCAAACTGTATCGTTCCTTAAAAATGTGAACAAAATGCTTTGCACACAAACCGCCATAAAGACTTAAAAAAGGATAAGGAAGTAACTTGAAACTGCGAAACCTAAGATCACAACTGAGATAAAGCGGCAAGAATTTATAGAAAATACTTTAGCTTATTCGCAGAGAGCATCCGCTTTTGCTTGCTTTGATATTCCAATTAAACAAGCCCCAGAAAGCTTCATCAGTTTGTTGAGTCAGCTGAGGAACGCTCCCGTCCAAATATAATACATGAATTTTGCGAATGGTGAATGAAAAGCTTTCAGAACTTTTTCCTCCGATAAAACTGATTTCGAAATGACTCAAAACCACAAAACGATACGTATAATTTCTATTGTAACAAGTACATGGATTCTAACTTTTTCTCTAGATTTGTGTTTGTGTATATCTTTATTGCCATCTACCATTTACATGTTATTGCGTTTTTGATCATCTTGACATGAAAATTACCGATGAAGAGAGCTTAACTAGTAAATCTGATTAATAACAAAAACCTAAATAACGTGACAAGCGCGTATGAAAAAATCTACAAGGTCTTGTCAATAAATGTAGTAATTTTTTATTTTAGATCGAAGATATTAATAAACACCCATAATTGAACTGTAAGATAGAAATGTAAAATTTACTGATAATCCTTATCAAAGAAGGCAAGATGTATCATATTTTCCGCTCATACGCTGTTTATTTCAATGTACTGAACTTGCCAGGTTGCATATAAACCTAAACTTCTAAACAGCAGTCTTACTATGCTTATATCAGTGTTCTGCTCTCGAGTAATTAATCAGAGACTTCTATTTTGGAACTGTTTGCAAATTTTGAAGAGTACACAACAAAAATTATAAAATGAAAGCGTCGGGAAATTTTAATAACAAAGAGTTTGTTAATCGATATCATTAAGATTTGGAACAAAACGTTACGACAGGAGAAGTGTTTTGGCAAAAAAACAATTCACGATACAAAGTGTAATCATTAGTGTTAAAATTTAAACATATTTTTATTTATAATAACAATCGATTAACTTTTGATGGTGATGAAAGGAATAGAATAAATGGCGTCGGTTCGTTGTTCTTTCGTGACAGGATCCTTAGGTTTGGCGAAAATATGCCCCAAAGTCTGAAAAAAAAAAAAAAAAAAAAAAAAAAACCTTTTCAGACTTTGGGGCATATTTTCGCCAAACCTAAGGATCCTGTCACGAAAGAACAACGAACCGACGCCATTTATTCTATTCCTTGCAATGACTCCGACAACGAATACATCGGACAGACCAAACGCCAGTTTGGTACACGGTTAAAAGAGCACCAAAAAGCGGTTTTTCTTTGCAAAAAGGAAAATTCAGCTTTATCGGAGCATACTTGCCTAACCAACCATACAATTGGGTGGGATAATTCTAAAATTATCACCACTAATCGGCGTTAGCACCAGCGCCTTTGTTTGGAGGCTTGGCATATTAACTCCGCTCACGCTCCTTTAAATCGTGACGATGGCGGTTTGCTTCCTGACGCCTATTTACACCTCGTCAGAAAAAAGGCCACTATTTAATGATCATGAAGGCACTAGACAGGAGTGTCGAAACGTTGGGTCTATGAATTGTAACTTCTTCGGTTACATTAATTAAATCTGCAAACCAGTGTAGCATCAAACTATGTCTGATTGTCCACCTGGTTGCTGTGTGAACTTTAATATATTAAATTTCAATAAGTTAGCTAATGGCCTTGATTAATTGGCATGCTGATAATTTTCGTGCAATCAATCTTAGTATTTATATATCATCATTTCATTCCCTTAAATGACAACTTTCTCTTTTTTGCTCCGTTCACGAACCTTTTTCCTTTCCATTTCACAGTCAAAAATCTGGCAAAAAAAGAAAAGTGCTTCTACAAACAATGACAAGTTCAATGGATCGAATATTCGAAGTGTTGTGACAAAGTGATTTTAATGAACTTTCTCTCGTTGGGGTAATGTGTGAATTTGGCAAAATTCTATAACTGACCCTTACTGTGGTTACAGTTCACGGTGGTTCATGTCACTGGACGACTTTTGTGATCTGGCAGTGCAAGCTGCTTGTAATCTTGGAAGCCATAACCGTTATAAGGTTCGTGTAAACTGACGGGATTGGTGGTGCGTCACAAAATTCTCGCATTAAAATTTTTTTTCAATTTATGTATCGATATTAAAAGAAGAATATTTGATCGATGGGGTTTTGGTCCGAATCTAAAAAAGTTACCCACGAAAGGGTAAAAACGCAAAGCCTTTCCCAAAAAAAGAATTAGTATTCCGTAAAAAAGAAAGGATTTGAAGTTAATTATTTTACTTGCATCATTTTTGAAACACCGCCATCACGAAAAAGATTTGGACTGTATAAAGCAAAACTGCCAGTTTTGGAGATTCAAACAAATAATGGTAAACTATGCGTTTATTTTACTTACTTTTACGCCTTGACTTTCACTAGAGACTGTCTTGTTGTAAGAAACATTCTTCTTCCACCGACACCGCAAAGCAGGGTATCAACGATATACAGTTAGTAGCTGTACGAGGGAATCCCATCTAAATATATGAGGCTGGACGGTCAATGCTTATGTACCCGAAAAGATAATAAAATCATGGATTTGCCTTACCTTGATGAATATGTTATCGATCTTTAAATTACCAAGTGTGATAAATATCACACAGCAGCTTGTGTCACCGCGGTCACAACTACATAACAGATCAATTACTTAATAGGATACGAATAATGAATTCTGACTTGAGTCACTTGAAACAATAATTATTGTAGAGAATTTAAATGATGAAAGTCGTGCCAAAAGCAAAATTTCCACCTGTTTTTGAAGAGAACAAAATAGGGAATTAAAAATGGAAACCCCCGAAATGCTTCCATAGCGACATAGAAATAAGAAATTACCTTGGATCGATGTGTACTGAGGGAATCTTAAAAATTTTTAAAGAAAAAAGTTAAGCCGACGGTGCTTCATACTGTTGTTAGAATCTACCCACAGACGCTTATGACTAAAACGTTTTTCCTATGGAAGCTCAAAGGAAAAATTATTTGTCAACATGGAAAACAGAAATTAAGAAAAAGAAATTACACAACATGTACCTTTAATTTAGATTCATATTCGTGTCTCGGGAAATTAAGGACACTTTTCCCTCTTGTAAGTTGTCTGTTATATCAAAATTTATTTCAATGACTGTGAATGCATTTTATGAATGTCATATCGTTTATTCGTCACTTCCCAGGTTTATTACGAACCAGAAAATGACCAGCTCCCAGTTGGCTTGTTGGCTCAGTTGGCAGAGCACTGCACCGGTATCGCAGAGGTCATGGGTTCAACTCCTGAACAAGCCTTAGCTTTTTTCTTTCTTTGTTTTCACTACTGCTTCAGTGGTATGTCCATGACTGCGAAAATCACTCTCATCCTTAAAATTTGTTTCATTACAAATTATCTGGCATGGAACATAACATGTAGTAGTGAGGGGAGGGTCGCACTTTTGTCAGTCACCGAAAGGTGGGGGGTCAGGACTTTTTTTTTATTAAAACGCAAGGGAGGGCCAACATTTTTTTTTTTAAGAAAAAAAATACCAAATGTGAAATAATACGTTCCTTTATTTCTACCGTGCGAAGGGAGACAATGGCTGCGAAGTTAATGACGCAAGTAACTAACACGCAACTGACGTGTTAAAAGGCCAGTGCTTTTGTTTTAGCGTGTGAGCGTGCCTGTGCGTGCGTTCACCTAATTCTCCGAAATCCCGTGGGTCACATTTGGTCACTGCTTATTTTGATGTACAATTTTTGCGCGGCTTTTTGCCTTTTAGTTAATTTTTTCATTTTTATTGTATCTTAACATTGTATTTTATCGTATTGTATTGTATTTTATTTTTATCTGAAGTTTTTTCGTGGCTTTTTAAGTAAGGTCATTCATAGCTCTTGGTAATTATTCAAGAACCTTCATTGTTACTAAGAATGCGGTGTAAACTTGAATCTCATGATAATAGCTTAGGAGGTTTTTTTTTTCAATTATTGTGGGTGTGAAAAACTAATAAGTTTGAAAGGAATTATTTTCTTTTGATCAACGTCTTCCTGAAAACTGTAAACGTTTCACGTGGTACTCTCTTTGTGATTTCCTAATTTCCTGATTTCCAAAATTTACGAGGATGTCACGTTATGTTTGCACGCCTGATACTGAGAGGGAAATTTTTCTTAATTGTTAAATTAAACCCCCTGTGGCCACAGAGTGGTATCTGTATTCTCGAATCAAGTTGTTGAGAAAAAGAGTGTGTCAAGGAAATCTGTAATTATGAATTTTAATCATGACATAAAGTTTATTAATTATTGATGACAAATTTAGGAGGAGTGTTTTGCAATACGGCTGTGAAAATGTTGTTTTTTTAATGGCCTGGATAGAAATCATGACATGCGCGACATTCTGGGAACAGCCAAGTCAATTGAGGTCATGAAGGAAGTTTGTCAGACGTTAAAAGAGAGGGTACAGGTTTTTAAATGTACTTTTATTTGCCAACAATTTTCGAACCTCACAATGTTACTGCAGAAATTTGACTCTATTTTTAGTTAATCGAGCAGTTTTGAAATCAGTTGGAAAGAAAGACGAAATGCAGGTTGAAGAAACCCAATACCCTTTGGCGAAATTTTATATTATGAATTGATGGCTGATCGATTGAATGTCGCCACTGTGTTGGTTTTTCAAGAAGCTAACATTACAAGCATCTTCCGCTTGCTGTAAAGAAACGTTTTATCCCGTTGTTTTGATCCATCTCGAATAAAACTTCTTTAGTTTATTAAAAGTCACACTCCATCGACTAGATGGGCTTGGTATTGATAAAAGTTATAGTGATGCTTGTTAACACTACATTCAGAAGACATTGAAGACATTAAGACATTGGCGAACCAGATTACTCAGTGATTCCCTATTGGCGGTGTCACTGAACCATATATCAGGTGAGAACCTGGTTCAAGCGGACGTTTTCCATAGGAGCGATCTTAGGCTTGAAGTCGAAGGTGCTTCAGTCTCAAAAAAAAATGTAAAATCCGGTCATTGTACTTCACATGCAGTTTCATGGAGTCAAAAAGTTACTCACTGAGCGCACACATTTATCTCATAATTGTACCATTACTTCAGATAAAATACCTCAGTCAAACGAACGCTCCACCAAGTGAGAGAAGAGGAGGAAAGAAGCAAAGAGGTGGCAAAGCTGCGGGAGATGAAAAAAGCATCATCCTGAAGAAACAGAAAGTTAAAGCGCGAAAAGGTAATATAATTTGACTTTGCTTTATTTTTTTTTTATATCTTTTTTAGTGTAAGAACTTACTTTATTCTTCAACTGGTCTTGATGCAGTCTCTATCTTAAATGTATTATTTTTTTTTGCTTGAATTCTTGTCAACAGAACGAACGTGGGATATCTGTGCTAAGTGTGAAGTACATCCAAAGGAAGGTGCCACGGTGGCTTAACTGCGAATCTTGCCTTTTGTTGATTAGCCAGAAACTGGTTAGCCACGTCGTTGCGAATTTAACCCTATAATTGACCGCACCCCGCTTCACTCGTAAAGTTGGACTAAGTGTATAAATTCAGCCTGCATGGTTAACGTAAGAAGGTAGTCTCTTTCGCAGCTAATGTTAAGTCTTGTCTTGAAACATAGTTTTCTTATTTCTTTACGTGCGTGACCACGTCACCAAAAAACGTTTATGAGAGAGACAAACAGAGGAGGGGGAAAGAGGAAAAAGGGGGAAGAGGGGGTGTGTTCCTATCGTGTCACTCCCTCCCCTCCCTTCGCATTCTGCACCAGCTAAAATTTTATTAATATTTTAATTTTGTGCGGCAGATTTAATAATTAAATTACGCGATACTATTATCACGATACTATTTTATTAAAGAGATAACTAAATTGTAGATTATCATCAGGATCTTGTGGATAATTTTGATAACTGGAAAGTGAACCTTTAAGGAACATGATCTTATTCTGTTTGATACCGGCCCTTAACAGAGATAAATTCGGATTTTCGGAAAGTGTCGTTGTCTTCTGAAAACCCGCATTCAAAGGAACGAGTAGTATTTATAGATCAAAGAGTTCGACGGCCTCAGCCTGAACCTTTTGCTTCTTTTAGTTGCCAAAGTTGATCGGAGTTGTTCACGAAGCTCCATACCCCTCAAGTGATACGGCAACGGACGCGAAAGTTCTCTTCTTCGAAGAAGGTCTAACGTTTCATCGTCAGAGGTATCTACCGGTTCACCTCTTGTCTTGTCGATCCCGGATATTGGCGAAGATAACGGTGTTGTCAATGAAGAAATGGCAATGTCATCGAGTGAAGAAGTGTCATCTGGACCACGTATACTAGAACAGTCGTCGTAGTTCATATTCATTAGAAGTAAAAGCCGGATTATAAAAAGAAGCTCTTCATCTCGTTGCACTTCGTCCATTGCAAGTTTCTCGATTAAATCAGACATTCTCTCCAACATCCTCTCTTGCGCTAAGGACTTCATGATAAACAAGCTTGATGTGACACATTTTAGTTTTTGAATTGTTCTTTTTCGTGTCTCTACATCAGCCATTGTTGCCGGTCTCTCGCACTCAAATCGAACCACGTTCGCTCTTTCAGTGTCGTTCTCCTCTTTTAATTTGGAAATTCGCAGTTGTTTGCGTCTCGCCATATGACGAAGTCTTTGAGAGTAGACGACTACAGATGTAAATGTTAGTTTTCCATGTGGGACATTTTCCTGAGGTACTGGATGTTCAAGCAGGTCAGTGTTATTATCATTGTCATTTTCTCGTTCAGTTTCTTTATTAAATCCTAAAAGTTCACGTAGTCTTTCCAATATAAAGTCGTGCATTTCAAAGTCTTTCGACTGTTTGTCCGTATTTTCTCTGATGTCCTCATAAGAATCATTTAGAATGGCAACAAAAAAGTTGACGAAAATGAACGACATAAGAGTAAGGAAAGAAAATCCAAACAGGGGACCTAGAACTCGATTCGCTCGTCGCAGTTCTTCCAAGTCCATTTTTCCGCCGAGGCACATGACAAATTCGGAAAACACCGTTCTTTGAAACGATGAATAACGCAGCATGTACTCACCAAAAGCTAGTCTACCAAACTGAGCATATGAGAAGATAATAATGGCAAATATCACAGAGTATGACATGAGTAATCCTCTTGATAAACGAAGTGATGACATCATTATGCTGACGTGTGGATTAAACCGGATCATGCGCAGAAGTTTCACAGTTGTTGTGAAAACCGTCAGAGCTAAAACGGAATTCTCTGCGTGGTTCCAGTCAACGGCCTCCCCGAAACTTACAGAAGCAAAAGGGTTTTTCTTTACTTTTACGACACTTTTCAGAACCATTTGTGATTTTAAAACATAGAAAACTACCACCAGAAAAGAAAAAATGATTTGCAAAATCTGCACCCAATTCCATGCATTTCGGAAATAAGAACATTTCTGCTTAAAGATATTATAAACCTCTTTTAGCACAAAGAAGATTACCATGAGGATGAACAGTAACTGACAAATCAGGTAGAACCGGTGGAAACCAGTTTCCGTGCTCGTCACTAGAAGCGTGTCGATCTTTGCGAAAGGATTACCGTACCCAGTGGGGAGTACTTCGTAATGATATGTCGATATGCTGATGTATCCTGTGTTTGGATTGTAAATGGAGAATTCAAGTAACACTGCGCGGGTCTGGCGGTCGACCCAGTCGTATTGTCTCAAGTTAGTAATAATTCTGTCAGCAGTGAGTTTACTATAACCTAAATCTGCTATGTATCCACCTCCGTCATAAACATGAAAGAAACCCCAGCTTGGCGAGTTCTGGATCTTTTCCTTTTTCACGTAACGCCATGGGGCCGGGCAAAGATCTGAAAAGTTAGCCCACGAAACCGAGCCTGTAAATGGCATCCATCCAGGTAGATGAAAATGAGTTCTGTCCTCTTCGTCGACGCTGTAGAAGTCATTACAGTGCTTTACTACCTCTTGTAACTGCTCCGGGATCAAGCAAGAATCTATAACAGCAACACCAGGAAAAATTAGCAACGTTGGTTGTGGTTCAACGATGGCTCCTAAAACGTTTTCTTCGAGAAAATTGTCTTTATTGGACAGTACTAGTTAATTTAAAATATACAACCGAAATAAAAACCAGCAAATGCAAATTTCTATTTCTTTTCACTGAGAGAGCGATTTGTGATATACATCCTTACAATAGCTGTTTTGGAGTTGATTAGACTAACTGACTTGCCTTTCTGTACTCTCAGCTGCCTTAAACGGGGCACTCCCAGGAGAATGGACATCTTGTCACCAATGTACTCTTGCTCTTTGACTTTCTCATCATTGTACCACTTACCAGCATAAATGCCATTCACAAACTGACGATTCAGCCAAGTCCAAAAGATCCTGGGATCTTTGGCCTGAAGAAGAACCGAAAGAGCTCACATAATGATTTACTTCTCTTCACTTTATTCGAATGACCGTCGGTGCAGTTTGTTGCATTTGTGAGATCCAGTTTGTACGAAACCGAGAGTCCAATTGCTGACACGTGGCAATCAACCGAGGCATAAAAGGCTACTATACTTCATTAATTATGAAGCTCCACTTACATTAGGAGCACCGGTATTACTCTGGTGATCTTCGTACCGAAATGTTGATGTCCTAGCATAATTATGCTTAATTTAGGTTATTTTTTTTATGGGACTGAGGAGAAAACCCGCACAGAGACTCAGGACTAAGCAAAGTTCGTTAAATTCCTCTTTGTTTTAGCTTTGTTGAATACTTACCAATGAATAATTGCTGAAGGTGTCTTTTAGATTCTTAGTCATGAGATATCCATGGTAACTTCTGTTACCGTAACAAACGATTGTTAGTAGCAGTAAGAACAGTAGATACACCACAAGTTCTCTACCAAAGGAATACATCTTTGCCTCCTTTACTCTGTATTCTCTGGCTTGTTCAAGCACAGCTTCCTCCGGGATTTCAGCTGTTCTACCTTGGGTGTCACATGCAACTTCTGTTTCCAAAGAAGATAATTGTGCAGTTGTCTCGTGGTTTTTAACATGACGAAAGTCAGCGTCATTACGGTTGCTAAGGAAACATGCGGCTAGAACCATGAGAAGAACTATTTTGATTGGTTGAAGAACGAACAGATCCTCAGTGAAAGAAACTAACATAGAGGACAACCACTGGTTTGCAATGTCTTTTCCCCACATTAAGCTGAAGAAAAAAGTAAAGCACGCAGATACAGACACAGTAGCAAGGCTTAGAAACCAAGCAATGTAGATACAGAAATGAGGACAAATGAAGTCCTTTTTGGTCTTGCCCCACATTCGTCCTCGTGTTCTTGTCCAGAAGGAAGTATTACTTTTCGATGCAGCTTTCACGCCGCTTGTGTCCTCTTCGCAGCCTAAGGAGGAATAACTGTTGCGTTGCACAGGCTCAGGTGCATCTTCCAGCTTGGTCACATCAACTTTATTTAAAGGTTTTTTCGCACTATTTTTGAACAATGACGCGATGAGTAAGTTCACAGGAGTAACTATCAGAGCGCTCTCAATGCCCACCACAATCTGCCTCCAGCTGAACTTCAATGGACCAATCTGCATGGTAGGATCTCCTGTCTTTTCAGTCCTGTAGAAAAGAGCATTCGCAAGCATCGCAGACAGAAGAAGACACAAGCAACATGTAGCTCGTTGGACGCGTGTAAATTTGTTCCCCGGTGGCTTAGTTATAACAGAGAGCCACAAATGTCCCTCAGAAAAACTCTTTGAGCCTCGTGAGTTGAGAGAGCGTTTAAAAGTCTTCATCTCTCGACTAGAGAGAGGTGTTAAAATCCTGTCAATTTTACCGTCTCCTTTTTCCAAAGCCAGCCAACTGTTGTTTATAAATGTCCATTTTTTCCCTGTTTGGCGGTCCTTCACAACAGCATGGCTGAAATACCAAGAAGGACTCTTTCCTGAGTTGTCATGCCAAACGCGGATGTATTGCATAATCCCTAGTGACATTGGTAAATGAATAACAAATCTATCTTCGTTTCCGCGAGCCAAAATTTTCCTGGAGTTGATCATGTCCTTTTGTAATACTATGGGTTGACTCTCCGCCTCGCTTCCATGAATGACGATGGCGACATTGGCATCCGTCCCAGACTCTCTCCAGACTCCCGTTACCACGGTCAAATCGTACTCATAAGAAGCCTCCTGGGTCAAAGTTAAATGGAGCGCCGGGCCTCTCTGTGGAAAAACATAAAATAATGATAATAAAAAAAAAGATGACTTTAGGGAGTCAAAGAGAAATTCGCCTTTCGGTATGAAAGCACAAAATGTAAGTTGGAAGTATGAAAAGATGATTTCATACAGGTGAGGAGGCGTATCGTCATAATATTGCTAGGTGTTATTTCACAGATCAAATGACCCTTGCATATCGAGTAAATATTTAAAACGTAATTTAGCACAGAAAATGTTTCGTGAGAATTAATATTTGAGACTTTGAATTCAGTTTACAAAAACCAAGGAGAACACGGAGCTACCTTAGCTTGATCTCGTTTATCGGCTTTCCTTGCGAATATGACCACAAGCAAATACAACAGCAGCACAATGATTATCGTACAAAGGACAGCAACGTTTCCAGTTTGGTCGAGTCGTCCGAGTTCTGTAAACACGACATCAAAATCCAACGTGTTAGGCATCACCAGGACACCTCCTCCAAATGACGTTAAGTGGTTACACAGGCAGTGTAAGGATCCTAAATCAGATTTTGGTCCTACCTTAAATAAAAGACAAATAAACTGTAAAGATTTAAGTCAACTGCTCTTGTCCGTTATTCAAGTAGAGAAGATTACTATTCACAGCTAGGAAGATAACTTAATCAAATCTACGAAAGTGGTAACGTATTTTTAAAGACATTTGATCAGTTAAGAACACGAATCAATGAACTTCTCGACGTTCATTTAGCTCCTTCGACGAAATGTTATTAGGTACCGAAATTTCCTAAGAGATTACCAAACGTCAACCAAATGGAAAAAAGATTGTCGTATGAGAGGAAAAAAAAATGTCTGCAGATGAATTTTTTTCAAAACTCTTACTCTACATCCTGTCGACAACCAGTGTTCTTCTCTGCTGTCCCAAAAGACGCAACTCTCCTCCAAAATGTTCATCGAGTAATTCATGTCTGTTCTTGAGTTGTAAACAGGCTTTATTGTCTTGTTCTCGGGCCTTGGAGGATCCTTAATTTCCACACACGACCTCTTCTGCCGACCACTTCCGAAGCATGATCGTTTCTTTCGTCCCTGAGGTCTAACGCTGCCTCCTTCGTATAATATACCGATGTAGTATTTACCCGCCTCACTGATTAGTTCATGGTACAAGACAACATCGTAAGCTTCTTCGCTGCAACCACGCTGAGAAGCCTGAGGAGATATGGAACACGACTCATCGGGGATTCTCTTGGTTAGGTCGTATTCTGTGACAGTTGGCCGCTGACCTTGTCGCACAAACACCTTAAAGATGGTGGGTCTTTCTGGTGTGATCTGAAAACAGATTTACTACTGATTACCCTGGCAGAATGATTTTGCTATGTGTTATTCTTATCGAAATTTCAAAGCGATGGATCAGCTTAATGCCAGTCATCACTTACACGTAACTCACTGGTTAGGGTGTTGCATTATCAGTCAAAATTTGTGAACAGTTTTGTGCTTTTTGTGGATAGAAGACTCTGCTGCGTTTTAAGTGTTATTTCTTCTTTCATAAATTTTTCCAAAGTTCTATCAGACTTTTCCACCGTGGCTCATCTCCCATTTCAGAGCCAGCTGTTTTTTTTTTAATCTTTCAATCCCACTTAATTAATTTCTAATTCGCGTGTTCAGTTGTCATGTGCATCAATTTGTTCAAAGCTCACGCAAGACCAGGACTGTAGCCAGCCAACCAACCATGTAACCGACCATTCAACCGGCCCACGTACCACTCATTGACGGATACAAAGGAGCCTGTGTCCGAAAGATTCTGAATAAACGGGTTAGACAACAATACTTACTCGCAGCCGTAGAGCATTCCCTCTTACACCTGGTGAGTTTATTTCATGGTATTGCATTTTCCCCTCACTGCTGGGCTTCACAAAGAACGAAACTCTTTCCTCTGGAGTAAATCTCACTTTCCGTGGAATCTTGATCTCTATATCCTCTCTGCTGTCTTTGACTATTAAAGGTTCTCCTTCGTCATCTTTAAGGTTCAAACTAAGGACATGAGAATCCCTGACAACAGCTGAACTGTTATCCCAAGTGAAAGGATTAAAAGCACTCATCGTCAACTGTAAAAAGACACGACTATTGTGAATACATATTATTCAGCATTTACACTATGCAGTTCTGGTGCGAGATGGCGTTTATGAAAGCATTCTGAGTATGTGTAAACCCAGAGAAAATATTAAAGTAAAGTTTAAAGTTCTAGAGAAACCGCGCTTTTGTCTTATACAGGACTAACTACATTCAAGGAAACCAATGTAGGCTTACCACGCTATCTATATATTCAGGAGTTGTCACTTTGTCATCAGTTATGGCAGCAAGAGAAAATTTAAATCCTGCCCTATCATCGTCTGTGAAGTCTGCACTGGTTCCCCTTGATCTGGAGCTCATTCGGCTTAGTTCCATGTTGATGGACTTAGTATTAATACGGCGAGGTTCTTGATCCACTATCATCTTTGACAACAGAGCTGTTGCAACGTCATCAATGAGTTTCTCCGTATCTCTGGAGATGTTTTCACTCTGCAATATTAGATTTAAAAAATGCTTGCAGGTGCCATGGTTTAACTTGTTCCAAAAAGATATATTTGACCTTCTGATCAGGTTCTCAAGAAAACGTTATTGTTATCATGACGTCAGTCACTTTTTTCTGGGATGGAACGCATACAGATTCGGTAAGTTCGAAACTAACCTTAGATCGTACGTCCGTTGGCTCTTTTGTTAGACCGACAACATCAGCTTTCTGGGCAGTGGAATGGAGAAGATTTCCGAGGCTCAGTACCAGGTTCTCTCCTCCTTCGTCAACTAAGACATATTCTGAAGCATAATCTTCTGTCGTCTTACTTGAAAGTAGTGACGTCATAGAGGTGAGTGTTTTCAGTGCAAGTTTCTGGTGCAAATAAAATGCATTTTTTTGTCAAAAGTTTCGAATTATGCCCTTGAAAGTTTTATCGTTAGTAGACGAATGGCATTGAGAGGGGATCGCGTGTTTAGAATTATAAATTGAAATGTTATTCCATCCATGTACCAGAGAATATATCGTGTGTTGAACACGTGGTCATCTGCATGCAAACGATTCATACCTGAGTGTCGAATGTCACCTCGCTGGGTTCCAGTGTTGCTCGTGCAATAATTGACGTCACTTGAATCAAAGATTGTAAATTGCCAACTTGTATCTCTGACACAGTCTTCACAACAGAATCTTTAATCTGTAGGAATAAGTCAAATGGCTCTTTTTGTTTGCTTGATCACACGTATCGGAGAGAATGAAAATCTCTGAAAATCTCCGATAAACCATAGAAAGCCAAATCTTCGGGGCAAAGAAGAACTTAGAATTCTAAATAGGATATTTTTATCCTTCAGTATTTCACAGTCGACGTGCGATTGATTACTCATGAGGCTAGTTCGTAAGGAAGGTAAATGAATAAAAAGGGTAAGTTTCTAAAGAAACTGCGGTGGTGTGTCGGTGGGAGAGTATAACAGGGTAATTTAGTATTATCAACTGAGTTGAAAACGTAAATTGGCCACCGTAAAGGGTTTAAAAGTTGACGTTTCGAGCGTTAGCCCTTCGCTCTGACGAAAGGCTAACGGCCAAAACTTCAGCTTTTGAACTCTTTACGGTGGCCGATTTACGTTATCAACTCAGTTGATAATACTAAATTACACCGTAAGGGATTTGATCCCCTTCTCCTCTTAATTTATGAATTGTCGGTGAAAAAATGTGTGGGTGTTAATTTATCACCTACAGCAATCTTTTCCTGGATGGTAGTTGACTTTCTCTGTTCAGCGCTCTCTAGCACGGCATTTGCCAGTTGTGTGGCGCCACGGACATCTCCTAATTGGACTAGTTGGTTGAACAGACTGCTATTGCCGACGGTTAGTTCGCTGAGATTCTCACTAGCGGGTGCAGGTTTAACCTGGGTGACGTTAAAGACGATTAAGAATGAAAATTTATAGTACTATCGCTGGATACTTCTCGAATTTTTTTGAAGGTCAAATTGTAGGAATTTATGACGCATAGTAATAGGAACTTAAAGCGCTAATTCCATTGACGCATTAAAATTTCAAGACACTTACAGGATACTATAAAAGTTAAAAGATAACATCAATCAGAGGCTAATTTCTCATTTTCTACAATGGGTGAAAAATGGTACAGCTTAAGATATATTTACGCAATTCTTGACTTTGTTTTAGACTGTCCTCCGTTGTCTGCGGCGTACCAAAAAACAAATTCTCCAAAATATTAGAGCATTTACCTCTATTTCAAGAGTAGCGGTATTTGTAGCAGACAAACGGTCAGACACCATTACTTTAATATGTATCTTCCCCGGAGGTAGCACTGTCTTGACAAGACTTTCTGAGCCATATGAAATTACTGTGTACACACCATTCTCGGTTTTGTAGTAGAATTGGTAAGTAATTGGTTCATCTCGGTCCTACACAGAAAAAGATATGGAGAAAGAAGAATAATAAGTTCACTTTCCTCGCCTTGAAAATGGAACAGATTTAAGATTTAGGCAAAACAAAGCTTGACTTGAAATGGTAAAATTCTTGCATACATAATTAATTACACAAATGTCATCTACTACTGTTGGAAGGTGACTCCTTTTCCTCGGACGTTCTGATCATTTCGCTTTATTTCCAATATTCTCACCTGCCAATTTCTGCATTCAAATTTAAACTGCGTTCTCAAAGCCTCTCCTTTTGTTGGTGTCACGCTGCAAGATCCATGTTGAGGTGGGGCGTTAATTCTGAACTGGTAAGTGGCATATCCTGGGGGTTCACCCTGTTGTGAAACTTCGACTTTCAATCGATAAAAGTGACCAAGCGGTAACTCTCTTAGTTGGTTCTTCTTTATGATGATGCCAGTGGAATTGAGATAAGTTTCTGCTTTGTCAGTCAGTTCCTTGTCATTGTCCTCAACGCCACTAAAGTGAACAACGTTTAACTGCCAGTGGTATTTTGCTCTTTCACAAGGATCCCCACTGCACTCGGTGGTCAAACTGATTCGCGTCGACTCACTTGCAATCTTATCACAGTTGATGAGGCACCTGCAGTGAAAGAAAAGATACGGAAGCTTAGTTTGAAATTCCTTACCTTGAAACAAGACGAGGTGTTCAATTATGCACCCTGTGCGTGATGAGGTGAATGGATCTATAATATACTAAGGTTACTGACAGATGACAAGGTGAACGGTATGTTAAAGCTCAGGCGACAAGAGCACTAACATTTGGTCAAAAAAAATAAGTCAAATAAGTTATTAAGTTAGCAGCCATGTATATCGGTTTCGTCTTGTTAAGGCCTCTTCTAATCAGCATGGCAAAGCTAACCTGATAATATCTGCTCTATACAGAGGGAGAGAGAGATGCTCACATACAATCGTGCGCGAATCCCTTTAAGTGGCTGCTGTCGCCATGATCATCCTGCCGACCTGTAATTCAGTCACATGTCTCTCTCGAGTTTGGGAAGAGAGCGTAGATACATTTCCCAAACAGCGGATTGCCTGATCAAGCCAAGTAATCTATAGACCAATGGTTCAGTGCTGTAAATTTCCTTTAGGCTGATTACTTTTAATCACCATTAGTTACCTGATTATTACGTTGGGCGGGTTACCGCTGACAATCTTGATTTCTTGTACGAATTCGTCCTTTCGGTCATCCTTGGTTACTACAAGTTTGACGTCATAAGACCTATCTACAGTCATTAGAGATGTTTCTAACGTCACCACCGTTAAATTAGAAGCTAGTTTTCCAACACCCGTCCCAAAACAACCGCCTCCTCCGGGGCCCGAGGACGCTGTAATTACTGGAACCGAATCCAGAGGGCCGGTGGGAAAAGTTTCTTCTCGTCTTTTACATAGCCACGTGAACTGCATGGAGGTGTAGTTACCAGGCTCCACGTCTGGGTCCCTAGATGCTGAAGCATCCAAAGTGATGACACTTCCCTTTCCCCGAGTGACTTTGTTTCCTCCTAATATATCGGCTATTATTGGAGATTTCGTGATGTTAAAAAATCCCAAAGTACTGTTTACTACCGGTGGGTTACTTTCAAGGGCTGCTTTAAAATCCACAAAATAAAGGCCATAATCAAGCTGTCGCTTTTGCAAGTTCCATTCTGTAGTTTTTGAGTTCAACGTGGTTGTCGTTTCGATGATAGTGTCATTTGATTGGTCCACACTATACTTGGATAAACGCCACTCAAACAGCAGCTTTTGTGGTCGATTACAGTTTGTTTTATTCACCAATGTTTGTACGATGAAATCTTTGGAGCGAAGAATGTGAACCATCTCGTTTTCTTTCCATCTTGGAAGATTCAGTATACTAACATCAGGAGGCTGACAGGTTTCATCTTAGCATAAGAAGCATTGACAACAAAGTAATGGCATCGACAATAAAACTCATTACAGTATCAATGATAAAAACAACAACAGCGGCAATAATGATATCCAATCGGTAATACCTTAATATTCGGCATTAACAAATTTTCAATGATTCAATCATCAAGTCCAAAACAAGAACAAGCCTGAAACTACTTTGACATCGGAAGTGATAACTGAAGGATTAAATTATACATTAGTCGGTGCAAAAGGGTAGTTGAGAATGGTGAGTGAGTTGTTACGAAGGCCTCAACCGGCCTCCTTTTTCGAGGAAAAGCCGGGTTTTTGAGTTCTATTCCAATTCGTGATGTTATAAATTTGAACCCTCGTATTCATTTTTCCTACAATTAAACAAAGCTCCTTTTTCTCACCTTCAGCCTTCCAGAAAATTCCAATCAAGTTTATGCTTCCGAGTCTGCCAGTTTGGTTAAAGTTGTGCAATGCTCTTTCGACATTTGTGATGTTATTTCTGTCGTTTACAGTCAAAACAGTGGTAACTTCCACACTTCCCGGTCTGTCAAAGAAAGCGGAAAAACTTTTACTGATCAGAAGAAAAAATTCTCGTTTTGTCAACGTGTCGGTTGATGTCTTTCAAAAACTCTTTTCATTTTGAAAGATACAAATTTTCAGGGAATGGTTTGAAATATTTTTATCACTGGAAGGTTTTTTAAAACTGAAGTGTTTTTATTTCTTAAGGACACTAGTAACTCTGGGAAATGGACAAAAACAATGAATTAATGAAATAAACCGAGTTCTATGGTAAGTAAGTTGTTTACGGTAAGACTCAGGTAGGTAATGACAATATCCACAAAAAACTATAAGAAACCCTAAAAAGGACATTTTTATCGACACGTTAAAAATACGTGTCTCCATAAGTGCGGTGCTCGTCAACAGTAACACCATGATAATCATAAAGTATCTTAAAGTCATCCATAGATCCGTTCTTGGTAACATTTTTAGGGAAAATATTGCGAAGATGTTGTTATATTCAATTGAGCACATAATCTGTAAAAGATTGGCCATGTTAAAGGGAGCAGATGCCTACCTTATAAATAATAGAGTTACATCTTTGACATCATATTGTCTGAGTTGCCCAGTGAACTGCAACGCAGAACGAAAAGTTGTTATCCTGCTGTCAATCATACCAAAACTACAGTACAAAAAATGAATTCGAGTCTGTCCACGAGAGGACCGGGCAGGCGTGACATATGCCATCTCACTGATTTCTGACATGGTTTGATGCTACTCTGGTTTAATGATTTAATAAATGTAACCGAGAAGTTACAATTCATAGACCCAACGTTTCGACACTCCTGTCTAGTGCCTTCATCAGGGTTGATCTAATCGCTGCAACAAGAGGTCCTTTTATATGCTCACTGATTAGCTGCCATTTTCTCTTACAAGGTGTAAATAGGCGTCAGGTGGTAAGCCACCATCATCACGATTTAAAGGTGCGTGGGCGGAGTTGATATGTCACGCGCTGGTGGTAACGTCGAATAGTGGTGATGATTATCCCACCCAAACTTATGTTTAGTTAGGCATGTGTGCTCCGACAAAGCTGAATTTTCTTTTTTGCAAAAGAAGACCGCTTTTTGATGCTCTTTCAAACGTGTACCAAACTGACGTTTGGTCTGTCCGATATACTCGTGATCACAGTCATTGCATGAAATAGAATAAATAGCGTCGGTTCGTTGTTCTTTCGTGACAGGATTAGGTTTTGCGAAAATATGCCTTAAAATCTAAAAGGTTTTTGAGCGATTTTAACGTTGTGGCTATTCAAAATTCTCTTAACGGGTTCTGTAACATTTACACCCTGAATGTAAGGAATAACAGCAAAACCAGTCGCTGGCTCCTTCTCATCCGGAGTGTTACTAGTTGTAAGTGGTTTGTGGCAGTTACGGAGAAATGTTATGGTATAGCCATTTAGCTTTAAGACCTCCGAAGCATATTTCTCTCCTCAGCCTTCGAATCAAGTGAAGATGATAGACAGTCAGCCCTCCGGCCTGAGTAAAGTTTTAGCTACAGACTTTTTTCATACCGAAGGACTTTCACCACTAATTGACTATTAAACTAATGTTTATCACCAAACATCGTCAAACGTCGCTATGAACTGACGACGTCTATTACTCAATCCTGTAATGTTCAATGTATGATATATACATACATTTATTGATAATTTTTTCCAATAGATTGTTTCAGCGTTACAGAATTTGTATGATAAGTGACTCTTTAGCTCGGCAGCTATACATCTGTCGTTTTCAGATATGAGTACCACGAAAACTAGCGTCGGAGATCCCATTCTCAAATTGAAATTGAGTGAATAAACATCAGTTTATGACCAAAAATTGCATAAATTAACGTCAGAGGTCACGTATTTCAGAGGGAAGTGATCACTAATCTTTTACAGAGGCCAAAAATTTTTTTGGCCACAAACGTCGTGTTAAGATAGGTCTTTCCTGTGATGGTATATTTGTCAACATACAATATTGCCCATTGGAGATATTTGAAATTTAAAAAATCCTAATTTTTTCTTTTTTGGAATAGTTGCGTGACACAGTTAATGATCAACTGCTCTAAATTGGCAGAAGTTATATCAAATTACCTCAACTTTAAGGAATTGTTTCCCTTAGGTTCAAGCAACCATTGGACATAATGAGATTAAAATCCATCCCATTCTGTTAGTGTAAGAGAGATTCGTTGGAAGTGCATTTTTTCGAGCTTATTTTAGCCTTTTACCCCAGGGATTTGATGGGGGGCTCTTATACCCCAGGGATGAGCCGGGAGTCCGAACCAGCTTGGATTCTTGAATAACTTAGTGACCCTCATAAACTGTGAAAGTTTGAAAGAAATCGGTAAGATGGCATGTGTCACGCCTGCCCGGTCCTCTCGTAAACAGACTCTTCAATCACTCTTTACATCGATACTACGGTTTTGGTTGTTCATAGAGGTGAAGTACAACGATAAGTTGTAGTGTTGATTGGGATTTGTCGACTACGTTTACTGCTGGTCGACATATGTGAGGGAATAGTAAAACAAAAGTGAAGCGAGGAATCCCAGCGTGAAACTCTATTGATACGTTTTTACTTTACGTCACGTTACATGATGAACTGTTAAGGGATTGCCTTACCTCGTTAAAGAGCTCCGTCTCGAAGTTTATATAAACTTCCGAGTCTTTGTTCAGGAGATTGAGGTCAAAATTGTACTGTTTCCTCCGAAAGGCAAATCGCACACCCGCTGTGGAGCAGAGATAAATCAGCAATCTTCATATGCACGTGTTTCACCGATAATGGCTCAAGACATACGGTTGAAGTCAGCGCATTGAAATTCGAATCGCGAACGTGCCCGCTTCCTATCATGATATCAGTTTATCACACCCGTGAAACTTTCTCCCCACGTAATTTTTCATAATTTTTAAACGCTAAAACGTTATCATTTATCCCTTTTGGAAGCCTTCGCCGTCTACTAGATAACTCTCTCAATACGGCCCTAGTGCCAACTTCGCAAAAAATGTCTTAAGACGTTTTAAAAAGCCATTAAAAGATGCTCGTAGAAGCTTTATGACCACTTTCTTAGTACGATAGAATCTGCAAGTTAAAAATCATGACTTCATCATCCGCAGTGTAGTTAGACCTTGAACCAGTTTAATTATGAGAGTATTATTAGCTGTGAGCATGAATTGAGTTTTAAGTCACTCGGATACCTAACTGAATAGCAAATGTTAAATGAAATAAATCATAGGTCGATACCTGTGTTTGATGGTGAGTAAGTTATCGGTTGTGGTACCCATGGTGGTATCGGCGTTGAAGTCACTTGAGTTAGTGTGGTATTTGCAGTTGATTTTGTTTGTTCTTCTGAGGGATTTTGTACCGCTTTAGTCGTGGCTGTGGGTTGAACGGTTAAATTGTGTTGAAGAGGTAATGTTGTCGATTGTACAATTGAATTTGTCTGCGGATCCGAAGTTGGTATCGGCGTTGAAGTCACTTGAGTTGTGGCATTTGCGGTTGATTTTGTTTGTTCTTCAGAGGGATTTTGTACCGCTTTAGTCGTGGCTGTGGGTTGAACGGTTAAATTGTGTTGAAGAGGTAATGTTGTCGATTGTACAATTGAATTTGTCTGTGGATCCAAAGTTGGTATCGGCGTTGAAGTCACTTGAGTTGTTGCGTTTGCGGTTGATTTTGTTTGTTCTTCAGAGGGATTTTGTACCGCTTTAGTCGTGGCTGTGGGTTGAACGGTTAAATTGTGTTGAAGAGGTAATGTTGTCGATTGTACAATTGAATTTGTCTGCGGATCCGAAGTTGGTATCGGCGTTGAAGTCACTTGAGTTGTGGCATTTGCGGTTGATTTTGTTTGTTCTTCTGAGGGATTTTGTACCGCTTTAGTCGTGGCTGTGGGTTGAACGGTTAAATTGTGTTGAAGAGGTAATGTTGTCGATTGTACAATTGAATTTGTCTGCGGATCCAAAGTTGGTATCGGCGTTGAAGTCACTTGAGTTGTGGCATTTGCGGTTGATTTTGTTTGTTCTTCAGAGGGATTTTGTACCGCTTTAGTCGTGGCTGTGGGTTGAACGGTTAAATTGTGTTGAAGAGGTAATGTTTTCGATTGTACAATTGAATTTGTCTGTGGATCCAAAGTTGGTATCGGCGTTGAATTCACTTGAAGCACTGTATGTGTTGATTGCACACTTAAGTTGTTTTGAGGCAGCAAAGTTAAAAATATTGATTCATTGTTGTTACCGGAACTGTTCTGCTTTGCTGATACAGCTGTTGATTTTCCTGGTTCCTCGGTGGATTTAGACGACGAGATTGTTTTATATTCAGTCTCATTCTGAGGGGAAGTCTGATGAAATTCGTCCAATAAGTAAATTGTAAAGAGGATAACATATTGCACTGATTTGAACTTAAGAACCATCTTTTCTTTATGTGGAATGTAACCACTACACTGAGCTTGAACCCTCTGAAACGTAAAATAAGTGAGATGAATTAGGGTTAAAAAAGTATGTATTTTATACTCACGCAATGACATTATAAATTAATGATGAGAATTAAAATTATTTGCCGTAAAGGTTAATGTAGACCTTCAGAGGTGTGTTACGGAGAATGGATAATACGCACTCCGTATTTCAATAACCCTGAAAAGCATATATCAACGTAAAGCTGATAAAATGACCCGACTATTTCAAAGATGTGGTCTTATAGCAAGAGTGAATAAGCCCTTATACACAAAATGAGGATGTTTGACAAATTAAATTACCTGCCATCGTATTCGCACGCAAGACAAATCAAGGACAGAGTGCCAGTCACCAGTTGATGGCACATCCTCAAGTTTTTTTCTGTCATAGAGCTCTTTCCTCTGAGCTGATTTTTTAAGAAAGCTACTCAGACTAAGATACATTTAATTAATGTGCATTAATTCACCTTTTTCAAAACGCCACATGCAGTCCATCTTTTCTACCTTAAAAATTCGTGCTAGTGAAAAATAAAAATCTGCAAACTGCGTAAAACCCGAAGATGCTCCCCTATCTAGAGGATTTCAATGAGTTAATCGTTAGCCGTAAAACGGCCAAAATTTTCATTGTTAGTAGCAAATTAACGGACAAAAGGGAACTTGCAAATTTTTGTATTATTTACCCTGCTGGTGAATGACAGAATTATCGGTAAACACAGCGACGCGAAATTAATCAAAAAGTCCAAAGAGTAATTAGCCAGAAAGGTATGCATGATGAAATACCTGGATGATTTAAAATGAAAAAAGGATTTAAATATGGTGAATTCTAAGTTATGGTTAATTTTTATCCAGAAAGGCAGAAATAAATTCTAAGATTACCCTTTCTTAATCAATCAGTTGCAGTGATAATATCCAACTTTTCCAGTTTTTTCCTAGATGTAAAAAATACAACAGAGTATTATTCAACTTAAATGTCAGCTGAATCATTTAGATTGAATGCCAAGTTCAAAATAACATTTAAAAATGTGCTAGTGTTGTCAGCATCATCAATTAATTGTCATTACCTGTGTCTCGTATGGCTTCGGAACACATGGATAGATCAGTTTTGGCATAATACACGGCATGATCGTACTTTGTAACTAGTTTCATCAAATGAATTATTTCTGCTCTCGTTTTAAGGACTAATTAAAGGTTTTTGTAATAATTTCGGGTAACGTTAATTCACTCTCTATGAAATTTCAGAGAGCAAAACTTACATTGGTCCTTTAAAGTTCTGAGTCCAATCCAGAAGCTGGCTAATTCAATGAAGAATCGCGAGCCACAAGTAACATTGCTCTCACCTTTTTCCAAAAACTCCAACAAGTTTACATAGAAAGCCTTTCGTGGTTAGTCTTAATAATTCAACTTACTTATCAGTAAAAACTTGCTCTAACACTTTATAAAAACACAGCTCGACTCAAAGAAACCACTTTTCAATAACAGAAAGCCTTCCGTTTGTCTTACTGCCTTCGGACATTAATTATTTTGAATAATGACGATAAAATATTCAATATAATGGCAGATCTCGCCTCGAGTTTGCAGTGTCAACCAATAATTCACTTTACTATTCCGCCATTGTGTCGTTTTACCAAATTAGGGCATCGGAACGCGCCAAAACCCCTCCGCGTAAAACCATCGAATAAGTTGTGTTTGCTATTCATTAATATTTCAGCGTCTTTACTTCGCTGCATGATAACATCAGAAAAGAAAACGTTTTCAAATAGCCTTACTATATAGAGTCATGTAGAGGTTTGTCTTAAAAGACACGAGAAAGGAAAAAATAGGATCATGACATTTTTCAAAAATACTCCACGAAGCAGTTGTCACGTTACATAATGAATGCTTTTTTTAATTTTGTCGACTTTTCCGGCTTTTATTTGCCCAGCTTCGTGTAATTAAGGACGGTCAAATGTAAAATTACAGACATTCTATTTGGCGTTTACTTAGAGGAAAGGCATTACAACAGTTTTGCAAAGAAAATGATATTAATGAACACCGCGTTACTGTCAGTCTTATCACTTGTTTGCTAAGTTGGTGGAGTAAGCTGACTTTAGGCGGCGCCCCTATCCCAAACAGTTAATTTTCTTAGATTCATCAAAACAGCATGTGTGCGTGCAAAAAAGCAACTATTTACATTATTAAAGCCTAAAAAACTGATGATGCCGGATCGATACAACATGCCACTGTGCAGATTAATTTTTCGATTATCAACGCCACGTTTACGAGTACACCATCGATGTGAGAAAGTCCGATAGGCTTGAATTTTTCGCTGACGATAAATCATCCGCAAAAAGTGAGAATATACAAGAATTATAGGCAAGGAAGTTTGTTAACAGTTGATGTCTTAACTTGGGTGGTTTTAGACATTCATAAAGAATTGTAGAATTAACAAGCTTTCTTTTTCTGGCAAGTGATGCCATAATTTTACAGACTATAAAGATTGTATTCCTCAAGAGAGAGGAAGATTACAATAAAACATTTTACGTGTTGTGCCTGTTGTGTCAATATACCTCATGCTGTTGGAGAAAAAAACAGTCTTAAATGTGTTTATATTGTTATAATTACCTAACGTAAAGGAAAGTTCTCTGACTGGCGCAGCTCAGCGAATAAATTTCACCTGCCATTACTCACCTCAATCTCAAAGAGGAGCGAAACAGTCAGGTAACTACACACTGAGATCGCTTACTTGCATAAGAATAAAAAAGAAAGGTTTATAACTGTGTGTCTACGGTACTTTGGAACATTCTGAAGTTTTTTCTTTTTATCATGTTTCTATTCTGTTTTGAGATGAAGGAGTCAAAAAGTATTTTGTTAACATTATTTTAAGGGGATAACGAATTTCTCAGCATCAATTTTTGTAGCTAGTCTCAAACTGTGTCGTTCCATAAAAATGGAACAAAAAGCTTTGCACACAAGCCGCTATAAATACTTAGAAAAGGATAAGAAAGTAACTGAAAGTACGAAATCTAAAATCACAAGATAAAGCGGCAAGAATTTATAGAAAATACTTGAACAAATTCATAAAGAGCATCCGCTTTTGTTTGCTTTGACGTCCCAGTTGAACAAGCCCCAGAAAGCTTCATCAGTTTGTTGAGTCAGCTGAGGAACGCTCCTTTCCAACTTAAATACATAAATTTTGCAAATGGTGAATAAAATGCTTTCAGAACTTTTTCCTCCGATGGAACTGATTTCGAAATGATTCAAAACCACCAAACGATAAGAAACAATCCGTTGCATTTATGTACAATTTCTATTGTAGCAAGTCCATCGATTCTAACTTTTTCTCTAGATTTGTATTTCTGTATATGTTCATTACCATCTGCCATCTACATGTTATTACGTTTTTGATCATCTTGACATGAAAATTACCGATGAAGGGAGCTTGACTAATAAACCTGGTAAATTGAAAAAAACCTGACAAGCGCATATGAAAAAATCTACAAGGTCTCGTCAATGAATGTAATAATTTTTTACTTTAGATCGTGGATGTTAAAAAAACACCCAAAACTGAACTGTAAGATAGAAATGTAAAATTTACTGATAATCCTTATCAAAGAAGGCAAGATATATCATATTTTCCGCTCATACACTGTTTATTTAGATGTACTGAACTTGCCAGGTTGCATATAAACCTAAACTTCTAAATATCAGTCTTACCATACTCATATCAGTGTTCTGCTCTCGAGTAATTAATCGGAGACTTCTGTTTGGAACTGTTTGCAAATTTGGAAGAGTGCGCAAAAAAACATGAAATGAAAACATTGGCAAATTTCAATGACAAAGAGTTTGTTGGGTGAAGTTAATCGATATCATTAAGATTTGGAACAAAACATTACGACAGGAAAAGTGCCTCGGCCAAAAAACAATTCACGATACAAAGTGAAGTTCATTTTGATCCTCGTATCGTGAAACACGAAAACATTAGCGTTCAAATTTTTTCAATAATTTTTATCACCTGTAAATTTTACATCAAATTTTACTTTTTATCAAGAACATTAAAATTGGAAAGTTGCCTCCCTTCTATTTAGTTCAGTTCTAATTATGCTGAATATGTCTCGTCGACACCTTTAGCCGTGGCGATACGGTTTTCGTGAAGTACTAAAACTTTAATTCTAATTAGAGGTAAGAGCCACCCGAACACGAAATTTCAATAAGTTAGCTAATGGCCTTGATTAATTAGCATGCTGATAATTTTCGTGCAATCAGTCTTAGTATTTATATATCACCCTTCCGTTCCCTTAAGTGACAACTTTCTCTTTTTTTCACGAACCTTTTTCCATCCATTTTAAAGTGAAAAATCTGGCAAAAAAGAAAAGTTCTCCTACAAACAACGACAAGTTCAATGAATTGAATATTTAAAGTGTTGTGACAAAATGATTTTAATGAACTTTCTCTCGCATATATGTTGGGGCAATGTGTGAAGTTAACAAAATTCTAACTAACCCTCATTGTGGTTACAGTTCACGGTGGTTCATGTCACTGGACGACTTTTGTGATCTGGTAGTGCAAGCTGCTTGTAATCTTGGAAGCTATAACCGTTATAAGGTTCGTGTAAACTGACGGGATCGGTGGTGCGTCACAAAATTCTCCCATTACAATTTTTTTTTCAATTTATATACCGATATTAAAAGAAGAATATTTGATCAATGGGGTTTTTGCCTTTTCAATTTCTTTTTTGGTCCGAATCTAAAAAAATTACCCACGAAAGGGTGAAAACGCAAAGCCTATGCCAAAAAAATAATTAATATTCCGTTAAAGTTAATTATTTTACTTGCATCATTTTTTAAACACCGTCAATCGAGAAGATTTGGACTGTATGAAGCAAAACTACTAGTTTTGGAGATTCAAACAAATAATCTTAATCTATACATTGATTTTACTTACTGTTACGCCTTGACGTCCACTAGAGACTGTCTTGTTGTAAGAAACATTCTATTCCTCCACCGACACCGCAAAGCAGGGTACCAACAATACACAATTAGTAGCTGTACGACAGAAACCTATTTAAATATATGAGGTTGAAAGTGATACTCAGTTAGTCAGTTCCCTGGGCGTGTGGTAAATAAGGTTTATTACCATCAGCTGGACGGTGCAATCAAAAGATATGCTTATATACCCGAAAAGATAACAAAATTCATGATTTGCCTTCACCTTCATGAATATATTATCGATCTTTAAATTACCTAGTGTGATAAATATCACACAGCAGCTTGCGTTACCGCGGTCACAACTGCAAAACAGACCAATTACTTAAAGGGATATGAATAATGAATCCTGACTTGAGTCACTTGAACCAATGATTATTGAAAAGAAAACGAACGCTGAATTTAAATGATGAAAGTCGTGCCAAAAGCAAAGAAAAAAGTTTCCATCTGTTTTTTAAGGGAACTAAAAAGGGAATTAAAAATTGAAACTCCTGGAATGTTTTCAGGGACAGCGACACGCGATACGAAATTACCTTCGTCGATGTGTCCTGAGAGAGTTTTAGAAATGTTTATAGAAAACAGTTTAGCCGACGGTGGTTCATATTGTTGTTCGAATCTACTCACAGACGCTTATGACTAAAACGTTTTTCCTATGGAAGCTCACGGGAAAAATTATTTGCCAACATGGAAAACAGAAATCAAGAAGAACAAATTACACAACATTTACTTAAATTCAGATTCATATTCGTGTCTCGTGAAATTAAGGACACTTTTCCCTGTTGGACTTAAGGACTTATTAATAAGTAATAATCAACTTACTGCAGCAAGGCAATTACAATTTGGGATAAGCAGAATTGTGGCTAAATAGTCATAAGTAGTCTATAAGCTAAAACGTTTGCAAGATCGTACACGCAAAAGGTTCACGATGTTTCAGTAATGTCTAGTAACCTCAGTTGCCAAGTCCAAGTCTGTGCGGAAAATAAAGTTTTACCTGTAATGAACATAAAGGCGGTACACAACGAAAAACGGGTCATCAGTCTTGGAAACGTTTCATTGGTATCCTTAAAGAGAAGTCATTTGAAAACGTCAAATGCTTTGGTGAAGTAATATAGGGCTGGCAAACTTTATTGAATCGCCTCCCACCGAAGTTCGTCTTTCTTTTTGCGCATGACTCAAGTCACGCAAACGAAAGTATTTGAGGAAACTTGTTTTTGTTAATTTTTGTCTTTTCTTAATTCTTACCTTGTGAAATATAAATCCTTATCGCCTCACGCAGTTTATAAGCCCAGCACCGAATCTTTGTGAATCCTTAGCATCAGATTTCCGGCTCCATGTCTCCTGATTGACGCAGTCGCTGTTCGTCACCCTATGCAAATCGGCATTTATAAAATAAATAACCGCTAGTTAGCCGGCGCATAATGAAGCTTTCCCGAGCAAAGCCGCGTATTATTTACTGTACGCCGATCTTGGCATCTTACAAGCTCTTAGTCTTTAGCACTGTGGTATATACCTTGCGTAACGTAACTGTAACGCGAGGACGATTAAAATTAAAATTTTCGAAGGTATTAACGAGTATTTTAGTTCGCAAACTGAGCAAACTTAAAGTTTCAAACTCCTCTGGATCCCGTACGTACATTCTCCATAGTTACGTCATTTACACTACAAAACGTTTACACGCGCAAAGGAACACCCAAACGTTTCGTAGCTGTTCATCATCAAGTTTCAAAATGCTATCACAAAGTCATGAATTCTCATCCATTCTAACCGGCAAAAAATATTTAGAATCCCTGTCAGAAGATTGTTTTAGCGCCAGACAGTAGAAGAGGAAGATGATCACGATTTCAAGAGCAGAGGACTTTGCTCGTTTGGCCCCCGCGTTTTGCAAGCTGTTTTAAGAAAATGAGGAATTCGAAAATGAAGGAAAAAACTCAAACAAAGTTTTAAATGATGGACAACAAGTCGAGATATTCCTTTATGTTTGGCGATTTAGCGACCCAAGTTGCACTGGATATTGGGTATCGTATCGGCCAGGCGTATCGGTGAGCCAAAAAGCCTTACATCTTAGGACGTACATGTTCATGTTGAAAGCAACTTCAACTTTAAGAGGCGTGTTACCGCGTTATATTGTGCAAAGTTGCAAGCAAGATCTTTACACATTCCTTTGTTTCTACCGTGCGAAGCAAGGCAGTAACTGCGAAGTTAATGAGGCAAGTAACAAACACGCAGCGAACGTGTTAAAAGCTAGTTCTTTTGTTTCAGCATGCGAGCGTACCGTGCGCGTGCGTTCACCTTATTCCCTAGAATCCTGTGGAGGGTCATAAATATGAACGTGTAATTGTCGTAATAACTTGAGGAGAGCACAGGCAGCCCAAGCTCACGTCTCGAGAAAAAGCAAACAATTGAAAGCGTCACGCGTTGTGTGACTCAGTGTTGAGGTACGAGATGAACCGTTGAGAATTTGAACACGTTATAAGGAATAGTATGGGGAACGAAGTATGGTCGATTTAGAACGATAAATATTTCGAAATATGAACGTTTTACACGTAAAATCAATAAAAATTACTCACATCCTGTGCGTCCATTGTAGTTTCGGGCGATTTCTGCTGTTTTAAGCTTGCTTTTCCACCACTGTTATTCCTGTCAAAAGACGAAGTATAACAGGAATAACAGTGATGGAAAAGCAAGCTTTAAACGGCAGAAATCGCCAGAAACCACAGCGGACACACAATATGTGAGTAAGTTCTATTGATTTTACGTGCAAAAATTTTCATATTTTTAAATATTTATCGTTGTAAATCGACCATATTTCGTTCCCCATACTATTCCTTATAACGTGTTCAACGGTTCCTCTCGTAACCTAACACTAAGTCACACAAGACGTAAGCTTGGGTTGCCTGTGATGAGAAGAATTTCTCAATAGACCTAACAGGGTCTTCATGTAACAGGTCATGATCATCGCAAACTTGTCAGCGGTATCTAACATTGCACATGGTGGACGAAAGAAGCGTGCTGCTTTGTCGAGACTTTTCTTCGAAAATCTATAGCTTTTTCTCTCGTTACTCAAAAGTTCCACTATGGCAGAGTACGTTCAGCAAAATCTCGAGGGTATGTTGCCAGAACTTGAGGAAATGGAGCGAATGGGAGTGTTTTCAAGTGATGAAATCAGGTGAGTAAAGTTTACAGCTGTTTACTCGTCTTTTGGTGGAGAACATGTTTTTAACAGCTGAACTGTAGAACTCATACCTGCTACTTACTTGCATTGCATTGAAAATAAATAGTATCGACTGTTTTTAACTCGTTCTTAACTTTCATTTACTCATGTTACTTAGTCTTGATTCGTCGACTGTGGATGCACAGTTGTTCTGTCCTTAAGCTTCATGCCTCTTATGTAGCTAAGCTAAGAAAACATTAATTTCTTGATAATCCGTGTCATCTCAGAAGTTGGGCACCAGGATTCAATAGTTGCAATTTTGTGAAAAAACGTTCTCAACGTCTAACAAATGACCAAGAGTAAAACCCAACTAAATTTTCTTACATGTATTAAAGATGGTTTTGGTCTATTAAAGTCATAATTATTACTGATTTAATGTCATTTACCACGATACAGGACCATTGTACGTAAGAGACGAGACTATGAATACCGTCTGCAAAAAAGAATCGTTCAGAAGTCAGACTTCTTAAGATATATGCAGGTACATACAGAACCGTGATCACCTACTGTAGTACATCTATAACAAAAGTTGTTATATTCCACTGATGAGATTCCCATTCTAATGATCAAGGCTTACAGATTCTTGGTTCGAACATTTAATGAATTTGTTTTCTTTTACTTATAGTATGAAATTAACCTGGATATGTTGAAGAAAAAGAGGAAGTCGGTGAGATATTTATCTGCAGTGCAGTATTTTTCAATTAAATTTACTGAAATCTTCAAGTGTAGAAATTCATTTATTTTTGTTTTGCAGAGACTTGGCATAAAAAGGAATTTACAAGCAGAATATGCAACAATGAAAAAAATACACAATCTGTTTCAGGTAAAGAATGTTGATATCCTTACTACAATCTCTATTAGGTATACTATGATTATTCTTAGAAATTTCTATGTTTGTAAACAGGATTTTTTTTAGTTTTTTAAGCGAGGCAGTTTGAGTTATTAATGCATCTCAGTTTTAAATGAGGTTAGTTCAGCTCAGTTAAATCACCTACAGAATTAGTTTTGAATTATTATTTCCTAAGCCTCCTAATCCCTCAGCACCTCCTTTCAAAAATAGCTTCATTCTGTCGACAAGGACTACAGCCTGCATAATACACATACACCTGTAGATAGAAGATGAATTTGACCCCATGTCTTAATCCTCCCAATAAGTTTGACCAGTTTTTTTCTTATCTAAAAATTAGATTTCATGATTCAGTTCACTTGTACAGAAATTAAACACACATATCTTGTTTTGCTTTTCAGAATGCCTTAAAGAAGTTTGTGGTAAGTTGTAATGGGGTAAATTTGAGCAACCTGTCTTTCAAGGCACATTGTGAATAAAAGTAACATATTCGCAATAAGGTGATTCTAACTTACTAACACTCTAACTTTTAACCTATCTTAGAATATTGATCACAGCAAGACCAGCTACATACAACTGTATATATAAATGATTTAGGTGTTAGTACATTTCTCAGGATCCTTTCATGCCTGTAGTTTACCTTGTTGATAAATTCTCTGTAGCTGAGTTGACAGAAGTTGGAAGGTCTTTGCTTGAAGTTTTCATGCTAAACTCAGGTTTTCATTTTTCATCCCACACCTGTCAAAAAAAAAATTATTGTGAATTTCTTTAGTTGTAAAATAGTATCAAGTGTTTAATAATGCCCTGATCCTTTAGGGAGACATCAAGCTCTGGATCCAGTACATTGAATTTTGCAAACACATGGTACGAATAGACTTAACTTGTTATTGATTTTTATGGCTGCTATACAATTTAGTTTAACCCTTTTAAGTCCCAAGATCTGATTGTTAATTCTCCCCTCTAGCTGCAACACATCTCCTTGAAAAGTAGCTATGAGAATTTGGTGTTGGATCAAGATCAAATTCTCCCTGATTAGTTTGAGTATTCTTATTACCTGTGTGCAGGTTGATGTATGAATATTATTGGGAGAAGTTACATGCTTATCTCTTGTGGGAGTTAAACAGTTAAAAGGGTTTCATGGCTGCAGTAAACTCATGTTCAGCTCTGTTTAAGCTCTGTGGCCTTCTTCTGAGAACTGAATGTTTGCTTTGTCATACCATTGTAGTCTCCTTTGTAGCAGTATTTTAGATGTCAGGATTTAACTGCCTGCATAGTCACTACATTTACATGTACAAGTATTTGTAATACTATTTCTTCTTTCAGGGAAGTTTAAAAATTCTTGGAAAAGTATTTGCCAAACTCTTGCAATATCATCCAGACAAGCCAAGTATGTTAACTACTCATTTGTTATAAACTTTCAGATTTACTGAATATGTTTCATTATAAGGCTTAGTTATGTGAGATTGATTTAAATTGAACTTAAATTATGTGATATGTTCAGTTGTTGTCAATGTTTAAAGACCATTCTCAATTTGAGGGAGTCACAGTGGCTCATTAGCTGACTCTGGAGCCAAAGCTGGATCATTGTAATGCGTTGTTAGGCAAGACACTTCTCTCTATCCATGAATATAAATCAGCTTGGTACACAGACCTATCAGCAAGACCTCATGAAATGCTCAGGAGGTTGTGGGTAACCTGTGATGGACCAGCATCCATTATGGGAAAAGATGCCATGTTCCTTATTACTTACTGGGTAATTGTAATGAAATCAGTAAAACCTGTGGCGCAGTTTTCTTCTCAATCCTGTATTTCCATCTTTTTGCTACAAGACATTATTTATTATACAATGTACTTTCAGGTCTGTGGATAATGGCAGCAAAGTGGGAGTTTGAAGAAAACAAGAACATCCCTAACAGCAGATCTTTATTACAAAGAGGTTTAAGGGTGAACTCTTCTTCTCAGCAACTATGGCTGGAGGTAAGATAAGCCAGAGATACTGTAACACTTGTAGTTAGTTACAAACCAATGGTACAATATTTCTTATTATGAAATTTTGTCTTGCAGTATTTCAGAATGGAACTTCTTCATGTGGAAAAAGTAAGTCAATTAAGATTATTTTTTTTTTAGTTTAAAGATGTTTTCAAGAGTTTTCAGTGTAAGTTAGATTATTCCCCTGGCTGGCTTTAAAGTAGGTCAGTTTTATTTTGTTAAGTTAGTACATTTTTGTCACACTTTATTGGTACAGTACATGCATACATTTCTGTTTTTGTCAGATTCATAATAGAAGAAAAGTTCTTGGAATGAGTGGAGGAGAAGATTCCCAGGTATGTTGACTCAGATGAAGTTTGCATGATTGACTAACTTGTCTTCTACTTAGTTAAGGGAAGACTGCTGAATTCTATTGTTTCTGTAGACCAACTTGTATGTTCTTAACAGTGTCAATATTCTTGAAAAGAAACTTGAGTGGTTTTGTAGATGTACCGTACATGCTCTGTTTCATTATATTTCTTGGCTCTGATTTCCCTATTTTTTTATTTTCCAGGAAGAAGAAGTGACTGCAGAATTTCTTGCTGGAAAAGTTCCTGAAATTGTCTACAAAAAGGCAATAGAGGCTGTGCCAGGTAATGTTTGTTGTGCTAATAAATGTAAGCCACAGTGTCTTTACACTTTACATTAGAACATAACCAACTGTTACTTAACCAGTGCTTTATACTGTACATGTAGTTACTTTTATTTCAATGCGTGTACTTGCCAGCACTCTTAGGTACACCATGTGTGTTTTGTGTCTGAAAAATTATATGCAACTTGATGACACCACATTTTTTTTTTGTACATTGCAGATGATATAAAGTTCCGAATATCCTTTATAGAAATTTATCGCCTCTTTGAAAACACGGAACATGGCTGTGATATGATATATGAAAGGTATTGTCAGTGTTAAGAATGTACTCATCACTTTTGCTGTCCTGATTTGACATGGTTTATGAAGGTGATAGTGATAACATGGATTATTGGAAATAACATATGTAGTTTACACTGGTTTTGAAGACTCTTGTCAGTTATGTCTCAGATACATGTTTGTATGATAGAGCCTTCCTTGGCTGGCAATTCTTCACTTGGAGCTGAACTGCAAGGAACCTTTTGCATCAGTGCTAAAGGAAATTAAAATACTCCTATTTTTAAAATGTTTTTGTTTTCCCAGTGAAGTTACAGAGCAAAATGTTTAAAGTATGGTTTAAAATTTAACTTAGTGCTTCCTTTTATTATTTTAGCTTAATAAAACATTTTCCTGAATCTGAGGAGGTGTGGAATTTGGTAGCACGTCGACCCATTGATGAAGCAAAAGCTAAAGTAAAGAAAGGAACAGCTGTTATTACAGGTGTTGATATTAAGACTATCACTCAGTGTTTTGATCAAGTTTGAAAATATAAGTTAATTAAGTAATTTCACGAATCAACTAAAATTGTACTGTAAATGTACTCTAGGTGGGAATTCTGGTGGATAATTTGATGGACTGTTTCATAGTCATATTTAATGACAAGGATAAATTTGTTCTTGTGTTTAATCATCATTTACGGCAGGGTAGATTTAAGAAAAAACTATGTACATAAGTATGTGAACTTCATTTACAGATAGCCAGTGGTCAGAGCTTCTGGTGGAAATGAACAAGTTGTTTCACCAGGCAGTAGGACAAGTTCAAACTGGTGAGCTAAGCATCCATAAATGATCAATAGTTTGTATGTTTTATGGTAAACTATTTTTCTCCTTAAAAGCAGTAATTGACCATTATTTGTTCATAAGGTGCGTGTTCCTTCAGTCCTTAACTTTTCCACTTTTATTTGTTTCTTCATCACTTTGTTTTTGTTTTGCGTTTGTAATATGATGTGAATTAAGATTTACAGTTATATTATGGCCATGTTTTAGTTGATTTACACATCAACTTTTTGTCAACTATTTGATTTTGCAGTTGTTGTTGTTGTTTTTTTTTTTCAACTAGATAAAATGTGGGAGTTATATATTACTACCTGTACGGAGCTACTTACTGATTCTTCTCTCGAGCAAGCTAAAGAGGTAAGTACATAACTATAAGATTCTTTCCATTTAATTGTAGGTTAAAATGGCAAGTTATTCAGTCCTACCGTATATGCACTAACACCAATAGTCTTTCTAAATATTTTTTGTTCTGCTTTTTGTTCTGTAGCAACAAGAGCAAAATGTTTTGTGCTTATTTTCTGAGGCTGAAAAAGCTAATTGTGTCAGTGAGGATCTCTACAAAACATGGGTGAGTCCCCCAACTGTCCAATTAGATGTGGACATTAATTACAATGATGTAAAGAGAACCTTTGTGCTCTTTTTTGCTGCCATTGTGAATGTACATGTACATTGTTTTTGGAAGAAAAAAATCTCACTTTAGCCCAAGTTAGAGGAGCATCATTTTAAAAGAACTCACTGTTGTTGGTATATTTTGTTGACTTATGCATGTAGCTGAAAAGGCATACCTACATGTACATAATTCCCTACTATGGGAATTTGAACAGTTCACATTTCATTTATCTTTTTTTTTTTCCACGAGAACTGGACATTTTTTCCCATGGTACATTAGTACATACCTGTACTTGTCAGCCTTTCAAAATTGCCATGGTAGCCAATTAAAGGAACACTTAAGTATTTAGTATTCTACTTGCCTGCTAATGAAGGGTGACAAGTTCCTTGCATACTAATCAAGATCCCAGGTGAAATAACTGTAAAATTGAAAGCAGTACATGTACCTTGCATACAATACAGGTTGACCTCCTGCTTCAAAGAGATCAGTCAAAGAAAGCCTTATTGGTTTGTAAAAAGGCAACTAAACATTTTAAAACATCAGCGAGTTTGTGGAGCAAGTACTTGAGACTTAAACTGCTGAACAAGGGTAAGGTTATGTGAATCGATTGCTTAATACAATTGTAAGTTTTCCTTCTACACAATGAACATTTAAATGCCATGGAAGGTAATCATGCAGTGCATTGTGAAGCACTCAAAAGTAAGCAAGCTCTGCCAGAAAACTCTCTTGTGGTTTGTTGGAAAGAAGGAGAAGAGGAGCAGGGAGAGATTCCGTTCCTATACATCACTCCCACTCCTAGGACCCTTAGAAAGCTTGCTTGCAGGCTATCGATGTACAAGGTTCATGTATTTGGCTCGTGGACATGTTTATTCAGTTTCCTTTGCGTTACCAGCATATTGCAGGTGTTGGCTTCTGTTCATAGAAAGTCTGTACTTTCTTTTAATTGTCCCACAGCATTACGTAAGGGAAGGGTTAATGATCACAATTGGTGTTTTACTTTTTATTCACAGGCAAAATAAAGGACATTCAAAATGAATTTTCTACAGCTCTGCAGTGCGTAGATTCCAAGGTAAGAAAACTGAAGTGAACTAGGAAATTCCTCGATATCTGCATCACTACGTGTGTTACTACGGAGTCCACAAATCCAAATCCGGTTGGCTTATTTCAGAACAAAATGCATTTAAGCGAAGCATTTGGTCAAAGGTGCAATAGTGAATCAACACAAGTGCATATCCCAGTGTATCGCTTGAACTGTCTTTTTTTTCCCGAGATCATCGATGGTGCAGTGTCCTTGAATATTCTCACACAGTGTTTTTTCACGGTTTTCTCCTGATGCAGGATTCGTTATTTCTTTGGAATCTCTGGATTGAGTGGTGTATTGAAAATAATCCGGATGAGGTGGAATCTGTCTTTGAAGTGAGTTACCCTCATCTTTCAATAGTTGCACAATAATGTTAACTAAAATTACTAAACACGCTGAAATGGTGGGATTCTGCCAACTTTTCGGTTTTAAAACTGCATCAATATATTTCAAGGAAACTTAAGGTTTTTTTGTGTTTCCTCTCTTGTTATTATGTCTTATTACAGCTGTCATTGCAATCCTGTGCTGACGTACAGATCGAAACGAAATACAAATATGTCGAGTGGACCTCGAGCACAAAAGGGATCAAGAAAGCGAGGAAACTCTACAAAAGGTGAAATAATTACACTTATTAACTGTGTCCAATGATGACAAACAATTCTGTGCTACTTCGCTAAATTAATTTTCTTGTTCACTATAAGCTCATTTTGTTTAAGTTCCTCCTTATAACAAAGCATGGATATGTACCAGTACTTCTGGGCAACAGCTGTATACCGTCATACAATTATTAATAATCAAGTGTAACCGGCCTTTTCGCCTTTCCCCTTCAGACTGATTCAAGAGCGACCTTATACAATTTCTTTCTTTCGAAAGTGTATCGACCTCGAGTTAACACAGGTAAGCGATGTTAAATCGTTACAGACAAAAATGGCATCTGTTGAATGGTCCGTCGTTTTGAATGATCCTCAATTTCGTGATCCTGACAAAATCCTGGGGAGAGGATGACGTTTTATACTCGACTAGTTCTAACGCAAAAGATGCTGAAATAGTGAAAGCACAAAAAATATGTGACCGAATACTTGTGCGAAAGCGCCCGGCTTCTTCAAGCTTGAACCTGCATCATTTTTTTATACATCTTGTAATCGTTTTGACATTAAGGGCCGAAGATTAATCGTCGTTTGAAAAATCCGCCTTCTAATCGTTTGAAGTTCAGCCAAACGTTTAGCAAAGCGTAGTTTAAGTAAAAATGGAACCTTGCCTAGCTAAGACGACCATCGGACTGATTGATAACGTCTTGAAATAATGAACAACTGAATCTACACTTTCATTTATCGATCAAGGCATGTAAAACTGGCCGTGTCGACGGGACGGTCGTATGGCAGGATTTTCATTAAATAAACCTTTGTTAGTTAAACGTTGATATGATACTAATAGGAAATAACATGTATTGCCAAGGTGCTGGAGTATGTTTTGTTCGTGCGCATGTCGGAACGTCGTGCAGTCTACTAAGCTTACTTTACTTGGTTGCTCAGGTTGAGCCGAGTGCGAAGCGTATTCGTGATTTGTATGAAGCAGCCGTAGATCAGTTTGGTTCTTCTTATCCTGGTAAGTACGGCAGATCTTAGCAAAAGGACAGCGATACATTGAACATGCGCAGTAACTGATACTTTCTCAGCAGAGTTAGACTTTGGTAGGGAGGTTGGAGTTTCATTTGTGTGTGCTGTAGGAAAACGTGATGTTCTCTTGACGAGAAGAACATATTGTTATACTTAGTGTCGTATTTTCTCGAAAGGTTTTTCGACTTCCTTTGCCGACGAACATTTTTATCGATTTAATTATTTTGAGTTAGCATCGATTTGCCTGTGTCTGCTATAAATTTCCTCTGCTGACGAACATTTTCGTCACTCCCTTGTTATGCTTTTGCGCCGGCCTTCAGGTGTCTAGACACTTGTCTCTTTTGTTCGTAGTTGTGGTTTAGTTGTGAGGCGCTCACAGCTTGCATTTTCTGTTTAAAGGCGAGCGTAGGGCTTCGGCTTTTCTCTGCTTCTTCTCGTCAGTGTAGAGAGGGGCTGTTTGTAGCAAGTGCCTGGAGATGCTAGCTAAGAGAAAGAGATGTAATTTTTCTGTTTTGTTAATCTCCCTCCTGACTCTGTTACGTTAATGGTTATCAACGCAGCAAAGCCTCCTACGTGATATATTTTTTGTGCAATTCGGCATTCTAGACCTAGTCGTTTTAAGCTTGGAATGGAATTTATATGGTCTAATTATATTGTGCATGTGTCGGCCGGCATGTTGCATACTTGGCTTCCTGTCTAGTCTCTGTTTCGCATTTGAATGTATATATATAGAATTTGCGCCTTAGAAGTCAATAAAATTATTATTACTCTGCATGCATGCATGCAACGCGCCAATATGTCTAATCCACAGAAATGCTTCAGTGAAAGAAAATATGACGTTTCAGAATCTTTGTAGAGTAGAAACGAGGTCAGCGTTCTCTCATTCAGTCATCCAGCTTTTTAATAAAATGTAGATGTTGAAAAAACCTTAGAACGTTTAAAAATACAATTCGATCAAAATGTTCCCTAAATTTTAAAGTCCATAAATAGGATTATTTGTTTTTTATTCATTAATTTCAAAGCTCTTTTTAATTCAGTTATTGGAGTGAAACGCAGTCGCGGCCCTCCACGGTAATTCTAAAAATTACATTCATTTTTGTGATAAAAAAATTATCCGTAGTGGTCAAAAGGGAAGTGATTTCAGTTAAGTTTCATTCGCAATTGTCATGTGAGGGAAACTAGAGTTGTATCCATAGTAATCTGTTTCCAAGTCACTGAATAGATTAGATGCAAACTACTCATTTCACGTTTGGAGCTGGCTCTTGGCAGTTAAAAAACTATTTGAAACTTGAATTCACCAAGAACCCAGCAGAGTTTCGCTCATGCGGCGGAAAAATTACAGACGAATTCAAAGCAGAAACGTTTCAAGGCAGTTTTGAGAGCTGAAGCGGTGCAAGTTAATCTTTTCATCTTAACAAACACACTATCAATTCGCAAGGAACCCACCAAGTAATCTTAAGAGTAATTCAGAATGCAGTCTTTTGTCTCATTACACGCATTCATTACACGCAGTGGTACTGTATCTTATGATCTCTAGGTTTTATCACGTTTTTATGCTGTGAAATGTAGAGTTTTGGTAGAAAGTAGAGCATTGTGACTGTTTCATCGTCTCCTAGTCTAAAGTTCACAATGCTTCACAAGAGGGAGATCGAATACTACTTATCGTGTCTTATAAGTATATAGCTCAGTCTCCTTGCTACGGATGTTGTGACTGGTTTATTTTGTTCATTGTTATTATTATTTAATCTTATTTTCATTGAACGGTTTCCATAAGGTTTGTGATGTAAATTGTGAACTCGGAAAGTAGTGGATAGACCATGGTACCCGGCTTTGCAAGCTATTAACATACGACATACATTTCCATAACAGACTGCAAACGACTGTTTCAAGTGCTCGAACTTTTTTCGTTGCGGTATTTGACTCTTTCCACGGCTTTTTATCCTCAGTTTAAATCCGATTGTCTCAGTGTTTTAAGTCTGCTGATCTTTTAAAGCGCCTCGTCGTGTCAACCTCCAAACATCGTTTCATTGATTAAAGATTGATTAAATTTAGCGTTACAATGGCGTCAGTTTCTTTTTTACGTTGTCAATTTATTGCATCCGCATTTTCTTAGCCTGTTTTATTTAATTAAAATTTCAGCAGTTCCGACTTTTAGCCGTCTGTGTGATGGATTAAAATTAAGAACAGTAATGAAAATACTCGTTTAAATCAACCTCCCTCCTAGTGGGGTTTCCTAGAGTTCTATACCAATGAATTAAAAACAAACATTGTGGATAAAGATAAATGGCTTTAAAAAATCTCATCGGGATGGAAGTTAGCCAGTATGTAATATTCAATGCAAAGTCGAAAAAGTTTCCATGTGAAGACCGTGAACAGAACACAGCAACATCAGATAAGAAGTCTTAGAGCAAACTAGCCTGATAGATTTCCTTTTCAGCAAAGCAGATTAACTTTGAACACTTAAATTGTTTTAGCATGACTTGGTCCTTTTTAATAGGAGAAAATAATAGGTTTAATCCACTGATTGAAATCATGTTGGTGTTCGTAAAATTTACGTTGGTTGGTAATTTAATCCAAGTTGCTTACTCCGGTTTTTCTTTTATGCAAGATTGAGAAAGATTCAGACGTCAACTAAAAGAAATTGCGCAAAATTACTTAAAGGAGCTATTCATGACGTTGCATGCTAAAAAATTTATATCTTTTGTCAAGTGGGAGCTGACAAGCTGTTTGGGAAACAGAGACTTAAGGACTTTGCTTCGAGTGGGCACAGAGGCAGTTGGTTCATTTTCCATCAAAAAATTATCTACTCATAATAGTTTCGAAAATGAACCGAAACTCAGGAAGCAAGTATAAGATGGTTAATTCGAGATTGGGCTCATATTGTTGTGTATTTTTTTTTTATTACAAAATATTTTTTCCGCATTAAACGACTGAAAGTGTGACCACATAGTTCCTTTTTCGGAACTGGCTGGGACTGGAACCTCTTGCCGAGGCCCAACGCATACATCAGAATTCTCGAACGTGATTGGCTATCAGTTGGCTGATGTGGGCACTTGGACAGTGAAGGCGTCATACTTGTAATAGGACATTTTAAGAGCCGGAGTGCTTCTGGACTATGTTTGTTATCTCTCCACATGTTTATTTAGACTGATAGGTTCGTTTTTTCGTGGAGAGAGGTTAACGGTTATGTTTTTATTTATGACTACGCTTCACTGATGGGTATTTTGTGTCTCAAATTTGTCATGTTTGTGATTAATTGTTATTAAGACTTTTTGCCGACCAAATCTGTCTGTAATATTACTCTTGATTAACAAAGTCGGACTACCGCTTCGCGGTCTTGAAATTTTGTGAATCACTCGTTACAGGCTTGATTGGACTCGACCTGGTCTTGTTACAATAATTCATACGTGTGTTTCTTATTTTCCTCAGATTTGTGGGTGGATTATATTCGCCTGGAACTCCTACACCCTGGTGGAAAGCCAGACAATGTAGGTCAGCTGTACTGGCGAGCCACCAAGACACTCGACGGTAAATTCACGGAGGAATTTGTGGGACTGTACTCGTTGCTGCAGGCGGGGCGAGTTTAAATCCAAATCAAGATGTTTCTTTATACTTCTAACATTGAGAATGATTTTAGGATTGCAATGATGGAGTTAGTCTCTTTCCCTTGAGTAGCATCGGGACTGAAGTGTTGAAGGCTTAGGCCTCTTAGGGAACAAAGGCGATCGATATTTTGTGGGGAAAAAACCGGAATTCTCTTCCAGAAAAAAATATGATAGAAAACGTTTATGTTTTTAAACATAATTAAAAATTAAATTATGGAGTAATTTTATTTGTGTAGTTGTGAAGTCTTCAATTATAGCCATCGCGGCTTTTCCATTCAGACATAGTTTGATTTATGAGGCGAATTCCAGTTTTATGACTGTTCGTGGTGCCAGGGCTTGCACCTGTTGTAATGAAGTTAACCAAAAACAATAATTTTGTGTTAAACTTGAATCAGAAAAATATGTATTTTTTTCGTTAAGATAGACAAACACAAACGAGGTAATTATAAACCAAGAGGGAACAAAAAAAGGAAAAGGTCGAGATGACTAACATGAATTGCTAATAACGATCTCGAAAAATTCAGACCAAGTGCCTAATAGTGAAGAATTCTCGACGGAGCTCTCATAACGAGTAACTGAAATAGGAGTGGCAGTTTGATCTTTTAAACTTTGTATTAAAACTGGGAGTCAGCAGTAGACACTCCACGGGGTGGCTTTTCTTGTCCACTGTTTCCACGTCGAATTGGAATTTAGAATGTGAGAATGTTCTGTTTTGACGCAATTTTCCCGTTTCTCGTTTAACCCGTATCAATCGTATTGTTATCGTCTTCCATCATCCTGGTTGCTCTCGTGTCTGAGTACGACATCTGTTACTCGGCATCTCCAAGTAATTAACTAAAACAGTTATCGAAGTAATTAACCAGTATTACCGAGAAAGGTTGAACGTCTAGGACTCTTCGCCGTCCTTACGCTATTGATGTTTCATTTGTGGTAAAGAAGATTCTTTTTAGCTGATCATCATTGCGAATGATCTGCTGTTTTTCGGTTGTTATTTATCATATATCCTAAAGGGTAGAACCATGATGTTAGCGAGTGTCAAACATCTTACGATATTCCGTGACTGCCGAAGTATCTTTTTAATTGGATATTGTATTTTTTTTCCCGCCGCTTCCCCTCTAATCAGGTTGTGTATTGGTGAAGTTAAATGGTTAAAACTTTTCCCATCATTAGGGTCAGTATAAGCTAAGGAACAACCGATACATCAATGGACCTCTTACACGCTCGCTCTCCGAGAAAGAATTGCTAAAGCTGTCTTTTAAGAAACCGTTGACTACATTGCAGGCCTTCTAAGTTAATCGCAAATTGATAAAGATTAAATTGAGAAATAAACAAAAGAAATTAAACATCTGACGATCCTTTCCCCCGTAAGTCGGCCTCAAGGGGTAAACACGACGGGTGAATTAGCTTCTACTCTAAGGTGTTCTTCAGAAATGTCGTGAGGAGACATTCCTAGTGCACGAGTCTTATTTCTTTGGAGAGCGTTTTAGACAGGTCTGTTGACGTTCCTGAAGTGTTTGTCTGAAGTTCGGTGTCTTGTGGCACCAAGAGACAAACGAGCTAATTGAATATGCTGAACAATTTTTCTGATGCAGACAAAATAGTATGACAAATCATCTGTGATTCATTACGATGCGGAAATCTTTAGTCTGGTTCGAATTCCGGCCAGTCACAAAAAAAACTGAACTCTTTAATGGACTTTGCTTGACCTCTCCCAAGTGTCTATGTAGACATCATGATTATCTTTGGGGAGATGCTGTTTTACACTAAATTGTTTCACGCGATTAGTATTAACTCACAGCCAGCACAGGTAGAACCTCCTGTCCCCGTTTGTGGAACATCCAGCTGTAAAACGAGGTTGATATCTTAAGAATGGTTAACTGTCATTTCTCAGGCCCTTTCTAATCGGGCAGGTAACCAGATTTTCATCGCTCCGCAAAAACGTATCGCCAGTCGAGCTGGATAATAAAAGAGAATAATAAATAACTTGATTTAATTCTGTTTAAGAAATTCTCAATGTATGTCAAACAGTGCTTGCTTTATTGATATGTAAGAAAAAAGACACCTATGGGCGCTCTCTTTTGCCGAACATTAATCTAACGTGTTAGTTGTTACACTTCACTCATAGAAGTGTCTTATATGAACTCTTGAGAATTTTTTTTTTCTGATTCTTTTCAGGACTAGAATCTTTTGGTGAAAAGTAACTAATCGCAAAGAGAGTTTTTCAATGAGTAAAATTGTGAATTTTAATAATTTTTGTTTGGTGGGAATCTTTGTTTTTTTTTAATAAAAAGTCCTCAGTCGCCTTCAGTCCAAACAAAGATTTACACCAGAATAAACACTGTTTCCATCGTCTTTATTCTAACCGTTAGTCCACTCAAGAAAGTCCTCCATATAAAACCACTACACAAATCATTTGTTTTCGGTGAGTGACCTAGATTGTTCATCTAACTCCAGCTGACGCTGCGATGTTTAAAGTCATTCTTTATCAATAGCTGTTTGGTTTTGATAGTTTGTACTGCTTGATTAGTCGGTGCAATGATCGGATATCTTGTAAGATGATCGTCTGTCTAACTGTCTGGCTGGTAAGACGATTTTGAAATTATGTCAGGTTAAAAGCAATCTTTTTTAGCCACTTTAAAGTATTTTGCTAACAGTGTCGGTTCCTCGATCGTTCACGATTTGGCGGGAAACTTTTAGACCGTATGCCGTCCGAAAGCTTAGATTTGACGGGAAACCAAGCGGATTTAACTCCCCGTCGTCGTTCTTCGACCAAAAGAATCATCAATTCCAACAATCCGTTTGTTTCTGCTAATTGAAATAAAAACGATGCTATTTCTACTGCTTAAAATAAGAAAATAAGTGAGTACTAGAAGAGATGCGTGGCACTGATCCCTTAATTAGATATCAAACCTGTAATATCTTTGTCAGTCGTTACCAATGGAATTCCAAAATGTGTACTTAAAGGTTTTCCTTTTTTCTGTTCAATTTTTGTTATTGTTTTTGCTATTAATGACATCGCGAAAAGTGCTGAAATATTAAGACAGAATAAACACACTAAGATTCTAGGCCTTGATCACCATCTCCAATTTTTTTGGCGAAACTAACAGCTTTCCTGTTCACCCTCAACGCTAAGTGGATGTGAGTCGTCAGAATACGTGGCGACCGCATTATTATCTTCGCGTGGGTGAATCATTTTTTGTGTTGTCTTTTTGAGAAGTGACGGATTATTCTTATCTGCCTGGTAGACACAATGCCAGCTTTCATCATTCAGACCCATGAGGATTAAACACATGTTATAGCACTGTTACATCGCAGAGCGAAATATGAAGCATCGACACTAATATGATAGTGTGAAACTGTTGCATTTTAGAATCACGAATACATTCCATTTAACAGTACTTATCGCTTTGTACACAGAGTAGTTAGATAATGGACTATGATTCGTACAAATGTTTCTTGTAGGGGATGGGAGGTATTTAGTAGCATGGGGCTCACAATAATCGCATTTTTGTTTAGTTTACTCGACGTCTGCAAATGAATAGGAATATTTATAAAGCATACAGGTGGGACGTAACTATGGCGGGGTTTAGCCAGGTGTCTGAAATATGCCGCGGTTCTCAGCTTTTTTAACGCTAATCTTCACAATACAAATATTTAGCTTAAAATCGGCCATTCAGTCGTTTCGCAGGATCAACGCAATTTTTATCTGAAGCGAAACTTTACGAAGGTCACAGTTTTGGCCGACGGACGTGTAACGAGAGAAAGTGCGGATATTCATTTCTAGTCGTGTGTCGCGCCAAACATTATTAGTGTCCAGTGTCTTGGCGGTTCGTTTACAGAGAGCACGTAGTAAACAACACTTGGCTATAAAAGCAGAACAAGCTTAAACTTAAGACATTTCCTTCATTGAGTCGCGACATGAAGACTTCGTGCTCGATATCGATCATTTTAGTTGCGTTGTTACTCAGCGCACCTATTTTCACCTTGTGTTCACATTCCCATAAGTTAAAGCGCAGTCATGGTCTGCCTTTGGAACTACTGGAGAAGACACAGCCAAGAGATTTTATATTTGATGGAATTGCCAGGCGTCCTCTGAGCCCCGAATCAAAGATACAACCGAAACATATCGATGACTGTGATGAAGAACCCGTGAAGCCAACAGGGCGTGATTTGAGTGAGAGGAGGCTGAGCAAGAAACTCGGGGGCTCGATCGATGAGCGTTTTTTGTCAGTTTCCAAGCCCGCCCATATGTCAGATAGTCCGCAAGTGGAACGAGTTTCATTGCGAGGCATCACGACCTCAGAAAAAGACTTTCTCAGGCAGGTCATCAGAAACGAGACTGTTCCTTCAATGGGAGGCAAGGTGTCCATCTTTATGGAAAGGTTTCTTATGAAATGGCTAATTCACAAATCTGACTGTCCAGTGGAACATACGTGGACAGACCAGGGTATCTGTTATTGGCCAAGATGGATCTCGGTAGGTAGTAGCTCTTACCTCAGGTGAAATTTTGCACGTACTTTGTAATAACACTTTGCCACCAGGCTCTAAATGTGGTATCTGAGCTGGCTCCTATCTTATGTCAGAAAAGTCCATTCTTTCATTGACTTTTTTTAAGTGACTATTGATTAAAGTAATAATCTTTGTATATGTTGTGGCCATGTCACGAAGTTTACTTAAGTTTTCCACCTGTCAAAGAAGAGCAAATGCTTAAGTATTCAGGCTGAGCAATAGAAATTAGAAGCTTGGCTGTGACCTTGATTTTGTAACATGGATATTTCGAGTGCAGGGCAGGAGAGCGCACTTGGTTTCTCATTGTATTAGAGGCATCTCTTATTTCAATTGCTAATTTTACTGAAAAAACTTCAGGAATATCTCGTGTTATATGGAAGGAAAAACGAACCGAAGATCAAGCGTGTATGAGGCGTAGCGCCAAAGAAAAGCATCTTAGCGTGGATAGAATCCTGCTGCTATACGCGTGTCGTGGGGGATTAATTTAGATGATCACACGACAAACTGAAGTTTTCACTGCGGCACACTGATCAGCTTTAAATTTAGTGAGGAACACAGGGTCATTCATATTCTGCACGAACCCAGATTCACGTGAAATCCAGTCAAAATAAGGAAAAAATTTTCTGGTTAGTGGACAACAACACCAATTATCACAAGCCATGTTCTGTTTCTTCCATCAGTAAAGGAAAATACCACAGTGGAACTTGCCTCCGTAGAAAAAGAAAGCAAAATATTCTTTGCCATGGATTTAACAGGAATTTTTTTCAATGAATCATTATTGACCTGAAGCCACAAAAAGGAAACAGAACGTCATAATTCTTTTAATTAAGTGCTTTCATCTTTCGGTCTGTCTTGGCTGAATTGATTGGGTCGGAATAATTAACCACCAACCGCTTAGTTGATTTAGAGTGAGTGTTGAAGCGTTTTTACGTCCACTTGCTTTTTCGCGACCCAACGATTTATAAAGTGTTTGGGCGTGAAAGCCGACATGTATCAGTCATTTATTGGCTTATAAGGTTACAATTGTCAGGTCAAGTAAACACATTTCCAGAATGAGAAGAGATCAGAGAGTACAGCTGAAATATAAGACTTTATTCTTTTTATGGCTCATACGCAAACTGGGCCTCCAACGCAAAGACTAAAAAGCTCGATTAGGGCCGGACACTTCTTGAAAGCAGTACATTTTCATTATTAAGGTTCAACAGTTGATGTCATAAATAAAAATGTCTTAAAAGCGGTTCTTCAATAGAGAAATGGCTAGACTATGAAATACCTTCACCTCAGGAGAATAAGATGAAAACCCACTAACCGCAAACAGCGACGTAGGAAGAAAAGGTCAAAGTGAGAAGAGAGCTAATATCAGATCTTTTCTATTGAAAGTTTAACCATTGTTATTTTTAAGGTTCTGCATATTTGATTACAAAAACTGAAATGTGCTCAAGGCAGCCTCGCACGTTCACATGTGTCCGGTCTAATTTCACGATCATTCTGTTAACCAGAAAGTTTTAGCCTCCGGGGCAAACACATCGGAAAGCCATACATGTTTACATGTACTCTGCCGGCGCGTGTGCTTGTGTGCTTTTTTTCAGTCTCTTATACCACGACTTCCTCATCTGTTCCGGAGGATGCTCTTGCATAAGTGAGGAACTTTGCACAATTGAGAGAAACAAGTGGAAAGGTGTTGGACAGGAGGAGAACTTAATCGGCAGTGCTTATTATTATTATTATTACACATGTATAAAACAATATACATGCATTAGGGATGTCAAAACTACCTCTTGAACTATACAAGAAACGCAGATCAGCTCTGTCAGTTTTATTTTTAGTTATCCTCGGAATATTCCCCGAACTGTCAACACGCAGCGAGCGGTGGAATGAGTAGCCCAGCAACGGAGGCAAAAGAGAAACCTCCTCATCTCTTAATGTCTTCTCCATTCGCCGCTTTTCTGTCTATTGTCACAGCATTGGTGTATTCTAGCCATGCTGACCCCTGTTTTTTGCTTCAGAAAAACTGTCAACATTTAAAAATTACTTGTTAGAAAGTTCCATTAACTTCTGCGTTGTTCGTTTAAGACAATTGTGGGTGGTGCGCGACCCCCTGAAAACTTTTCCACTTTGAAACAAAAAATGCCACATTGTGTATCGTATCAGACAATGACGCCAACAGAGTGAAGATCATTTATAAAAAAAACCTCTGAAACGCCAAAAAATTCTTGAGACAAAATGCCACACCGTGTAGCAAAATCCATCATGGGGCTGCGTTAAAACGCCTTTTGAAATTCTGTTTCATGACGTCTTCAAGTTACGATTATTTGTAAAAATTTTTCCATTGAATCCTCATTCCGACTTATCAATCAGAATATAGTTTTGCGTGACGTGAGGTTCTAGACGGGAGGAATATCAGAGCTTTTAGTGTAAATTTAAGAATCATGCTATTGTCTTTGGCAGATGGGTCGCTGCATAGCCAAGCAGTGTTCATGGCCTCAGGGAATGTCGTGTGTGGCGTCTGATCCAATCGACGTGTACCTATTGCGATGGAACTGCCGTACGAACCGAAACAGAAGGAAAGGAAAGAAGACTGGGACTCCTACTGCAGACGTAACGTGTCGGTGGTTAAAATTTAAGCGTTCTGTAATTAATGATTGTTATTGTAAGTGCGATTCTGCTCGAGCTGATTAAAGATAGTTTTTCGTGGCTCCGTTGAATCAAAGTTTAAAAGCAGGCCAAACAAAGTGTGCACAAAAGTTCCAACGAATACGATACTTCGTTAACTTAGATCGTTTAAAACCGTCAAGTTCTTAATCATGTCAAAGACGATGATGAAGAATATTAATGAAAACAGACAAAAAAACGGAAACCCGATCGATTTTGGATGGGAGGGGACTTTCGTTGTGTAGCAATAACGTTGCATTCGTAATCATTTTATGTTTTATTTTTAACCTCAAAAGGTTTGTTTTGCAAAGCGACATATCGAGCGTTCAGAATCGCAATTCACTTCGTTTACTGCATGTTGTCTTTAGTCTTTTTTTCCTTCTTTACCGTAAGGATTGGTTCGCCGATGTTTACTTATATCTCCAGTAGGGTCCAGTAGTCAAATTGAAGCCTGTTAGGACTTGTTTGATATTGTTTATAATAATATAATCATTATATTATTATATTATATATATTGTCATTATATTGACGAGGGAAACAAGCATTGATGACTAGTCATAGTCATGTGTAGAGCTTTCTCCTTTGTGATTTTTTTCACATATCATGTAGATATATCCTTTCCAGATTAGTTTGCCATTCCCTGGCGGTAATAAGCTCAGCTTGTATTATTCTATGTGCCAAGTTCACAGGTAGGCTAAGCAAATAAACTGGGATAAGCTTAGAATTGGCATTATTTGACCCCAAGTTTATACTTTTGTTGCTTTACGATCAAGTACGTCGTGAAAGAGATGTCCGGCGTCTTTTTTATTTGTTCGCATTAATGAAATTTCTTTGGGAAATTGCAGCTAAACTACCTGTGGTCTATTTTTCTTTAACAGTCTCCTGAGCATGGACGCAAAGAAAATTCTTTTAAAATTGCAGTTAGAGCGGGAAAGAGGCTGTATGTTTATCTTCTCAAGCGGAACACCCTGTCTCGTCCCAGTCTTTTTTCGCTCAAAGCTCCATCTCGGGAGATTAATCAGACTAAGAACAGTTCAATCTCTTATGTTTGACAAAGGATTTAAAGGCTTTATATCAATTTCCTTTAGAGCTAAGTATTACAGAATAGGCGAAAGAAGGCCAATTATAACCTTAAGCAGTACGTTACTGTGCTAAGGGTTGGGTGAGTGGTGTATAGATGTACACGGTTGGCTTTCGTTTGGTAAATAAAGGAAAAAAGAAAATCGTTTAGTTAAAGCGTCGTGATTATGTGTCGCCAAAGGGTAAACACCTCCACGTGTAGGCTAGCAAGAGAAAGTAATGGTATTTGAACATCGGAATTTCGTGTTTGATTCTGAGGAGACTTCATTGAGGTTTAAACAACGTCCAAACCAATTCTTCCAAATCTTAGAAAATATGGCGGACGATCAGTTAGATTTGGCTGCGAAGGCGTTTAAAGCCTCAGCAAACTACGAGGAAGCGCGACCAACATATTCTGTTGAATCTGTAAGATTTCTTCTGGAAAAGGTCGGGATCTTAGAAGAAAAGGAAATGAAAAGCCAGCCACGTACTATTCTTGAATTAGGTTGCGGTACAGGGAAATTCACAAGGATTCTGATGGAGGTTTTAAAAGACACAGATACCCGAGTGATAGCGACTGATCCCCTGGAAAATATGCTGAAAGAGTTTCGAAAAATTTTCCCAAACTTCGAAGTGGAACAGAGCAGCGCAGAGAACATTGGTAAGTTTGGTTTTCTTTATAATTACATTTTCTTGGTGCACAAATCTCTCAGCTGTCCGTAGGATTGAGGATACTTCATTGTGTTTTACATTACCTTATAAGCGTTTTATCGAGTACTGGGACACTATGGAGGATGGTCATACAACTTCGGCCGTGAAGGCGTATAAAGCCTTAGCAAACTAGAAGAAACTCGACCATTATTCTCTAAAATCTGTAACATTTCTTCTGGAAAATTAAAGATCAGAATTTAAAAGAAAAGGAGAAAGTTAGAGCATAGAATGCACTTATCAACGTCAATTTAAGCCAGCTCAATCAAGTGCCATTTCAACTTCTGACACAAGTATAAGGCAATTTTTTTTTCTATGATAATGGTTCAAACAAAAGATGAATTCAAATTCAGCTGTGTTGGTGTATAAAAAACAGACCCAATGGACGTCTATTTGCTTGTACAACTGCCATTAACAATTTCCTTTGAATTCTCTTTATTAATAATGGATCAAACCTTACAGTTATATGTAAAATTAATGTAAATTGTTTGGTTTTGAATTTTTTCATTTTTATTCCTCATTGCCCTGATATTGTGGACATTTGAAAGGGTGGATGTGAGGAAACATTGAGCTGTAGAACTGAAGAAAATATGGAAATGAGCTGGGAGTTATGTACAACTGTGAATACTTAAATTGTGGAAGTATCTTAGGAATGGACTTGTGGAAGGAAAGAAGTGTTGGAAGTCTGGAAGTGTAAATGTGTAAACTTTTGGAGGTTTTATGCATAGAAGTGTAAGATTTAGAGGTTGGAAAGTATGGAAATATAGAAACTTGGAAGTTTGCTCTCCTACTTTATTACAATTTCATTTATTTTTGCTTTTTTTTTTGTTCATTCACAAAGCTTTTCCAGACTCAAGTGTAGATGTGGTCCTGGCAGCCCATTGTTTCCACTGGTTTGCAAATGAAGAAGCTGTGAAAGAGATATACCGTGTGTTAACTCCACAGGGAACTTTGGGAATGATCTGGGCATTACCAGATGAATCAGTACCTTGGCTAAAAGAGATGATGACATTTTTTCATCCATTGGAAGAAGACTTCAAGTATACTATTTCAAAAGAAACCATGGACAAAGTCTTTGAAGAAGTTGGGAAGCTCTTCACGATCGAGAAGGAGTCAGGTAAAAAGACTTCTTGGCATCTTAGTTATGATGGCTGTTACAAGTACTTTGTATCAAAAGGAATCATACAGAGAGGCACAGATGAAGTCAAATGTCAGTTTAAGACTTGGTTTGATTATATTATAGGTAAGCATTTTCCTAACAGTGAAGGAAAGGAGTCAATCACTTTTCCTTTAGCTTATTTAATTTGCTGGTGCAAGAAAAAAAAATTATGATGAAAGGCTAGAGGTCTTTTGTATTAGTGCTCTCTTGAAATCATATCTGGTTTGTGGTGGACTTCTAAAATAGCTTTTACGTTTACGTCAGTTTGAACCATTGTGAGATTGTATAATCAAATTTCTCCTGGGCAATTTTTAAAAATACAGTTAATAAAATAATACAAATTAAATGAGAGATAGTCAAAACAGGCATTATGCATAAGCTGAATAATGTATATTGACGTAATGTAATAAGTACAACAAATAAGAAGTGAAGGAATCATTCAAAAGAGCTCCTTAACTTTGCAAGGGATGTTACTTAAGTAACATAATGTAAAACATATATCATATTGTTAATTATGACATTATAAAAAAATCGATATAAAACAGATCAAAGAGATAGAGGTCAGTTATTCTTTCATGTTCTCTGACAAATATTGTAACCGCGTGATTACGGTGCAGCGCGAGTTGTGATGGACTCAACTCTGTTTCATAATTCAAAGCAATGGACACTGGTTTTTAATCGAAACCATTACGTGATCAGTTCTTATTATGACGAGGGTGCTAAATTTGTGAGTATAAAAGTTTCGGCTTGGGATTGTCTTAAGGATGGGTAGAAACCTTTCAAGTGACAGAGGTAATCTGAGAAAGTCAGCAATGTTACCTCCGAGAAAGGAGGATGATTTCACTTCCCCAACAGCAGCTTGTCATCGATCACAACCCTTGGACTGTACTCTCTTACCGACGCCACGATTTGCGATTTAAAACATCACCAAACTTAAAATACTGTAAATGTCGTTCTATTTTGTGCGGTTACAGGGATCAAGAGAGTTTTGGAAGAGTGAAGTCATTGCATCAGTAGATTCTAAGCATTTTGCCGTACGCTTCTTGGCATCAGGAAGCACGACACTTTCTTCAACTCCTTCCCAGTTTCCTCCTAAGGAGGAACTCAGCGCTTGTGCGCCCGTGATCTTGACCCACAACATGCTAACACGGTCATCGAGGAACCTTTGTTTTTCATAAATTTGACGGATTGCAGCCCTTTTAAAAAGCATAAATGTCGGTGCTCAATCAATAGTGATTGATTGTCGGCGCACGACCCTTGTTTGATCGGAAAAACAGGCGGCTTGCTAGCGGCGTTTAAAAGTACAGTACTCTGTGAAAAACGGAAACGAGAGCCGCCCCCAGTTTCCGTTCTCAGAGTGGCAGCACAAAAGGCATAGCAACCTTTATCAACTGTTTCTTCAATGCAGTGAACTACATGTTGTGTTTGCGCCTTTTGTCTTGCTTACCATACTAAGCGATGGTATTTGTACAGTGTGTTATTGATAGACCGCAGGAAGTTGACTAAGGTCGTGTAAGTTGTTACCACTCGGCCATAAAATGCTTCTTTGCGTATAAGAACAGAACAAATTTCATCGATTTCCGTTAATGAAACCTTGGCCTGAAACAGAAATATTTATCTTCCACCCCCACAATCAGAATATTGGACAGAAACGCGTCATAACAGAAGCATCTGTGATTGTGTGTTTTGAAGTTGTGCTGCATGTATACAGGTCATTTATTTTTGGCTCAGTTCTTCCGACGGTTGACAATGGCCAACAAAAGAACAATGGCGAGTATGAGTTCTATTCCGCTAGTTGTTATTAGTGTTCAAATTAAAACTCGGTCAACTGAAAATTCTGGAACAAAGGGAGGTAAACCGTAAGATCAGTTTTTAGCAAAACCTTATTAAGTCTTTTATTATCGTTTTCCGTTTTCGTGTTCATTAAGATTTCTTTGGATTATTTTTAGAAGCGCTTCAGGAAAACATACAAAAACGGCGCGGGGAAAGCATTGGGCTAACTTAGAGGATTGCAAGAAGAGAAAAATCGCTGCAATCTCTGAAACTTAAAACGAGTTTAGCTGGATTGATTCACTTATATTTATAACTTTGAGGTAAACAAAACGGGACCAAGGGCACTCTAGAACCGTGCTAATGAACTTCACCTATATAATGGTTTTTAACATTTCAGCTGATGCCGATAGTGCGATAGGTATACTTTAAACTATAACGTAACGATATGAGCTTTCAAAAATGGATTCAACAGTTTGCGTCGTACTTCCAACATAATAAGTACATTGTTCTCTTTGGGGCATTTCAGTCTCTTAGAAAGATCAGCTTTCTTACTGATTCGTGACCAATCGCCCAAAAATTTTTTACCGTCGTCAATGCATCTGAACCAGGTTCAGAACAATAGTGGTTTTTTAAATTGTTGATTTTAGATTTAGTGGCTTAAAAATGGCCGGAAACGGCTTTCTCTATCTTGCTACCGATCTACGCGTGTCGGAGACATTAGGAAGTGTTTTCTAAGGCGTTGATGGTATAGAGCGTAAAGTAAACTCAGGTGTTCTCTAATGGATAACAGAAAACTGACGATTGTAACATCATAGGTATCTGTATTAGAGCACCACTGTGCTGTTCCTAAATGTGGGTGTAATACCTTTTAAAAAGTTCTTATTACATCTAGGATGATTTTCCAGATTATATAATTAGTTCCTTGACATGCTGTAATTCTAAGCCTATAAATGAGGTGCGAATTTGTTTATTCTGACCTTGGTATTCAGCTAATTCAACAAGCCCGCACGAGACAAGCTTTTTGTTCATCCAAGAAAAGGCCGCGCATAATGGAACTTACCTGTCAAACAAAAGCTTGGACAACATTTTTTTCCAAAATGCACAAGTTCTAGTTCTGCCTTCTTATGACTAATTTCCTTCCATAAAAGTTAAAAGACTTCGAATCTCTAATTTTAGGATCGCATGTGTGACCCTTTACGTCAGGTAGTGAAACCCTAAATGGACTACTCCTGACTCCCATCGGTCTCATTAGAGACAGGCGCATTTGCATTCGGTGATCACAGGGTATTCAAACTTCAACCACGTGCAGTTAGTCTCGTTTCGTTGGGCGAATCTTTCCAAGCAATGCCAGCGAAGAACTCCGACTTTCCTTGTACTTGAGACCCGGCATTTCATTCCTGAAGGGAAGGAGCACGTTGCCTTCTTGGAGCACCTCCCGACGTTAATGAAATGAGGCCAATAGCGCACTCCCAAATCTTTCCACTTCTGTGAAACTGAGCAGTGCGACACTTGCCATAGCCAAAGCTGTAGTTTTTTACTTGCCTTAGGTCCAAGATATCTTTTCATACCTGGCATTTTAAAGTCAAGATTTTTAATTTCCTCTGGCATACTTTTGACCAACATTTTACGCATGAAATCCTCCTCGTGTGAAAGTGTGTCATTGGCCTTCTTTTCTAAAACCTCTTCTCTGGTTAGTGCAATATATTCAGGAACGTAGTCCTCGCCAAGTAATCTTTTCAGCGACTCGAAGTCAAAGTCGCTTTCTATCGGATCGCTAGGATACCGGGTTGGTTCAAGTGGAAATTTTAGTTTCAGCTTGTCTCTTGTGGGTCGCTGATCCACACCACCCTTGAGATGCTTCCAGGGAGGCAGCGCCTCTGATGAAGTCTGCCAAACAGTGCTGAGACAGCAAACCACGAAAAGTGCGAATATACTCTTGAATTTGGATTGATGCATCTCAGTAAACAGCTTAAGGGTGCTGTAAGGAGTAGACGTCGTCCAAGTCGTTTCTTCGTTTGCGTAGGGTTGCCTTATCGTGATCTAGACTCTTACGTGGTTCAACCTCAAATGCTTCGTTGATTCATGTCAAGCCAGTTATCTCTACGATTAAGACAATCGAGGGGCAAAAAATAAATAAATAGTATCACAGTGCTACATTTAAAAATCACATCCGACTACTATCAAGCAATTATTTATCTTAAGGAGTCGAGATGTCTAGACAAGTATGATAGCATTGAACTCAGCTGCTTTCCTCTTTACGTTACCTTTTTCAATGCACCGTCAGTTCAATCAACCATTCGAGGAAAAATCGCGCTACTATCGGAAATTTCCCACGGATTGCGTGGTTTTTGAAATAATCAAAATTATCCACGCTTTATTATGTTTTGTAGCATATACATACGATCAACATACTTGTCACTGTTTAAAGTAGGCTTAGTTCACCTAGAATAGCGAGCGCCCCGATGTCGGCGAAGTTTAATTTGAGTTTAGTCATTCAATGATGTTTCGATAATCAACTGAACATGATTGGCGAGGCCGGCACTGTTCTGTGTGTTTGCGGGGCACCGGCTACATGCTCAAACCAACATTTCTCTCTGGCCTGGCTGCATCTGGCTTTTTCGAGTTTTGTAACATATTCAAGCTCAGTAAGACACAAGGTCTTCGTTTATCAGATCACAACAGTGGGCGGAGATCTGAAAAACAGCTTCCAACAGGTCCATATCAGTCGAACGAACTGTTTTATATGCATGGCTACTCTTATCGTTCACATATTCTTGATCATTGTTCCTCGAAAATCCATTTAAGCGCTAATACCTCTAATCCTTTTTTATCGCTACTTGTGACATTTATTAAAGAAGATGTTCTCGGTGTGCTTCCGCGATCAGGGACAGGATGTAAATTGTAAGTGGCAGTGATTTTCTTCACGAATAAATGTTATTGCATTCCGGATTGTTTGATGAAATTTATACCATTAATCTTGAGGATAATGAGTTTGAAGCGCCTCCTACAGCTTAATGGTAAACTTGCAACCACTGATATCAATGATTTGATGGGCTGACTGTTTTCCGAGCAAATCATGATCGTTAAAGGTCGTTCTGTTATCCATCAGTGAGCGACATAAGCTGTCAACGTCCTTTTACTGCGATCCGCCTCGTCGATAAAATGCTAATTTTACACAAACAGACTGATTTTCATAAAGCCTTGGATGAATTTTATACATTATTAGCGCTATTTGCAAGGTGAGGATTTAGATTTCAAGGACATTTCGTGTGAAATTGGAGAACACACTAAATCTTCATGGCACGAAGTTCAGAAAAAACCAGCCCAAATTCTGAAGCAGTTATGCGATCAACGTATTGTATTTCTCGCTCAAAGCAGAGATCAGGTTTTAGTTTGTAATGAATTAGCATGTTCCAAATATGTTCTTCTCTAGATACAGTTTGGGATTTCTTTTGCGATAAATAAAAACAGACCTTATCAAGTTAATCCCTCTTATTACCACTTGTAAAGCGTTGTAACACGGAGATACAAATGGACCGAGCTATGTTTCGTGTCCGGTGCGTGTGACGCGAGAATTTTCGCTGCCCCACCGGTAGGCCATCAGTTACGTGCGTCACAGTTTAATTATCTCCTTTCTATGCCGTGAGTAAAATCGCCTGCCATGTTCTTTCCTTCCGTTTCAATTATTGAACTTTGTAGTTGTAATCAAAGTGTGCATATTAACCTCGTTGTGGGTGGCACTCTGTGGACACACCCCAAATCAATTATGACGTTAAACCGCTCTTCAGGCATCGCTTAACTCCAATTAAGATGTGTTTATTTTCATTCTAAGCTACTGAAAATTTTCGTTGGCTTTTGAAAGCTTCCCGCCGAAGAGATGTTGAAAACGTGGTTTGTGTTGGATGTTTGAGAAGTGTGAGGAAATATAAAGTCTTACAAACTTCATCCTTTTTTAGTCCATCGAAGGTCCATCCTCCATACTAGAAAGCGATGGTAATAGGGCAATAGAATGGCAAGGGTTAAGTCCAAAATAAGAAATCTCCTCGCTCCGCTAACGGGAGTAGTTAGCTTCGATGGGTACTTCAGCGAGGAAATCACGCCTAGGAGCGTCTATGACTTACCGAACGAAAAAGTACCTTTCCTTCAGATATTAAGCTGCCTGTAGTTCTTAGGGCTTATTGTGGTAATCGTTTAGAAGGGTGAAACCACATCACTTCTGATTCATTAAATTTCACCGCGAACGAAGAAAAGTCGTACTGTTATCCGTGTATTCAGTTTTCTCAGTGACTGTGACAACTTTTTTGAGCTCCCACACCAAGCAATTGCATTACTTACTATGAATCAATAGAAAATAGAATCAACGAATTTAAGAAATGTTCAAATTTTCCTTCGGTTTATGCAATTTCCTCCATAAGCACTGAACAGGCAATGTTGCTATTAAGTGAGATCGGTTCGTTTTCATTGGCTGCCTTAAGTCAGAACCATTTCAGCTGAAAGCTGATCTAAACTCCTGGGACTCGTATAATCTACCAGCCTCTTCATGCATTTCATTTGTTCTCTCCTTGCTAAGACGCTGAGATACGTGTCACAAAAAGATAACATCGAAAGACGTGATTCAGGGACCTTTTCTTCCATGAACATTAATTAAGAACTTTGGGCGAGAGATATGTCACCGTCTAATCCGTTGAGACCGGCAAAGCTAACAAGCTTACGTGCCAACCGACGGACAAGATTTCGGTATCTTTTGCTCGACAACATATGGACGGAAAGGACTAGTCATCAATGAATTCAACTTACTGAAGATTACGAAATTCTTGTCATGACATGCTTCCAAGTTTATTCTAAGTAAGGATGACACAATTATCTTTCCAAAAATACGCAACGCAATGCAGTTTAACCAGGTCAATAGGCGTGGTTAATCAAAGACCGCAAGTTGTTGCTAAAACTGAATTACATATTTTCATCGTACATTTACAGAAAATCTGACTTCTTCTGAACCCCAATCACCATCACCTTCCTCTAACCGAAGATCAACCAGAGGTTAATATAAGGCATTTGGTTGGTTGTCAATCAGTAACTAACGCCCAAGAAACTAGTGATATTTTTACATTAAACGTGCCATGGTCGGGCCACATAGAGATCTATTCAAAGGAAAGATTAGTAAAAACCGACTTACGACTCAGCTTTAAAGGAGTATTACTTATCGTAAAACATGCGTGGAATCAACCACACCTATGTACGTTTTCTAGCTTTACAGACAAAATCACTTTGTCTCAAGGTCAAATCCAACAAAAATTTCAATTTCATTTTAGTTGCTGAAGAGTAAAAGACTTATCTTTTGTAAATAGCATGCCCAGCTCTTTCTGGGATAGCGTCGAGGTGCTTAAAGTCTATGAAATATGCTCCCATGGTCAAGGATCAAGATAGAATATTTCAAAGATCTAATACCGACATCAATTTTGAGTAAATAGGTTTAAAGCTGCTCACCAGATCACCGACCAAAGCGCTGGAATTAGTCGAGGAAGCAGCGATGTACATTACTAGTAATGACTACATTTATTTTTTCAAACGAGGTTAACCCTTTGGCGTCTCGACGTGATCAGTATACCTAACTTCTTCCTGATAGCTTTTTCGCTGTCAATTAAAGAGATGATGAAATACAACAAAAAGCATCAACGAGGGGTTGCTATCTGGATATAACACCAAAATCTCGGGTCCAGTCAACAGAAATATTTGTTCATTTATTGTGAGTTTTTAGATCTTGGGGTTAACTCGCCGGCAAGGAACTACATCAAATGAGCTTTTCTCAAAAATAAAAGTGAAGTGCCATACCCAGTTTGTATGTCATTTTAAGTGTAAATCATTGTGCTTCCCAAGGCGTAATTTGTTGGTTGTTTTTCATAAATTTCTTATTCTAGTTTACAGACTCTACAAAATAGCGTTTCATCATCACAAGGGAGTGAACAAAGTGGGGATGGAACTCAGTGCATGGCAGAGCGCCAGCTGTAAACCACTTCAGCAGAAGTTTAACACACTTAGGTAGAAACTGACTACAAACCTGTGTTCTTCCTTGAAAAGTTGTGTAACAGAGGCAACACTGCGAGAATTGAGACATTGACAGTTCAGCTTTGTCACATCCGCACTAATCATTGCTCTTCGTTCAAGCCGATTTAAAATAAATTATCACATGATTTACATCTTATTAGGATTTTCCGGTTCAACGCAGTCCGCCGACAATTACTCCAAAAAGTGGGGGAGTTAATTTAAAAATATTGTTTAATCAATTATGAAATATAATATAAAGAGATCTAAGTTCCGACCTATCCTCTAACTGCGAAAAATAACAAATGAAGATGAGCTTCGAGAGCTACGGAATCAGACCTCTTCTTCCGCCGCCAAAATTCAGTTTAATCAGAGATAGAGTAGCCATTTTAAATAGAATTAAATGTTTTCGTAATATAATTACTACAATAAAAAACACCTAAACGTTAAAAAGATTTAGTAGAAATGTGATTCTTTACCCCACAGGGATAAAGTTAAGACGCGGAGAGCACTAATCCTCTTTGGTAAAAACATGTAGCTGTAGTTGCGCATTTTGAAAGCGTTTTCTGTCTTATCTTAAACTTGAATGAGGACTTTCGTGAAGAACACTAGAGGTATGAACTTGCAAACTCGGGACCATGTTGCATAACCCGACAGATGAGGACCATATGGTCTCTCGTAAGACGATATGAGGCACTTAAGTATTAAAATAGGGAAAGTGTCTCTAAATACTGAGAATTTAATCTTTTGGTTATTTCGCCGACTCATCGACACATAGTATTCATCTTCACGCCCCATTAGCGTTACCAATACCATAGTAAAATGTGCTTTTAAACTGTTCACTATCAGTGAGTTGAAAGCTAAATGCTGTTTTTTGACTAAACATTAAATGAATATCGACTTTTCCTCGCTTAATGATCACCCAAAACTTTGTTTTAAAAAAACTGAAGAATTTCCGGTTTTGTGATGGGCAAATGGACGCGCTCATCACACTTAAGTCCACATTCTTGAAACTTTTTCAAATTAATCTGCAGTACAAATCTTGTACTTGGTTATTTACTTGCGGTTTGATGGAAGTACAACGGTAGGTTTCGTGATGAACAGTTGGAGTTATCAAGTATAGATTCAAGTTCAGCGATAGCATAGGGTCAAACGTTTGTATACCGTAAATTCTCTTTCGGCCCGCTCCGGACGTGCTAAATGTGATTTATTGATCTGGTCATCCTCATCAAGGCAATGTTTATTTGGTTCTTTATTACAAAGGTTACGCATGATATGCTGGCAACTTGTTTTTGTATCATACCGCGTTTCAAGTGCCTTTCTCGTTTCCCATTGAGGTGTATTTCTTTTACTACAAAGTACATAAAAATATTGATGTAAACGCTACTACTGAACGGAAATCTAAGCTTATTCGTGTTTGTGTTGGAATCTGAGCGAGGTCGTGATGAAGGTCTTCAGTTTGTACAGGTGTCGGTTTGTCAGTTAAAAGTTCAATCGATTGGCGGAATTTCTAGCAGATGGCTAGCAGACATCAGGAAATTTTTCAACCTGAAAGTTTTGCTTGCCTACGCGGTCGTTTTGATTTGTGATAACCTAAAGTAGGTGAGGACGTAATGACCTTAAATAAGTCTTCGACTACAGCAATTAAGACGATATGTAAATACATGCAGTTACTTACGGGATCAGACTTAAAAAAGCTAGAAGCCCGTTACATTTTTCCAATTAAGTTGGAGACATTCATCTGGAGGTCAATGTTAAGCTGGGTGGCTGGTCCAGCGAAAGGAGTGAGAGTAGATTTTTAGTCTAGATTTTTCTCTTTGTTTAAAGCAATTTCTTTCCCTGATACAATATTCATAGTAGAAGAAGAGAGCATGCAATATGGAAATTGTCTATTGCTTTTAAGACTGGATCATTGAGCGAGAGTACTGACCAAAATACTAATCATTAGAATTACAATATGTAAAAATGTATTGTACAATTTCAAAAGCCAGCCGAAGCCCAACTTCGTAGTCTTGTCATTCTCATGGTACTGATTTCATAAAAATGAATCTGCTAACTGTGAACAATGCAAAATTTTGATTGGCTAATTTACTTGTGTGATCAAGTGCGAGTGTACAATGGCTATTTCGCTGACAAAACAGCATTTTCTTATTATTTTTAACCTTCTGATTTTATCTCACGATGATAAATATACATGCCTCAGTGGCACGATTAATGTTGAAAGGCGAAAAAACTAACCCGTAAACCAGAGAGAAACTAACTAACTGCAGAAAGGTACATTTATGCTATCATACGCGGAGTATTGGTCACAAGATGTCTATGAAAAAGATTAAAAATAAATCGCCTTAATTAAGACATGGACTTGAAAAGAAAATGTTGTTTACCTCTTGGATTCATGAATATAGTCACGCTCATGAGCTACAATTACTAAACTTTAAAACCAAATTTTTAAATGGAAAGAAAGAAAGGAAAATAATCAAATTACTGTGGAAACAATTTTGAAAATCCCCCGTTCTTGTAACGATAAGAAATATTTTGAATGATCCACAAATCACGAAAGCAAGTATATATTTCTTTTTCATTTGACTGATCTGTTGCATACTTCCTCTACTTGGATCGTTGCTAACAACAAAGCTTGAAGAGATACAATTGAAATACTTATTTCCGATGCTTCCGTAGATCTAGAAAATATCATTGACTTGTGTCAACCCAGTAAAGTGGAAAATTTTACAAAGTTTGTTATTAACTTAAAATTCTTGTCCACAAAATCTACTCACTGTCTGGTTCTCCACAACCAATAATCTTCCAAACAATAGAATAACAATTTTAGCAATGAATGTGAACATATGGAACATGCAGCAAAGGGCTTTTCGACGTCAAGTGAACACCCGTGAGGGTCCTTGATATATTGTTGGCCGAAAGTAACTTATTGCTCGTGGCTAACAAGGTAGAATACAAACGCTATTTCCTTTACCTGATGTCTCTTAGTGACCAAGGATATTTTATGTTCCACGGGAAAAGGTCCGTTTTAGAGAAGGCTTTGAGTCAAACCACAGACAAGCTGCTCGCGCTTATATAGCAAGCGTTTAGGAAAACGACACGCTAGTTAAATGCGATTTATTTACTTGACTATCCATGTCAAAGAAAATACTGTTTACTTGGTACTGTATTACAAATCTTACACCGTGTCTGGGTGATTTTATATAATATTTCTGATAGCAGACCGTCTGAGAAAACTTCTTTATCGAAAGAACAATTTAAATGGTCACATTGGCTCAAACTGTTAAGGGGCCTTAACGTTTGGCTATGATTCTAGATAATCATTAGTACCTCACTTAGCTTCAAGGTTTTTCAATAATACACCCAACTTGATTAATATAAACAACCTCTTAGAGGGAACTGAACTGTTCTGAACATATGGCTAACAGACGAATAGCCATCATCTTAAGTAATCGGTTATAAAAAGAGTGAATGATGCATTGATTTATAATGATTTATAATTTTGCAATGGAATGACACAAATTAATGTTTTCCGAAGTAATCAGGTCGGTGCACAAGTGCTCGGTTTAAGTTAAAAAAACATAATTATTTCGTACCCATATCAACATTTTGATCTATGATTCTGAACTTACGTTTGGCGATCATCGTGAAAGTCTGCCACATCTTAGATTGGTGTCACCCTTTCTATTTTTAAGCTGAGACACATCACCTTAGAATTAGAGTTAAGTAGCGAGATGTGCATGGTGACTTTCTGAAAATATTTGTCCATCGTCGATGCGTTCCGAGGATAACATTCAAGATTTGATTGTTCCTTTAATTACGCTGCGCCGTTTCAACTCTAAACCAATAATGACATTTCATAGACGTATGTTCACAGAGGGCCTCCGATCCAATTAGCATACAAGTCCTCTTCACCCTTTTGCATTTCTCTTAACCTTATTACAACCTCCTTCCTTACCCTGTTCCCTTAATCCCCTCCCCGCCAGAAAAAGGCTGTACGTTCATTTCCCGGCTACTTTTTGAACTGTTCAAAGCAAACAGTCCTAATGCAAAGCGCAAAGAATGTTGCTTGAAGTGAGCGATTGTTTGCTCAGCCTCCACGTTTTTTCTTTTCTCAGGGAAAGCGAGCAGAAAGGCAAAGCTTTTTGATCATCCTTTCGTTTCCCTTAAGTAGAATTGTCTTTTCCTAACCTTACCCTTTTGGTGAACCCACCGTGGCAGTCTCAAATTTCGTTTGCCAAGATTATATACGCTTGCACGAAAGTCGAAATTCCTCTCATATATAGCAGAATTTTTAAGATGTTAATTTTCGTCTTATTAATGGGGAGAAGAATAAAAACTTAATCGATCTGTAGGCCTCTTTCATAACCTTAAAATAGCTTTCGGCTCTCTTTGCTTAAGGAAGCATGTGTTCCTTTTGCGTCTGTGAAGATGTACGATTGAGGCCTAATACGGAACAGTAGGAACAAAATATTTAGCCAACTACCTTCATAAGTAATACCACACAATCCGTTTATCTTAATATTGCACAAGGTAACAATGTTAAATATTTAAAAAAGAAAACAACCTCTTGGATAAATGTTTGTCGATGAGTGGAGACAAGATAGCAACTAAAAGTTACAAATTGAATCAAAATAAAACGGTCGAATAGTATTTGTTATACCTATGGATGGTTCATCTTGAAAAGACGCAGCTCGTGTTCGAGTAGCTATTATTAGCTGCAACTTGGTATAAATCAGTCATTGTCATTTTTAGGTCTGATACTGGCCTCTTTCCAATCGCAGTGTGACCATTCTCGTGGACACGAAAGTCCGGCTCTGATACTATCATGCAATTTAGAGGAGTCATGAACTTTCAATTCTGTACCATTTGCTTGTAATATAAAGGTTCGCTAACGACAAAATGTTGCAGAAAACCTACCGTGCGTCATCCGAACTTTCTTGGTGAAACCTTCTTTCCCAACTCGGAGACCTGGGTGTCAAGTGAGGTATGAAAGTATGCCGTTCTCTTTCAAAGAGTCGGAGGAAGGTCCGTAGGGCCAGACCTCCTCCCATTCCTCCTGTAGGGTTCCTATTTTTCTTACTACTTGTCTGACGCCAAAATTCTTCCAACAACAGGATCGCATTTTACTACTATTTCAGTTTGGCAAATTTACCTGTCCTGAAATATTCTGATTCGTCTTTACTTTGTAGACATGTTATTGTTCTGTAGAGTATCACTAAAGGCACTGACATATTTTGTATCTTGGTATTTCTGGACTGTATATTTCCTTAATAAGGCCAGAAGAAAAAATCTCGCGCTCACTTGGTCCTGTCAAGCTCAGGCCGTTGCAAATGTTACTTAAAACTGAGTAAAACTTATTTAATGAGCCATTTTGAACTTTCGTCATCTGTCGGTAGTAACTTACTTTGATCATAAAATTTTATGTAGCGCTTAGAATTCTATATATATTTTTATTTACCTCTTTCAACCCTGATTGGTAAACGTGCCGAAATTATTTTTCATAGGGCAGTGGAAAAGTCGGCAAAGTTGGGCCCAAGTGTCACGGCAGAAATTCAATCCTGTTTGTACAGAACCCAATACCAACAGAATAAGTCGCCTCGTGGCAACAATGGAAATGATGGAATGGAGTAAGAAAGATAGTTATTCCTCAAATTAACAAATTCAGAAAATTTTAACTCTCTCATTTAGTGCATGTGCTATCTAGATTTACTCTTTCAAGACGGATGACTTTTCTATTCTCTGACCTTTTCAGCTGTAAGCTGTCTTGACGAAAATCAAACTGCTTAAAGAGCACGCCCCCAACCGCCAATTAACAGCAATGGTTCACTTTTGTGTGATGATTTTAATCTGTCTATGCGTGGAATTCTGCCAGAATCTGTCTTCTTCATACAAACCGCAAGGCCTTTTTTTTTCATGGCTTAAACAGTTGTGTCACGAAAACACTTCACGCGTTGTTGACACAATAAAATTATATCAAATAGACAGATGTGCAAAAGTTGTGTCAGCCCTCAAGAAATTGAACTTTCGTTTTCGATTTGAATGGACAACATATGTTCGCTAGACAGGATGATCATGTTGAATTATTGTTAAAAGCAGTGCTGATCCGCGAATTTGTGGGCTAATTTTCAGCTCTTCTATCTGTATGATGTGAAAAATCTTTAGGTAGCTACACCATCATGACAGCTTTAGCGTAGGACGTTGATAAAAAAATCGTCACGAAACTTTGAAGCACGCGTAATAGAAAATTTGAAGGAATTATATATCCATATTCACTTCGTCTGAGTGAGTAAATTGGATTAATTGTTCAGTTACAGTCCTGGGTTGAGACTCCCCTAACACCGATGAAGAACAAATATCTATGTCCAATTTTGCTAGAATTTCTTTCAGAGGAAACCAAATGTAAATCCGATGAGAATAAATGCATGGTACAGGAATTAATTTACCCCGATAAGAAGCCTGAGCCCGCTTAGGACCAAGCCCTGTTCCGTGACATGATTCAAATAAAAAGACAGCGGCTTGCCACAGTGATAAATGGCTTAGTTGACTTACTGATGTCTAATTCTTCCGGATCTTAAGAGCTTATGATCGGAGACAAAATACACCCTTGATAACTCTATGTCCACGTCATTCATTTGCTACAAAAGAAACTGTTAGGCTTCTAAGATTGCAGTAAGGACACCATTAATTTGTATTATGACAGAATGAAGAAGTCAACCGAAGAGGAAAAATATCATTCCTGTGAAAGATCTTTAACGGGCGCATAGATGGATTAGCCAGCCGACTAGTGCTATCGGAGAGTTTTTCAAAATATTGTTGAAAGGCAACGCAAAAGGGTGCAGTATGTGAGCGTAACACGTAAGTCCTAGGATAAACTTCTCAACCTAAACTGACCAAACTTTATCGAGCCAAAGGGTCACTTGAAGAGAAACTCAGCTGGAACTAATCAATTAAGGGAAATACAGGTATAGCTTCTGGCTGTACGCTCCAAAGGGAAAAGGGCGTGAAATAGTAAATAAAAAAACTAGTTTCCTCGCCAGACCTTCTAACTTTCTAAAGGCAGAAAATGTATAGTGTTGTGTTTAGTAATAGACTTCATCAAATAAGTTTAATAAAGCCCAAGTCGCCTCTTTTTAAAATCGTCTGTCATTATACGACCTTTGGTATGATAACCTCCATTCTTAATGTTGTATTGTAGAGTCCAAGATTTCTTTACGCAATTAATTTATCAGAAACTCTGAACGAAATTCTTTAAAGATTTTGTGAAAAGTTCGAAGAGAGAAGCTCAAAACAGCTTACCTTACTAAATCTCTGCATGTCTTTTACTAAAGCGTGTTTGCTTTGCCTTCTCTGCGGAGCTTTGGTGTAGATTGAGCGCACGACACTTTCGTAAGCAGCTCTTAGTAGGAAGTATTTGATTTAAAAGTTTTGGCTAATTAGTCACAGATGACAAATTCTGTTTTTGACCTCCTTCTCACAAGACGTCGGTTAAAAATCTCTACAACGAACTTGATTATTTTTACAGTATTTCCTTTCCGCACCCATTTTATCTTACGTTCTCATCGAATTCATTCAGATTTCAATAAATTATACAGAGTTTGCTATCAGTGGTCACTGACGACTCCATAACAGTCTCTGTCATCATTAGATTTTTAAATCGTTTTAGCCGCTGCTTATATAGCGTTCAGAAGCTGACTCAAAGTATCATCCTCGAAAAGGGCAAACTCTTAAAGCTTATTTTAATACTATAAACCTTTAGGAGAGGATTCCAGGAAAGCTCAGGGTTTGAGATAGACACATGTGGTAACAGCTTTTATTGATTTTAAGCAGCAGCACGTATAATTTGGATTCGCTGACTTTCCGCGGTAGGAAAAGCTTGACAAGCGTTCGAGAAAAGTGTCTGGCTAAATTGGAACAGCTGGCTACTACGCGTGAAATCCAACGGATTAAACTCACCTTCAATCGTAGTTGCTCACGTTGTATTTTAGAGTTTTCCCAAGTTGTCAATAGGTTTTTACTCGTTGTAGTAAGGCGATTGGTTCAGTTATCTTTGTCAAGGAGAGAAAGCTTTTACAAATTTCAACTCGGTTTTTTACTGGTTCATGGGGATTTAACAGCAGGAGGCGTTTTTAAAGCTTTGCGTTGACGTGGGATGACGTTTAAGCTCAAGTCACTTACATTAGCAGTGTAGCAACAGTGATGTTGGCCTCCTAAACATTTCACCTCTGATTCCGGAAAACGGTTGACATTCCGAAGAGACTTCGCTCTCTCGCTGTCGTTAAGGTTGGCTCTGTTATCACAATTAAACCAAGCATGTTTGAATGAATGGCACCAAGTTTTAATTACTGTTTACGAGCGAAAAATAAAAGTGGCTTTGTCAACTGGTATAAGATCGACGCATGCAGTCGATTGCTTTTAATTAGCCTTAATTTACTTTCCAGCAAAAGAAAAATAATTGCGATGCCACCACATAATTAATACCGATGATAAATCCCCTCTAATTTAAAAAAGATGAAAAACTCGTTTACTTGAGGGAACCTGATGCTCCCAACAGATATCGAGTTGTAATCCTCTTTTATTCTTAAATAACGGATCAAAAAAATCCTGGAGTTAAGCGCAGAAGGCTGCACCCAAGGGCGTTTAAAGTTTCACCGATATCATTTTCAATGTTACAACACATACAACAAAATCCCGAGTTGTTACTTATTAAAATCTGATGGAGAACGGATGGAAGCAACTGACCTCTAAATGCTTGCAAAGCATTCTTTAAACCGAAGACACTTCTCTAAGGAGACTACAAAGGGAATGGGAATAACAAACTTAATGCACTAGGGCCTTGTCGTTCGCCACTGTTAATAAAGGATAGCCGCCATTTCTAATAGAATCTTCAAATGAAATTGTCCATGAAATTTGAATTCGTTCCCTACTTGTGCGCCACCGACTTAGTTTCAAAAAGTTCTTGGACGAAAATCTCAGACTTACTGTAAACTTCAAGAAATCAGGAGGGTTTACGGCAATCCGTGTAACATGTACGCGTAAAGCCTGATTCAACAGAAAGCGGCATCAAATGATGAGTGATTTTTTTCAACATCATTAAATAAATCATGACTTGAAGAAATGGGACGTGTACAGCAAAGGTCTCGCTAAACGAATGATAGGTATATCTACCACATTCAAAATGGATTTTGTTCTTGAATTCTTCAACAATTCTCTTCGTGGTTCGTTGTCTAACAAGTCTGGTTGTTAATTTGTTTTGATTTGATAATGTTTTTCATTTTCCTAACCCCGATCCAGGCTTTGTCTTATTAATTATTATTAGTTAATTTTGCAGGTTAACACTCTGATGGCGATTACTATGATATTGAGACATGTAGTGTATGACCTAAGATAAATCGCTAACACATCTCATCAATAATATGGTCAGTGGACCGACAGTGAAAGAGGTCGCGAAACACGAAACACGAACGTAAGTCAAGAAACGACTGAGCGGATTACAAACGACAAAATTAAGACCTGATAAGCTATTTTTAACTACAGTGTTGCCCTTGATCTCACAAGAGTTCCCGTGAGTGTGTAGAAGTTAACAGAAACGGCTGGCAATTGTGCATTTAACTGACCAATTTGTGTAACTGTAATAAATGAAGGAAAATCACAAAGAAACGCTTTTCAGAACTGTATAGAAAATTGAACCAAACCCGTGATGTTAAGGTCAAAACGTTCTTTCTTTGCTGAGTTCATTTGCCCCTGAATCAAAAGGAAAAATGTTTTCGCGGTGAACAAATCGACCTTTCTTCGAATTTGACTTTTAAAACCGCTTTGAGCTGCCCTAACTAAAAATAGGAGTCATAATTCAGACTGTTTTGAAGCAGGTTCAGGTTCTACATGATCTACAAAGGCGTCACTGCACTTTTAGAATAAGTAATTGTACCGACATCTGTCAAAAGAGGTCGCTTGCATCTGTTGAACGGTGAGGTAAAATGATAACATTTCTCTTACTATGAGACCCCACTACAGCTGAACAGCTGGCAAATCAGTTTGGGTTTTGCAGCGTAAATATTTGATCATCATGGCTACTATTATTATTGTTAATATTATTATTATTATTGTTGTTGTTGTTGTCGCTGTTGTTATCATTATTCTTTTTATTATTGGTTTTACTATCATTAGTACCATATTCATTCATCATAATGGTTCTATAAGATATTTAATCATCCGCCATTTTTTATCCTATTGGGGTTATTTTGGGGGTAAAATGAGAAATTTGGAGAGGTGAAGTTCTCACAATTTTCTCTGGTGGGCAAGGTCTCAGACAGTGACAAATACATGACGTTCATACACGTGCGTGCGTGGTTTGGCACGAAAGACGGACCGTGACTTTTTTTCCAATCATGGTAGGGGAAAACAAGCTTCTCTGTGTGATATGAATTCGAAGTTAGCACGATTCCGGCAATGCGAGAGGCTATCGCAACAACGCTCTAGGGACAGCACATGTTTTCTTTTACTTTGAGGTAAGCAATCATGAAAAGTTCGCTATGAATATTTGTTGTGCAAAAAGAGAGTATCGAATAAAACCGATGTGGCTAGGTAGGCTAACTCCCTTTAAGCAACTTATAACTAAGTAATTTGTATGGGTTTCAATTATTTCGTGATTGGCGCGAAATAAAACAACACCCCAAGATGAAGATAACTCTCAGGCCGATGGATGGAGAGCGCTGCAAACCCGTCAGGTGGATTTGGAATATTTTGTTCAATTGCTAATACGTTGATATGCTCATTCCATTATCAAGATTTGTGAAAAAATATATATTCACATTTCTACATGTATATAGAATACTGGAAACTCATGTACCCGTGTCACGGGTAAAAATATAGTTTTCTTT